ATTGCTTGTACTGTTGTTGTTTTGCTTGTATTGTTGTATTCGGGCTCGGCCTCATGTAAGCCACACCGAGTCCCTTGGGGAGATGGTAGCAGGGTACAAATAAAGTGTTGCTGTTGTTGTTATTATTATTATTATTATTAAGTGCAGTTTCCCACAGCAAGGCATGATACTGAAGATAGCAGCCAGGTGCAGATTGACTCTAAAAGAGAAGATAGCTCTTTGCCTGGTTTTCAGCCTGATAATGACACGTAAGCAGAAAAACAGGCTGCTAACAAGCAGATTGACCTTGATGAACTTTAGATAGGGCCGCCCAGTTAGAATTCTGTGTTCGAAGGAGTGAAAGGATAGCTAACAAAAGGGAGGCCAGAGGCTAAAGAAACGCCTTCATGTTTTGCAAAGGGTATTAAACAGGGGGTTTGAGACCAGATCTTTGTCAAAGCAACTTTCGCGTTTACCTAAGGAGTTTGCCTAAGGTAGGCTGGATTTACCTTGGAGTCTTTGTGTTCAAGGTTCCAGGACTTTGTCATGTTCTCTTGGGTCTTGCTTTCCTGGTGCCTATTGGATTGTGCTTCAGGTGCTATGTTATCCTGGTTTTTTGAAACATTACTTTTGTTTTTAAGAACTTTTTACCTTTTATTTTCAATAAACCATAAAGACTTTTGGCTGTGTGCAGTTTGGTGTTCTTCAGCAAGGTGATTCTACTCTGAGGTGCAACAGTAACCATCCAGTGCAATCCCTTTCTGCCATCCTGTGGAAGGAAAAATGTATAGCATCTAGACTTCCCAATAGGAAAACTAGAAAGTGGTGCAATGCCGTGCTTGTTTCCTCTCACCTCATTTCACAAATCCAGTCTGCAATATAGTTACTGTTTATTACGTAGAGAGAGAGAAACTGGAGACGGCTATGAGATACAAAAGCAAATTGTAGGGAAAGTTTCTCTGACAAAATATCAGGCCCTGCCATCTCTGTTCAATCTGTGCACATTCGATGTAATTTTCCAAATTGCCACCAGAGGCTGATAGAGGACAAATTGATGTTTCCAGTTCCTTTGGTAGTTGGTGGGTATTCAGCCCAGGAGAGGTTTTGATTCCAATGAAGGTAAGCAGATCATCTCCAATCCTAAACACCTATCCTGTCCTCTTTTAAAGTCCACCCAGCCAATCACAGGAGCATAGCATGTGCACTGGAATCCGACTATTACAATGACAAAATAATAAATTGCATAAATTAAAAAGTTGGTACATAAAAACACTAATAAGTACAGTTGTCAAGCAAAAGAAAAAAAAAAAGGAAGATCTGTCTGTAACATCTCAGATACCTACATTTCCATAATATTAATGTAGCAATTCTTACAATATTATAATATGCAGAAATTAACACACTCTCCTGATTTAATACCTGGAGATATGGTTGGAAGTGAAATGGTCATGTTTGATGATGACAATCAATGTAAGTGCATTGGGTCCATGACTTTGTGTGTCCTGTTGACTTAATGATAACCTAAATCTTGTGGGATTTTCTTAGGCAAAAAATAATCAAGAGATGGTTTTGCCAGTTCTTTTCTCTGAATTGCCTATTGGGATGAGATGGATTTATTGCGCTCATGGTGCAGGGACAATAATCTAGTTTTTAACATCAACAAGACCCAGGAGCTTATAGTGGATTATAGGAAGAACAGACCAGAAATTCAGCCCTTTGTCATAAATGGAGACCAAGTGGAGCAGGTGGCCAGTTTTAAGTTCCTGGGTGTCACTGTGAAGGGAGATCTGACTTGGGGCACCCATACGGAAATGTTGGTGAAGAGGGCCCAGCAGAGTACTACCTGAGACTGTTAAAGAACCAACAACTGAAAGAAAAACTGCTGGTGACTTTCTATCACTGTGCTATAGAGAGTGTCCTAACCTACTGCATGTGCACACGGTTTGGTAGCTGTACAATGACAGATAGGAAGGCACTCCAAAGGATCACCACTTCTGCACAGTGAATCGTTGGTTGCCCTTTCCCCTATTTGGAAGAACTTTATAGGCCCCACAGCTTTCAGAAAGCTCAAAGAATTCTTGGGGATCCATCTCACCTGGCTTTTAAAAAAATATTGCCATAAGGTAGACTGTAAAGTAAAGGTAAAGGTTTCCCCTTGACATTATGTCTAATTGAGTCCGACTTGGAGGGGTGTGTGTGTGATGCTCATCTCAATTTCTAAGCCAAAGAGCCAGTGTTGTCCGTAGACGCCTCCTAGGTCATGTAGCTGGCAAGACCACATGGAATGCCATTACCTTCCCACAGAAGGGGTACCTATTGATCTCACATTTGCATGTTTTCGAACTGCTAGGTTGACAAAAGCTGGGCCTAACTATGGGAGTTCACCCCGTCCACAGATTCAAACCACCGATCTTTTGGTCAGCAAGTTCCACAGCTCAGCAGTTTAACCTGCTGCGTCACCATGGCCCCTAAGGCAAATGGTACAGGGTGACAAAGACAAGGACAAGCCGACTGAAGGATAGTTTTTTCCTAGAGCTGTAGCTATGTTGAACTCTGTGGTTTTGCACGGATATGGCATTGGGGCTGTGCAGTGGTGGTAGTTGGGGTGTGAAGGGATGGGTGTGTTGTTTTGTGGTGTGTGCGGGAGAAGGCATGTAATTTCATCGTGTAGTAGTACAATGACAAATAAAGCTATTCTAATTATGCCTCTCTGGAGGAGGCTTCCTGCCACTTACCGATATTGTGCCAGGAAAGGGGGGGGGCATGAACGATTTGGCCTGCCTCATAGCACAACATGGATATGCACCGGGAAGTCTCCAGAGAGGATAATGGTGGCCCATGAAGTTTTTATTTTATTTTAAGGTGTGTGTTTGGGGGTGGGGGTGTGGGGAGAGGGTGGGTTCCTTCTTCGCTTCTCCAGACCCATACACCATTAGACTCAGGTCTTTCAGGAAGCCCTGGTTCTAATGCAGTATCTAAATAATTCCTCCTTTACAGAGGTGTTGTTTGGACACCTCTGGTAAAAGCATGAGAGCTTGCACATTTTGGGCCCTGTCTGGATGGGCCCTAAGTGACTTCTAAGATTGCTGTTGAGAGTATATTGAGAATATATCTCCCTGGTATGCGTGCTGTGGATTTAACAATGCTGTCATAGCTGTTAACTTTCTTTTTCTCATGTAATTTTAAACTCTTTGAGCATTGTCTGTTTTACCTACAGCAATTCTTAGATGAGACTGCAGGTTTGGACCCCTTTCAATCAGGTTTTCGTTCAGGTCATGGGACAGAGACTGTCTTGGTAGCTATTACTGATGAAATTCGTCGTCCGTTAGACCAAGGTAGATCAGCGCTATTGGTACTCTTGGACCTCACAGCTGCATTCGACACTGTGGACCATGATTCATCGCTGATTCATCAATTGGCTATGTCTGGTGTACGAGGTTTAGCCCTGAAATGGTTCGATTCGTTCCTCCGGGACCGGAGACAGAGGGTGGAGTGGTTAGGCCAAAGCTCTGAGAGCTCCTGCCTTTGCTGTGGAGATCCCCAGGGTGCTATCCTCTCGCCCCTGTTATTTAACATCTACGTCCGACCACTAGCTAGACGACTGGTGCGGAGCTTTGGCATAGAGTGCTACCAGTATGCAGATGATACCCAGCTACTCTTGCGTCTCGAACCTGGGACAACCATGATTCCTGAGAACTTTAGGCTGTGTTTGGAAGCAGCGATGAGTTGGCTGCGAGCGAGCAGACTAAAAGTGAATCCTGCTAAAACTGAGATACTCTGGCCTGGCCAGCCGCCAGAATTAACCCAGTCTCTGCCTGATTTCGATGGGGAAGCTCTGGTTCCGTCTGCCACTGTTAAAAGCCTTGGGGTTGTGTTGGACTCATCGCTGACGATGGAGGCCCAGATCACTGCCATAAGTAAGCAGGCCTTTTTTCATCTTCGCCAGGCAAGGAAATTGGCATCCTACCTTTCGGTAGAAGCATTGGCAACAGTAATCCACGCAACAGTCACCACGAGGTTGGACTATTGCAATGCCTTATATGCTGGCCTTCCGAAGTCAACAACCCAGAAGATTCGGATGGTCCAAAATGCAGCGGCCAGGCTGCTAGCGGGATCATCTATAAGATCCCATATCACACCGATTCTACAACTGCATTGGCTACCAATAGAACATCGGATCTCTTACAAGATACTGATCCTGACATTTAGAGCTCAAAATGGACAAGGACCTTTATATCTTAGGGACCGCCTCATTCCTTTTTCCCATCAGTGGTCACTTTGATCCACCCAGGAAAATCTCCTATACATACCGGGCCCTAGGGAGGTACACCTGGAAGCTACAAGGCGTAGAGCTTTTTCGATCTATGCTGTGGAACTCATTGCCTCCATACATTAGAGCAATGTCAGAGTTGGAACCTTTTGTAAAGGCACTCAAGGCTTGGCTCTTTGGTTGTGCATTTAAGTAAAGTGATCAGATCTAATTTGCCAAATAGTCACTGTTGTATGGTTTTATGTTGAATGTTTTTATATTGTGTAAATGCTATTTTAAATTGTAAGTCGCTCGGAGCACCTTGGTGGAGAGCAACTAACTAAGAAATAAAGTGAAGTGAAGTGAAGATAATGGCATAAACTTTGGAATTATTTATTTCTAATTGATGAAAAATTGAAACTAAATTACTAATGATAATAGTAAACAGATAAGAGTGTAAACAGATAAGGGCACCCCGGTGGCACAGTGGGTTAAAGCACTGAGCTTGTTGACTGAAAGGTTGCAGGTTCGATTCCGGGGAGCAGTGTGTGCTTCCGCTGTCAGCTCCAGCTTTTACCAACCTAGCAGTTCGAAAACATCCAAATGTGAGTAGATCAATAGGTACCGCTCCAATGGGAAGGTAACGGCGTTCCATGCAGTCATGCCAGCCACATGACCTTGGAGGTGTTTATGGACAACGCTGGCTCTTCGGCTTAGAAATGGAGATGACCACCACACCCCAGAGTCGGACATGACTGGACTTAATGTCAGGGAAAAACTCTTACCCTAACCTAAGAGTGCCTTCAACCACACATCTAGAATTAGGTTAGTTATGAGCATCATAGGAGATCTCACTGTCTTCACTCCAGTGTTTGCCTGTCCTTTTCTTCCTGTTTCTTTCGGCCATGACAATGGCAGCTACCACAGTAACAAAAACCGTAAAAGTTATTACAAGGACGGTGACAGTCTCAGCAATACACAACTGTGTATCCACAGAGGAAAGAGGGAGGTTGCTCAGAATATGGGGCTCCTTGCATGTCACATTGTGGTAGTCGTCCAAGATCAGCCTCCTGACACTGTGCAGTTTTGCAAAAACTCTTTGAAGGTCACAGTCACAGAACCACGGATTGTTTGACAGCAAGATGTGAGTCCCAGGTGTCTGCAGAGATAACAATGTTTTGAATCGAATATGCTCGATTTTATTGTGGACCAAGTTAAGTACAGTGAGGCTGCTTAAAGAAGTAAACACACCAGGAGCAATGGTTTTGATAACGTTGCCCTCCAAATTCAAAACTTCCAAGTGTTGAAGCATGGAAAAAACACCGTTGTGCAAGGCATGAAGGCGATTGTTCTGAAGAAAAAGGTGTCTCAGGCGAGTGAGACTGCGGAAAGCACCTGTTTCGATTGAAGATATATTATTATTTTGCAGATTGAGCTTCTGGAGATTTTCAAAGTGCTGGAAGCTCTTGTACTGCAAGTCCTGCAGCCTATTATAGGCTAAAATGAGTTCGTGGAGAGACATGAGCCCCACTGAGAAACCGTTTCCAAGGAATGAAATCTCATTCCTACAAATATCAAGCCTATGGAGTCTTTCCAGGGAGACGAATGCCCCGTCTTCAATGTTGCAGATGTAGTTTCCGCTCAAGAGAAGAATTTGTAGTTTCCATAGGTGTCTTAGACCTTTCCATGGAACAGAATGCAAATTGCTATTTGACAGGTCCAAGTGCTCAGCCTCGGAAGGGAACATGACATTATAACTTACATTGACTCCTGAACAGTTCACAAACCTTGCCCCATCTTTACAAAAGCAGTTTTTTTGACAAGCATAATGTATTTTGTAGTCACCGAGAGAAAGAGGAATCCAGAGACAGATGACGTAATGGAAATACATCTTCTGCTTCCTCCTGTACTTCGTTGATTCCTGTGAGACAACACAAAATATAATTGAGAAAAAGCAGCACAATTCATATTTGCATTTAGTCTATTCTACCATTAAGACTGTTACCAAATACCTATCTATATAAATAAAAATGTAATGTTTGTTTGTGGGATTAACAGAACTCAAAAACCACTGGACAAATTGACACCAAATTTGGACACAAGACACCCAATGTATGTCCTTCACTCAAAAAATTGATTTTGTCATTTGGGAGTTGTAGTTGCTGGGATTTATAGTTCACCTACAATCAAAGAGCATTCTGAACCCCACCAACAATAGAATTGAACTAAACTTGGCACACAGTTCTCCCATGACCAATAGAAAATACGGGAAGGGTTTGGTGGTTTGGGAGTTGTAGTTCACCTACATCCAGAGATCACTGTGGACTCAAACAATGATGGATCTGGACCAAATTCTATATAAATATTCAATATGCCCAAATGTGAACACTGGTGGAATTTGGGGAAAATAGAATCTTGACATTTGCAAGTTGTACTTGCTGGGATTTATAGTTCACCTACAATCACAGAACATTCTGAACCCCCCAATGATAGAATTGGGCCAAACCTCCCACACAGAACCCCCATGTTCAGCTATAAATCGGATCTCTTACAAGATACTGATCCTGACATTTAGAGCTCAAAATGGCCAAGGACCTTTATATCTTAGGGACCACCTCATTCCTTTTCTCCATCAGTGGTCACCTCGATCCACCCAGGAAAATCTCCTATACATACCGGGCCCTAGGGAGGTACACCTGGAAGCTACAAGGCGTAGAGCTTTTTCGACCTATGCTCCAATTCTGTGGAACTCATTGCCTCCATACATTAGAGCAATGTTGTTGTTGCGACCTTTTGTAAAGGCACTCAAGACTTGGCTGTTTGGTTGTGCATTTAAGTAATCAGATCTAATTTGCCAAATAGTCACTGTTTAATGTTTTTATGTTGAATGTTTTTATATTGTGTAAATGCTATTTTAGACTGTAAGTCGCTCGGAGCACCTTGGTGGAGAGCGACTAATTAAGAAATAAAGTGAAGTGATTAACGGGGTTGTTGATACCCACAAGGATAAATCTGTTAAAAAAGGAAAAGGATCCCGGGGCACAACAGGGGTACTCCCCAGATCCTGTACTCAATTATTGGAAGAGCTTGATGTGGTAGATATATGGAGATTGCAAAACAAAAGGGAGATCGACTACACTTTTTATTCCAATCGTCACCAAACATGGTCACGCATTGACATGATTTGGTGTTCGAAATCCATAGTAAATAAGGTGGAGAAATCCAAAATATTGTCAATACTAACATCAGATCATGCTCCGACCCTATTAGTAATACGAGAAAATGAACAGGGAAAACCAACCTTTAATTGGAGATTAAACGAGTACCTAATCAAAGGAGAATATAACCTAAATAGATACAAGGAATTGCTAAAAGAATTTTTTACCTTCAACACGGAGAAAGATACTGACATAGAAACCATCTGGGACGCCTCCAAAGCCTATATAAGGGGTCATTTTATAGAACACACAATCAGAGAAAAGAGGGAAAAAAAACAAGATGACGAGAAACTAAGAAAAGAGCTAGAGGAAAAAGAAAAGCTAACTAAACTAAACCCATTGAACTCAAAATTACGATATCAGACAGACATAATAAGAAAGAAGTTAAACACTCTAAACTTGGATGAGATGGGAAAAAAACTCAAATACGTAAAGCAGGAATACTTCGAAAATGCAAACGGAGTGAGCAGATGGTTAGCCAGGAAGCTGGCTCTAAAAAAACAATCCCGTAGAATAATACAGATAAGAGAGGATGAGAAAACTTTCCATAAAACCCCAGATATACTAGAACAATTTGTTAAATATTACAAGAAGTTATATGAAGACGATAGGATACCCAAAGAAGAGGTGATGCAATTTTTAGGCCGGCAAAACATAACAAAAATAACGGAGGCCCAAAGAGAAAAATTAAATAAAAGAATCTCGATAGAAGAACTACAGAAAATGATAAAGAACATACCTACACGCAAGGCACCTGGCCCAGATGGGCTCCCAGCAATGTACTATAAAACTCTCCTAGAACCTTTGGCAATCCCTCTGTTAAAAGTGATGAACAAGGCACTAGAAGGTGGTGTAATTCCTGACACGTGGAAGCCAGCGTTTATAACGCTGATATATAAAGAAAACACAGATAACACTAAAACCAAAAACTACAGACCCATTTCCCTCCTCAATAATGACTATAAAATATTTACAGGCATCCTAGCTAACAGATTAAAAGAAATACTTATGGAGAGGATAGAGGAAGATCAAAAAGGGTTCTTACCAAGACGTCAGATAAAGGAAAATATACGTATAATAGTTGACGCAATAGAATATTACGATAAAAACATTAATAAAGAAGTGGCCTTCCTATTCGTGGACGCCGAAAAGGCGTTCAACAACGTCAACTGGTTCCTCATAAAAGAAACATTAAAAGAGATGGACACAGGTTACCATTTCAATAAAGCCATTGAAGCTTTGTATTCGCAACAACACGCAAATATAATAATTAATGGTCAGAAATCATCCAGATTTAATATTGAGAAAGGAACCAGACAGGGTTGTCCATTGTCTCCCCTTATCTTTATAATGACCTTAGAACTACTAATGAACAACATAAGGAGAAACGAAGATCTAAAGGGGCTAACGATAGGAAAATATAAATTTAAAATTCGRGCGTACGCCGATGAYATCGTTTGTGTGCTGGAAGATCCYAKCAATACCATAGAGAAGTGGTGGTCAGAATTRGAATCATATGGGKCAGTGGCGGGACTGAGAATAAAYAAAGWAAAAACGCAAATGCTAACAAAGAACATYAYTAAAAAGAAAGTAGAGGAGCTTCAAAAAAAATTGAAATYARAATAGTGGAGAAGGTTAAATACCTGGGAGTCATATTAACAGCCAAAAATACGCAACTCTACAAGAATAATTATGAGAAAAAATGGCAGTCGATAAAAGAAAAACTGAGGAGATGGGAGCCGCTAAAACTCTCCCTGYTRGGGAGGATAGYGGCAATACAAATGAACGTCCTCCCARATCTGCTCTATCTGTTCCAGRCCATACCCATCATCAAAACAAGAAAAACGTTTGATATTTGGCACAGAGATATCCTAAAGTTTATATGGAAAGGGGGAAAACATAGAGTAAGCTTCACTAACTTATGTGACAACAAAAGTAGGGGTGGATTAGCACTTCCTAACTTACGACTTTATCACGATGCATCAGCTCTATGTTGGGTTATATATATGTGTGTGTGTGTGTGTGTGTGTGTATGTATATATATATATGTGTGTGTGTGTGTGTGTGTGTGTGTATATGTATATATCTGAATTTGCCCAACAAACTAGAAAAAAATAACATTTCCAGGGTGAGTTATCTCACTGACAAAGAAAAAGTGATACCAGTTTTATTTCACCATAAATGTTTACAAAAAGAAGATTCAATAAGTATGCCAATCCTTTTGTATTGGAACAGAAGGCTAATTTTAATGAGGGCACAGAAGGAGGCAGAAGATTGTGGTTTATCACATAGTGATACAGAATTTTTTAATAATATATTGAAAAGTTAAAGAAGATATTTTTAATTTATTTTCAAATAAGGAGATTGTAAAGGGCATCACTTCTAGTTGGAGATGTACATTTTGAAACTGACAGTGGGCATACTTTCTCCTGGCTAATTATGGCAGTTGTCCATATAATACGATACACCAAGTTATCAACAATAACCAAGTGCTCAAATCAGCCAATGCTTGAAACAGAAATTTCCAGTCTGTTGGAGCCCTCCATATCACCTGTAAACCAGCTTCATATCATATTCCAGCCTCTTAGGTCTGGTTTTAGGGGTTCACAATGGGCTGCCAAGAAGAAAAATGATGCCCCCCTCAGTTCTGTTGACTCCTGTTGTTCCACCAGCAGGGAATCACCATTGACTATTGTCCTGTATTTCCAACACAGATTATATTCTAAAGCAAAATGTGATCACAGGCTATGCATCCATGACCATACAATTCAGTTTGCAACTATAACATTTTGTTTAAAATTTTCTGTTTTTATTGCCCATAATTTTACACAGTAAAATACAAGGAGTAGTATTTTGAATCTGCTCTCATATTTAAAATAGTAAATCTCCCTCTGGTTACGAACCTCACACTTGTGTTGTAAGTCTCTACAAGTGAGCAGAATCTATATAAATAAAAATGTAATGTTTGTTTGTGGGATTAACATAACTCAAAAACCACTGGATGAATTGCTGCCAAATTTGGCCACAAAACACCTCTTAACCCAAGGAGTGACCATCACTCAAAAAATAATTTTGTCATTTGGGAGTTGCAGTTGCTGAGATTTATAGTTCACCTACAATCAAAGAGCATTCTGAACTCCACCAATGAGGGAATTGAACCAAACATGGTACACAGGACTCCCATGATCAACATACAACACTAGAAGGGTTTGCTGGGCACTGACCTTAGTTTGGGAGTTGTAGTTCAGCTACATCCAGAGAGCACTTTGGACTCAAACTATGATGGATCTGGACCAAACTTGGCACAAATATTCCATATGCCCAAATATGAACACAGATAGAGTTTGGGGGAGGGGGGGAATAGACCTTGACATTTGGGAGTTGTAGTTACTGGGATTCACCTACAATCAAAGAACATGCTGAACCCCACCAACGACAGAATTGGGGCAAACTTCCCACACAGAACCCCCATACTTAAGGCCATCCAGTCCCACTCTCTTCACCAGGACAAGAAAACGTAATCAAAACCCTCCTGACAAAGAGCCATCCAGCCATAGATATAGGTAGATTTTTTTTGTCATGTCAGGAGCGACGTGAGAAACTGCAAGTCGCTTCTGGTGTGAGAGAATTGGTCGTCTGCAAGGACTTTGCCCAGGGGACGCCTGGATGATTTGATGTTTTTATCATCCTTGTGGGAGGCTTCTCTCATGTCTCCATATGAGGAGCTGGAGCTGATAGAGGGAGCTCATCTGCCTCTCCCCAGATTCGAACGTGCGACCTTCAGTCCGTCCGGCACAGGGGTTTAACCCACTGCCCCATCGGGGGCTCCATATAGGTAGATATATATGATTCACACACAGAGAGCTATAGTATGATAGATTTGAAAGGGTCCCCTAAAGAAAGACAATTATGTGTTGCATGTTCCAGAGTAGGCAAACCAGACAAACTCCACATCAACACTGACAAAGAAACATCAAGAAATACTGTTTACCCACAAGCATAAAGAAATTACCGTATATTCCGGCATATAAGACGACTGGGCGTATAAGACGACCCCCAACTTTTCCAGTTAAAATATAGAGTTAAGACGACTCCCATGCATAAGACTACACCCGCGTATAAGACGACCCCTGACTTTTGAGAAGATTTTCTTGGGTTAAAAAGTAGTCTTATACGCCAGAATATACTGTACATATATTACAACCCCAACATTTTCTCATTACTTTATTTTCCAGATCACCAGACTTGGCCACAGCGACGCATGGCAGGGGACGGCTAGTAAAACAACAATACTGGAGCATGTATTTCTGTGTTACAGTGTGTACTCATTTGTAATAATGGCTGCAACACACTCTAGTCTCATTCTTTGTTTGGCTTTCCCAAACAAGGCATACTATGTGGAATGTAAGAAAACATTAATAGTATATTAAACAACAGTAACAGCATGAGCTCCATATTTCAAAGGAAAAAAAAATATTTTGGCCCAGACTGGCTTTTCAGCAACTTTCACAATTCCTATTACAATTCACACCAAAACCATTCTTACCTTTTCTGAAGCCTGATCCAGAATGGTTTTCTCAGATGTCCCTTAAAACAGCTGATGGAAAAAGTACAGAGGTGAAAGGGTTGTCTGTCATTGTGCTTAGAAGGACCAGTTGAAATGTGTGTGTCTGCAAAAGCTCATGTAAAGCAGAAGGTCTAACAATTAGAAAGGGAAGTGTTAATTATTTAGCCAGCTGCAAGAAGAGATAACAAAATTATGCCTGCCAGCTGCCTCTCCCGATAAGTAAGTGCAATCACTTTGTAAGAGTGTTGAAATCTTAACAAATGTAGGGAGTCGTATTTGGGTCAAACCTTCTTAATAAATGAGTACAGTGGAAGTTGTTGGAGCACACATATCATAGAATCATAGAATCAAAGAGTTGGAAGAGACCTCATGGGCTATCCAGTCCAACCCCCTGCCAAGAAGCAGGAATATTGCTTTCAAATCACCCCTGACAGATGGCCATCCAGCCTCTGTTTAAAAGCTTCCAAAGAAGGAGCCTCCACCACACTCTGGGGTAAAGAGTTCCACTGTTGAACAGCTCTCACAGTCAGGAAGTTTTTCCTCATGTTCAGATGGAATCTCCTTTCTTGTAGATTGAAACCATTCTTCCGTGTCCTAGTCTCCAGAGAAGCAGAAAACAAGCTTGCTCCCTCCTCCCTGTGACTTCCGCTCACATATTTATACATGGCTATCATATCTCCTCTCAGGCTTCTCTTCTTCAGGCTAAACATGCCCAGCTCTTTAAGCTGCTCCTCATAGGGCTTGTTCTCCAGACCCTTGATCATTTTAGTCGCCCTCCTCTGGACACATTCCAGCTTGTCTCTTCAATTGTGGTGCCCAGAATTAAAAGCCTAGAAGCTCTTATTTTAGATCAAAATCTAACAACTTTGGTAGGACCACATAGAATAATGGAATAATAGAGTTGGAAGAGACCACACAGGTCATCTAGTCCAACCCCCTGCTATGCAGGAAAAGCACATATCACCAAATATCCTCTGGGAGGGAGCGGTTCCATCTCTTTTATATTCATGTTAGATTTACAATGGTAAATTCTGAGCATCTTTATGTGTGTGAAAGCAGATCCTTCAATACAATGTTGTTGCTGTTTATTCGTTCAGTCGCTTCCGACTCCTGTGACCTCATGGACCAGCCCACACCAGAGCTCCCTGTTGGCTGTCACCACTCCCAGCTCCTTCAGAGTCAAGCCAGCCACTTCAAGGATACCATCTATCCATCTTGCCCTTGGTTGGCCCCTCTTCCTTTTTATTTATTTTCCTCTGGGCCAGAGCGAAGAGAGGAGAGGCCAGGGGACAATTTCACCTTGTCTCCTGTGCTATTGTAATAATATAATATAATATGATATAGTATATTGTATATACATATAATATTTATAATATTATAATGTAATATATAAAAATAAAAATGTAATGTTCGTTTGTGGGATTAGCATAACTCAGAAACCACTCGGGGAATTGACACCAAATTTGGACACAATACACCTAACAACCCAATGTATGTCCTTCACTCAAAAAAACCACTGAAAAAAAAACAGCAGAAGAGACTTTAAAAGCCCCCAAACACTAAATGACAATACAGAAAAAAGGGAAGAAAGAGGGAGGGAAGGGGAGAAAAGAAAGAAAGAAAGAAAGAAAGAAAAGAAAAGAAAAGAAAAGAAAAGAAAGAGGGTGGGAAAGAAAGAAAGAAAGAAAGAAAGGGAGAATGAAGCATGGAAGCAAAGATAGAAGGAAGGAAAGAGGTAGAGAAGGAAGAAAAGAGAGAAAGAGGGAGGGAAAGAAAAAGGGGGAAGGAAAGTTAGAGAAGAAAAGAGGGAGAGAAGGAAGGGGGGAAGATGTAGAGAAAGGGAGGGAAGGAAGAAAAGAGAGAGAGAGCAGAAGAGAAAGAAAAGGGGAGAAAGAAGGAAAGAGATAGAGAAGGAAGGAAGAAGAGAAGGAAGGAGGGAAAGAAGGATAGAAAGAGTGAAGGTTGGCCACAGCAACGCATGGCGGGTACAGCTAGTGCAATATAATAATAATAATAATAATAACAATAACAATCACAATATGTTATAATTATATATTTATATTACATGTAATATTACTAATAATATTACGATATAGTGGTATGGTACAAAATAGCAATGTTTAATGCTGATATTGTACTATGCTAATAATATAATATATTGTATTATATTATTGTGGCGCAGCTGGCTGAGTGTCAGCTGCATTAAGATCACTCTGACCAAAAGGTCATGAGTTCGAAGCCAGCCCGGGTTGGAGTGGGTTTCCAACTAATTGTGTAGCCTGTTGTCGACCTTCGCAACCCGAAAGACAGTTGCATCTGTCAAGTAGGAAAATTAGGTACCACCTTAAAGTGTGGGGAGGTTAAATTAACTAATTTATGATGCCATAAAGAAGACTCCAGCAAATCACTCCAGCAGGGAAGCATGCGGGGAATGCGGAAGTGCTTCCTCAGTGTCGCAGATGGACGATGAAAGCGACAGCTCCCCTGGCGGCCAGAAAAAGTTAAATAGCCTCTGTGTATGTCTGTATACGTTGTATGTTAAAATTGGCATTGAATGTTTGCCATATATGTGTACACTGTAATCCTCCCTGAGTCCCCTGCGGGGTGAGAAGGGCGGAATATAAATGCTGTAAATAAATAATAAACAAATAAATATACCTTGTAAGCCACTCTGAGTCCCCTCCGGGGTAAGAAGGGCGGCATATAAATGCCGTAAATAAATAAATAAACCTTTTCCTTCCATTTTCCCAAGCATCATTGTCAATACAATATTTATAGTTAAATTTAAATGAGCTAGTTTCAGTAGCCAGAGACTGCAACTGGCTTTTTTGAACAGAGTAACCAAATGGAACAACAAATTGTGGTTAATCACAAGGGCAGAAGGATAGAGAGCGGAGAAGCAGACAAGCCCATAGAGAGACTAAGTTCATTCTCATGTCTTGCTAAACTGGAATTCAGCAAGATGTCGCTGGGTGGACCAATACAAGACAGGAGCTGAGGGAGCTACGTTATTTCCAAATTCACTGAAATACATGTTCTTGACATAAGTATAGCAAGGTAGAAAATGTCCTCAAAATAATGCCATCCCCCTTTGAAAGATAGGCAAAATCTAAGTTATTAAAACACAATTATAGCAGTTTTAAATAAGAATGTAAATGCCGTATGCATTTAATAATTATTTTTGAAATCCAAGAAGAAACACTGACGGAGGCATGATGGCACTTAACATGAATAATACATTTATGCAGACCTGTCAAAAAGTTATGCTTCCTGGTAATTCAAATATAAAACTCTGATCAATTATTTTCACATGGAAAAGCTAAAACTACAATCATACTAAAATATGCAAACCGTTCTACATAAATATCTGATGCTCAAACTATCATGTACACTGACTCTTTTATTATTCAACTGAACACTGGTGTCTAGCGATGCTGTCCATGCAGGCACGGGGTCTGTTGAAGGCGTTCGTTGGAGAATCAAGTGGGGATGGAAGCTGCTCTCAGCCCATCTAAAGTGCTTCTTTTTGTGGAGACTGCCCTAAGTTCATAGAAAGAGAAATTAAGAAGCTAAGATTTTACTTTATTAATGACACAGGCTTCATGGAGTGCAGGCAAGATAAAAAGTTGATATCGTTTCAAAAATCAGTTATATGGTCTTTGGTTTTAAAATTGCATGGTTTAAAATGACTTCATTACAAATGCTAACCTGAAACACCTGGCACAATTTTCTGTGTAAAACATCAGATTTAAATAATATTATGCAGCAGGTCATGTAGTTTATTATTACGACGAACTATTGGCGTTATATAGTCCTAAACAGAAAATTGATATTTTAAATGGAGGCATTTAGATACCAAATCATACTTCAGAAGACTGGGAATAAATGCGGTGTTTATTGTATATAGCAGGCATGGGCAAACTTTGGCCCTCCAGGTGTTTTGGACTTCAACTCCCACAATTCCTAACAGTCGGTAGTTTGCCCATGAGTGGTATATAGCCATGCATAAGCCAACCTCGTGAATAAGTTGAAGACAGGTTTGGGGGTCAAAATTGTATGTTTTGATATGACCTTTGGCTAGGATGAGGGCAAAATTTTGAGGCTCTGTATGAAGATACTTGGTTCCATTCCACAGAGAAGTGGAAGAGCCAGTACTGGCCCAGCCTACTTATCCAAACATATATCTCTCTATGTTCTACCTCATGATTTAAGATCTACTGGGGAGGCCCTGCTCTCGGTCCCACTGGGGAGGCCCTGCTCTCGGTCTGGTGGGGACTAGGGACAGGGCCTTCTCAGTGGTGACCCCCCGCTTGTGGAATTTGCTCCCCAGTGAAATTAGATCGGCGTCCTCCTTCCTCTCTTTTAGGAAAAAAACTAAAGTCGTGGTTTTGGAGTCAAGCCTTTGGCTAGTGAGCACAGCAGCACTTTAGACACTGAACCCGGACAATAGGATTGTTATGACAATTGGAAATGGCTATATGACTTGTGATTATGTGATTTGTTCTATGTGATTATGTAATTTTAGTTAATATTACTGTTTTAATTTGCTATGTACTAGAATTTTATATTGTTGTTATTGATATTGTCCGCATTGAATTGCTGCCTGTGTTAGCTGCCCCGAGTCCCCCCTCGGGGGTGAGAAGGGAGGGGTAGAAATGGTGTAAATAAATAAATAAATAAATACTGTCTCAGGAAGCCACCTGCTCCTGGCTGCCTCCACCCTCTTCGTATCTGGTCATTCCAAAACGTTACCAGAGAATAAAGGGGATGAATGCTCTCCTTTTTAGGAGAAACTAAAGGAAATTTCAGGCAAAAATTGGTATGATAAGAAACAAAGATGGCAGGGACCTAACAGAAGCTGAAGAGATCAAGAGAAGGTGGCGAGACTATACAGAAGATCTGTATAGGAAGGATAATAATATTGAGGATAGTTTTGACGGTGTGGTGAATGAATTAGAACCAGACATCCTGAGGAGTGGGGTTGAATGGGCCTTAAGAAGCATTGCTAACAACAAGGCAGCAGGAGACGACGGGATCCCAGCTGAACTGTTTAAAATCTTAAAAGATGATGCTGTCAAGGTGATGCATGCCATTGCCAGCAAATATGGAAAACACAAGAATGGCCATCAGACTGGAAAAAATCAACTTATATCCCCATACCAAAAAAGGGAAATGCGAAAGACTGCTCCAACTTCCGTACAGTGCCCCTTATTTCTCATGCCAGTAAGGTAATGCTCAAGATCCTGCAAGGAAGACTCCAGCAATACATGGAGCGAGAGTTGCCAGATGTTCAAGCTGGGTTTAGAAAAGGCAGAGGAACGAGAGACCAGATTGCCAATATCCGCTGGATAATGGAGAAAGGCAGGGAGTTTCAGAAATACATCTACTTCTGCTTCATTGACTATTCTAAAGCCTTTGACTGTGTGGATCATAATAAATTGTGGCAAGTTCTTAGTGGGATGGGCATCCCAAGCCACCTTGTCTCTCTCCTGAGGAATCTGTACAAGGACCAAGTAGCAACAGTAAGAACTGACCACGGAACAACAGACTGGTTCAAGATTAATAAAGAGCAAGTAGCAACAGTCAGAACTGACCATGGAACAACAGACTGGTTCAAGATTGGGAAAGGCGTACGGCAAGGCTGCATCCTCTCACCCAACCTTTTTAACTTGTATGCAGAACACATCATGCGATGTGCGGGGCTTGATGAATGCAAGGCTGGGGTGAAAATTGCTGGAAGAAACATTAACACCCTCAGATATGCAGATGACACCACCCTGATGGCCGAAAGCGAGGAGGAGCTGAGGAGCCTTCTAATCAAGGTGAAAGAAGAAAGCGCAAAAGCCGGGTTGCAGCTAAACGTCAAAAAAACCAAGATTATGGCAACAAGAATGATTGACAACTGGAAAATAGAAGGAGAAACCGTGGAGGCCGTGACAGACTTTGTATTTCTAGGTGCAAAGATTACTGCAGATGCAGACTGTAGCCAGGAAATCAGAAGACGCTTACTTCTTGGGAGGAGAGCAATGTCCAGTCTCGATAAAATAGTGAAGAGTAGAGACATCAGACTGGCAACAAAGATCCGCCTAGTCAAAGCCATGGTATTCCCTGTAGTCACCTACGGATGTGAAAAGCCTTTGACAACACATCTCCCTACTATTTCTGGCAGCCTTCTGAATGCCCGAGTGGCAAAGTAGCTGCAGCAGTGGCTCTTCAAGGACTTTACAACCATGGTGGAGTCATTGCTGTGTGGTCCTTTTGGGAACTGAAGAACAGGCTGAGGAAGGATGGGATGGGAAAAGCTTTGCCTTGTCCAAGGCAAATTAATTCATTAAGTTCATTTTCCGGTCCCAATTCAAGGTGCAGGTGCTCACCTACAAAGCCCTTAACGGTTTGGGACCTGCCTACTTGTGTGACCGCATCTCTGTCTATGAACCCGCACGCTCTCTTCGTTCATCCGAAGAGACCCTGCTCATGATCCCACCTGCGTCGCAAGCGCGGCTGGTGGGGACGAGGGACAGGGCCTTCTCTGTGGTAGCCCCCCGACTCTGGAACTCCCTCCCCAAGGACATCAGACAAGCCCCTATGTTGGCAGTCTTTACGAAGAGCTTGAAGACCTGGCTATTCTAGTGTGCCTTTCCAGAATAGGAAAACCCCAGCATCATGTCCCAAAAGCACTTTATTAGAGATTAAGATTGTCTGCACATTGCACCTATCCAAAAATCCTTATATATCACTCAGCATACTCAGGATTTTTAAATCTGTACCCATTACATTTGCCCATCCTAGGTTTTATTGTATCAAGGTGTGTTGTTTTATTGTTTACTTTATTGCTTTAATGTTTTTGATTTGCTTTTGGTTTATATGTAATAGTTATATTGTTGTTTTATTGTGGCCTTGGCCTTTGTAAGCCGCATTGAGTCCTTCAGGAGATGCTAGCGGGGTACAAATAAAGTTAATAATAATAATAATAATAATAATAATAATAATAATAATAAATGTTTAGGGAAGGTACCACCACCTCCTCCTCCTGTTTTGGAAGAAATGAAGACCGAAGGGAGAACAAGGTGTCTTGCAAGGTGGTAGCTGGTAGCTCATACACCAGCGATTCCATGGATTTTGGTATCCATGGAGAAAAGGGTAATGGAATCAAAATCTAGTAGGAATTAAGAGCCCATTGTGTGTGTGTGTGTGTGTGTGTGTGTGTGTGTATATACGCATATTTATTTATTTATTTCAATCATTTGCACCCTGCCCTTCTCAACCCCCAGAGGCAGGACTCAGGGCGGCTTACAGCCGGAACAATTCAATGCCACTACATAACAAATAATACATACAGCGATTATCTATGAATAATACATTTAATTAGTTTAAAATTTGTTTAAAACTAGAAAGTACAATGATAAAAGTACAATAATACTGGCTGTCTAGCCTTATCTAGAAACAAATTCAGCAAACACAACACAACATACATATATTCTGAAATAAATACCCCTTAACTTCAATGGTTTTTAAATGCCATCACCTCTAGTCCTGGAAGACAATTCTACATATAATCAATTTTAGTTGTAAAAGAATTAATTTCAAAAGTGATCATTTTCTTATTTCTTTTGAAAATATTTCTTTGACTAGCCACCAACTAGTGAAGGAAAGAAATACAACCTTGTAAAAAGGTATAATTTAAGAAAGAGAACAAAACGCCTGCCTTCAAATTCAGCATCTCTTACCTGGCATAAGAATTCCTAGCCTCTGTTGAATGACCTCCAGATGAGCAATGTATTCAGTCAATGACTTATCAGGATCTTTAGATGAAGCTTGAGAAGTACTGAACCTTTTTGATGCAGAAAAATTAAAATCATCAGATGAAGCTTGAATATTTTTAATTTAAAATATTAAAATCTTCCTAGTCAATACTTAAAACAGTCAGTTAACCAAACATAGTGATATAAGCATGAAGGAAAAAATGTGTCTTAAGCCATGGCTTCTGAAATTGTGGGTTCTGACCCAAAATGTTTCCCCTTAGCTCAACACTGGGGTCACAAAGAATTTGGCAACATCAAAAGCTTTCTTAATGCCCTCTAGTGGCTGTTTCAAGAACTGTAGCTACTGTAGTGAGACTGCGAATCTATTCTAACCTGCTCTTCAGTCAGCAAACTGCATAAATCCTCTTTTTATTTCACTAGGGCTTCAACAGAAGAGCTCTCCTTCACAGCAGAAAATCTATAAGACTCCTCAGAAAATATCTCAATAATATGAATGTAAGTACATTGTGAATAAGAAACATTTGTACAAATACTTCAGTTGACTAATCTAAAAACAAGAAGTGCAACAACAATTAAAAAACAAGTACAGATTTTACAAGTTCTCTGCAGTGCACATTTATAGAGATTACACAAAAATGGCTGGTGTAGACAAACACAAAGAAGTTCTGTATATTCCAGCATATAAGACGACTGGGCGTATAAGATGACTCCCAACTTTTCCAGTTTGGGATTTACTCGCCGTATAAGACTACCCCTTTTCCAACGCACACCAAATAAATTTTTTAAAAGCATCAGATTTGATTTCAATATGGTAATTTTCCTATTACTGGACCTCCTTCTCTGCCTCTTAGATCTCGCACATGCGCACCTGCACCGCTTCACTGGAGTCTTCAGGAGCGAGATCTGAGACGCAGAGGAGGCGGTACGGTAATAGGATACAAGGGCGGGCCAGACAGGTAAAAGAGGTGTGTTTTTCTGGGCCCAGAGCCACTCTATCTCTTTTTTCCACACCCCGGGTGCCCCGGACACCTGCAGCTTGCTCTGCCCTTCACTTACACCTTCCTGGTGAGGTGCCCCTTCACCTCAACATCGGGACCGCATTAAGTCCACGAATCCTGATGAATGGATTTTCTTCTACCGTACTTGTACAGCGTCACCCTTAATGCTTTCATACAGTCACTGCATACAGCAGGGACGCGACCACTGCCATTTTTGAGCTCCCCCCACAATATGCAGCAACCAGATTCTCCAATCCAGATTGGAAGTTTCAGCACTCGCTCTATAAGACGACTCCCGGCATATAAGACGACCCCTGACTTTTAAGAAGATTTTTCTTGGGTTAAAAAGTAGTCTTATACGCCAGAATATACGGTATTTGAATAATGTAGAAATGTATGCTGCTTTACAGAGAGAGCTATAAAATTGTAAAATTGATTTATAGATTGATCTAGAACCCTGATGGCGAACCTATGACACGTGTGTCAGCACTGACACACGTAGCCATTTTCAATGACACGCGGCAGCATGCAGCCGCATACAGAGAAGTATGGAGTTGCATGYCAGGTGCAGTAGCCGAGGATGAAACATTTGCTGTAATSTATTGTAGTCACTCTGTACCGGASGTCTGTAGGCCAATACAACAGAACTCCGGCACAGAGCATCTAGTTCTGGGACTTCCAGTTAGGCTGTTAGAGAATCTTTGACCTCACTTTTGGCTGATGGAGCAGGGAGCAGCGCAGTGCCACGGGGATGCATCTCTGGGGGTCCTGTGATCGCCATTACCAGCAACCACATAACCACAGCAACCATCACCCAATCTACTGTTCTGGGGTGTYGTGGATTTCTCATTGACCATCATTACTGAGATAAGTGAGGGGGAAGCTGGAAGAGGCAAGGGCCTGTGCTATGGGTGCCATTTTCCACCATCTTAATTTACATAAACAATGCCATCTTGCAGCATAGTACAGACTCCGTTTCACCACTATTACTGTTGTGCATATTTATGAACCCCTATTTCTGCTTATTAACCCTGCCCTTTCCTAAAAGACAGTTACATGTGCTATCTTGTGGTCAGTTAGGCTAGTTATCCCCTAATTGCCTAAAGTTATACTATATATTGCAATTATACATTTTTGTTATTTAAACTTTAAATATTGTGAAATTATGGGGTTTTTTTCAAAGTGACACACTACCCAAGTTATGCTCAGTTTTTGGGCGAATTTTGACACACCAAGCTCAAAAGATTGCCCATCACTGATCTAGAATGAATTGAGTTATTAGAAAACAGGAAAATATAGACAGTCTTAAAGAGAGTGTGTGGCAGATATTGCAGTAGATAGAAAAGGGGGAAAAGCAAATATACATCAAAGTGACAAGAACATGAAAAAGTATGGAGAATAGTTAAATTCTGCTAGCTGGGAAGGAAATAAAATGTAAATTGAGGGGGAGAGTCAGTGGATACAACTGGAAAAAAAACCCATCAAGTCTTCTCTCTGAAATAACTTGTAGATTGCTCCTCCAGAGATCCAGAGAATTGTTAGGAAAAGAACATGTGTGAAAAACACAGGCATGAAAGCAAGTTCTACACTAACCTGTCATGTAGGTGTTGTGGTGATTTAGGTGAAGAGTTTGTAAGTCTCACGAGGTTCTTTCTGCTGTCATATCCATCTTCTTGAGTTGCATCACCTGAGAAAGGCTGTTGTAGCTTTATTGCCTCTGGTCTCACTTGATGATCTGAAATGGACAATACATAGTGTTTCATTTGTATTTGAATTCTGCATAAAGGCAGAAACCATCCTCAACTGCGGCCAAGTAAGGAAAAATTATTATGCAAATAGGTATATGATAGAAAAAACCCCAATATAGTCTAGAACAAAAAAAAACTGAATACAAAAGCCATGCCATTAGTACTCCCTCAGGAAGTAGTCAACCATTTAAACATTATAACTCACTACCTGGAGAAATTAGGAAAGCCCCTACCCTAGAAACCTTTAAAAAGAACCTTAAAACCTGGCTCTTCCGCTGCACCTTTGATGAGTAGGTATACAATCTCATACTATTGCTTAACCTCAACGTTTTTTGCCATTGGAGTATATGCCCCCCCCCCCCCCGGGGAAAGCCTGATTCCACTACCCCCACTATAATGAGTCCTCCTCCACAAATAATCTGTCTCTCTTTTATCTCGCCCGAGTTTTTAATTAGTCTTAATCAGTTTTTCTTTTAATCATTACATGTAGCCCACCCATTGTAATTGTGATTGTGCCTTTTGTAATTTTATATTGCTATGTATTCACATGATTTATGTAATTATGTTGTTGTTTATTGTTTGCGTTTTCGGTTTTATTTTATTGTAAATTTGTTGTTTGGGCTTGGCCTCATGTAAGCCGCTCCGAGTCCCCGTTGGGGAGATGGTGGCGGGGTATAAATAAAGATTATTATTATTAAGAGAAAGTTTCTCCTTTGAAATTCACAGCATAGACATTCTTATATCTTATTTTCTTAATAATTGAATGAAAGGAATATGTGGTTTTTTTTTTAGCATAAAGAGTAATTCCACTGTTAAATATTCACAACATGATGGGGAATTGCTGGAAGGTCACACTGGATCCTCATGGGACCTTGGAAGACTGTCTTCTAATAACCACATTATGCCAATATAACCACATTTAAGGTAGGAAAATAGATAGCATAATGTGTAAAGATTTTAATAAATATTTGTCTATTTAACAAAATATAGAATACAAAAGGCTATAAACAGAAGAAAACAAGGCTGAATTCTTCCTAAAAGCCAGGATGGCTGAACTGAGATTGTTGTACTTTAGCTATATTATGAAAAAACATGGCTCACTAGAAATGACCCTAATACTTGGCAAGGTGGGTATCAGGGAAAAGAGAAAGGGCACACTATCTATGTAAATAAAAATGTAATGTTTGTTTGGGGGATTAACATAACTCAAAAACCACTGGACGAATTGACATGAAATTTGGACACAATACACCTATCAAGCCAACGAGTGACCATCACTCAAAAAACACTGAAAAACACAACAGAAGGGACTTAAAAGGCCAAAAAAGCAAAAAGATGCTACAGCGTATGTGCAAAAATGACTCTCCCTCTCAAACAGAACACACAATAGCATATCTACACTATCTTCTGGACTACAACTCCCAGAATCCCCTAGACCAGGCCCTTTAGGAGGAGAGGATGATCCAAATGCACTGCTTCCAAGCTGCAAACTTTCTTCTCCTTGGATTTCTTTGAGAGCATCCCAATCCCTGCATATTTCCAGTTTCCTATTCCTGGACTGCAACTCCCAGTAATCCTCCAGATAGATAGAAACAGACAGATCGATTGATCAGGAGGACTACTGGAAGTTGCAGTCCAAGAATAGGTAGAGAAGGAGGAAAAGAGAGAAAGCAGAAGGGAAAGAAAAGGGAAGGGGGAGGGAAGAGGTAGAGAAGGAAGGAAGGAGAGAAAGAAAGGAGGAGAGAAAGAGAGAAGGAAGATTGGCCACAGCAACATATGGCGGGTACAGCTAGTAGATGTATAAACTCAATCAAAAAACCCATGCCCTGAGTCTGCAAGACCTGAGCAAAGCTATTGATGATATGGCGACTTGGAAGGAATAGCAGCTACAAGACAACAATTTATCTCGTTACTTTACTACCTCAGTTGATTTGCTTGTGCATAAAGATAAGTTATTAACAAAGGGGTCACAGGATTCCTCAGATCAACTTACATGAGTTGTATCCAGTACTAGGAGAAATGGCTGTGGATGGCTGGTCTTTCCTGCTTACTTTATGCCATTTTTTCACCAGAAACTTTAATCTGAGAGAGGGAAATATACACTTTAATAAGCAAAACAATATAGACTCCGAGGACGCCTGCCATAGATGTGGATGAAACGTCAGGAGGGAATGCTTCTGGAAAATGGCCATACAGCCCGAAAATTCACAGCAACCCAATAAAGGTTTTAATTATTTTAACCATTTATTTTTATACCTCCATGTTAAAAAAAATCTACAGCTCTTATGAAGAGGGGGAAAAAAGTTAAAATATCCCTCGGGAAAATGCACTACAGGATTCTTACCTTGATATTGCAATGGCTACTCTGACTGTAGATCTGAACTTGATGAATAAGCGACTGCGTGATTCTGAAGCATTTATATCAGGAAGGGAAGGATAAATGCCCATACGAGCGATCAAAGACAGTGTTGCTTGCTCGCATTCTTGGAATCCACCCAAGAGCAGCAGAAGGTATTTTTTTTGATAAACCAGAGCTTTCCGAAAACTCTCAGCTCTCAGATACTTCTTATATAGCTTCTGCATCTGAGTAAAAGGAAAAAAATGAAAAAAAGGATAGAGCATTTTGCTTAAAAGGAAGGTATTAAGAAATCAATTACAAAAGCTAAAAGCAAAAAGTTCCAGATTTTGGAGGGTTTCAGATTTCTGGATAAGGGAGTCTGCACTTGTATTGGAAAAAAATTAGAAAAGTATTATTCAAAAACATGGAATTTGATGAGGAAACGGGACTGATATAAAAAGTTGAAGAGTGCATGGCGTTCTGGATTTGAGGACATTTTTTCCTGTGAATGAGAGAGACTGGCTTTGGATTTTTTGGTATGGATTTCGCTTCCTAGCTGTTGAGTACTACCTAATAGATTATTCTGTGGCTCCAGACTCTCTCTTCTTCAGAACTCCTCTTTGCTCATAGCACTCCACCTTTCATCTATTCTCTCTTCCTATTTTCAGCCAAATATTACTTCATATGCTACTGCTGATATGGACAGAAACAGCTGATAAATTTTACCTTCAGATTGGATGATACTATGGTTGACTTGGTTTCCATCACAAAATTTGGAGTTTTTGCTTCGTAATCTGTTGATTTCAAAACCTTCTGGAAAACATGTTTACCCTCCTGACAAGCTAGCTCCTCTGATTCTTTTATCAAGTTTGTAACACATGTAGAGATGACCTAGACAAGACATTTAAACAATAGATGGTTAAGCTCTTCATGACTTGACATTTCATTTTTATTCAACAACATTCAATGTTCATATTAAAAAATGAAAACCTATTGTATACATAGTCAACTTGCTACAAAATGAATTTAAATGATTCGAACATGTTTGGAAAAGCGGTAAATAATGCTACACAGAATTTGGAAATCTGATTACTTATAGTTTCTGAAGTCTTGCCTTTGCAATGAATTTCTCACCCCTGGGGGGAACTCAAAGTCGTTTCCAACATAGTCATGGAAAAATTCAATGCCTTACAAAACATGAAAACCTAGTATACGAGGGGTATTTTTTAAGTAAGGTCCGTTTGTTGTAGACACTAGTAGTTCATGCGCATACCGCAACGAGCGCGTGCGTCGTGTACCGGCATGCCTCGGGAACAACTGTGCTCAGTTTCCGCTCTGTAGCTAACCTGTATGGTTCTGTTCTGTGCTTTAAAAATGTTTAAGACTATCAACTCACCCGCCGCATGTGAGGTTCGCTCAGTGATACGGTTTTTGTCAGCAAGGAACCTGCCTGCTGCAGATTTGTGAAGTGTACGGTGATACTGTTATGAGTGAAAGCAATGTGCATAAGTGGGTACGACCATTCAAAGATGGCCGTGACAACATCCATGATGAGGACCGATCCGGTCGCCCTTCTTTGATTACAGTGAACTCTTGGTTACCGGAGCAGGCGGCAAGTTTTTATGAAGAGGGTATTTTAAAATTGGTTCAGAGGTATGATAAGTGTTTGAACAAACTTGGCAACTATGTCGAAAAATAGAGTGAAGTATGTACTTTCTGAAAATAAATTTACTTTTTTGAAATAAACTTTCGTTGTGTACTTATGTTCAAACGGACCTTACTTAAAAAATACCCCTTGTAAAACAACAACATAAAGCTATCAATTAAATCATAAAACGTAACTACTAAAGACTACTGAACATGTTATTTTTTTATAAATGTTTGGAGATTTAGGGGATTAACTACACAAAACCTTTGGATATGACACCTGTTTGCATAGTAATCTTCTGCAAATTCTTCTGAATTGTATTTCTAAGATGTCTAATAAAGAAATTCACAGCAGTTGTTCTAAGTAGATTTGGGTGATTGAAGATGTTATTTAGCATGTTACTTCCTCTTAAAGTTGAATCGATCAAATACTTTTTCTCCTTTAAAATTACACCATGTAATTGTTTCCAAGCATAAACTGAAGTATGAGCAATGGTTTGTGAAAAACAAATGCACATTCTTACCATAGGTTTAGAAGAAGCCAATAATTCCGCTTTCAGTTCAAGGATATGTAACAATGCAGCAACCGCTTCATTGTTTGAGGCAGGCCAGTTAACAGTTCTATCAAGTACAAGAACAGAAAACATATCCCTGGTTTTATATTTGAACTATGAGCCGCCTAGAATAAAAATACCAATGAAAAATTTTGTGAGGGATTTACAGGCATGCAACCTCTCCATTTATATTTTACAGTGTCCATGAAAGGGAGAAGTTGTATGGCTGCAAATGTATTTTTTCAAGAGATCAGTTTTTTTTTGCCATTTCAGGAGTAACTTGAGAAACTGCAAGTCGCTTCTGGTGTGAGAGAATTGGCCGTCTGCAAGGACGTTGCCCAGGGGACACCCGGATGATTTGATGTTTTTATCATTCTTGTGGGAGGCTTCTTTCATGTCCCCGCATAGAATCATCATAGAATCCTAGAGTTGGAAGAGACCTCATGGGCCATCCAGTCCAACCCCCTGCCAAGAAGCAGGAATATTGCATTCACATCACCCCTGACAGATGGCCATCCAGCCTCTGTTTAAAAGCTTCCAAAGAAAGAGCCTCCACCACACTCCGGGGCAGTGAGTTCCACTGCTGAACGGCTCTCACAGTCAGGAAGTTCTTCCTCATGTTCAGATGGAATCTCCTTTCTTGTAGTTTGTAGCCATTGTTTCGTGTCCTAGTCTCCAGGGAAGCAGAAAACAAGCTTGCTCCCTCCTCCCTGTGGCTTCCTCCCACATACTTATACATGGCTATCATATCTCCTCTCAGCCGGAATCACTGAGTTGTTGTATCAGCTCAGCATGAGGAGCTGGAGCTGATAGAGGGAGCTCATCCGCCTCTCCCCGGATTCGAACCTGCGACCTGTAGGTCTTCAGTCCTACCGGCACAGGGGTTGAACCCACTGCGCCACCGGGGGCTCCAAGAGATCAGCTGTGAACTCATATATTTCTGGGAAAAAAATCTAGTGCTGAAGGACTTTTGAAAGGAACCCAACCCTTTTACCTCCAGCAATGGTGGAGCTAACCCATCCTAAATGTCTCCTTTTCCACAAATAATCCTCTGAAAACTTTGAAGTAGATGTCAGTTAATGGAGGCAATTAATGGAAAGGTTGGTGCAAGACAACTTTCTACATTGCAGCTATACAGGCCTAACTATCTAATTACACTTAACAATTTCCACACAGATCTAGTTCACATTCCTACTTAATCCAAAAGCTCTAATGAATAAAGAGTTAGTGAGTTATAATAAAATATGTTGCCCCATTTCAAGTCATTTTCAAATAAGGAATACAAAAAAAAATTGGTTTCCATTAAGAAGAATGTTGTAAGATACTTACTTATCTATAGTTTTAGATAGGAACTCAGAAAGATAAGTAGCAGCACAAAGCAACTGCTCTCTGATGTTCTCTAATTTCTGTTGTTCCACATACAGCATTATGGAATCAGCTGGGTAATTATTGTCTAAAGGAGAAGCAGCGGGTTTATGTTGATTTTTGTGACAATTAAAGTGTTGCCCCTGTTTTTTCAAGTCTTTGAGCATCTGTTGCAATTCTTTGATTCTTCCAACATTTTGGCATTGGTGCACATCAAATTCATGCTAATGAGGAAAAAGATAACAATTTACAATATATCCAATATGATAATACACATAAATTCTAAATAAGTTAATATTTCCTCTCTCCAAATACTACAAAGTCTTTTGTTTCAAGTATAGCAAATTAACTAAAATAAACTAATAATGTGTATTTTGCTGATAAAACTATTCTGAGAGTAGAATTCCTTAACTCGGTCCAGCCTTTAATACATTTACATAGTCACTCTATAAAAAAGACTAAAATAAAACGAAAAAGCCAGGTTAGTAAATCAAATTGTGAGTTAATTTCAATCTGGCGTCAGGACCGTTAACAGGACAAAGATAGCTTGGGCCCCTTTGGTAGATGTCCTATATAGAGAACGGAACAGGGGGAGTGTGTCCCTGTTGGTCCTGCTAGGCTTCATGGGTGCTTTCGATGACATCAACCACAGTAACTTTTGAGGCTGCCTTTTGAGGAGAATCCAGAAGGTAATGCTGGGGAGTGTGTGTGTCAGGAGTCCTGTTTAAGCCTCTGGCTATTGCCCTCTGGGATCCCTCAAGGCTGTTTTGTCCCCCACACTGTTTAACATATACTGCTAGGAGATGTAATGTGGAGTTTTATGGTGCAGTGCCACCAATATCTGGATAACACCAAATCCAAGGAGGTTGTTTTGGTCCTAAACCAGGAATGGACTGGAAGAGGGCAAGCAAACTAAAATTTAATCCAGACAAGAAAGAGGTACTCCTAGAGCTCTAGAACATTGGTTCTCAACCTGGGGTCCCCAGATGTTTTTGGCCTTCAACTCCCAGAAATCCTAACAGGTGGTAAACTGGCTGGGATTTCTGGGAGTTGTAGGCCAAAAACATCTGGGGACCCCAGGTTGAGAACAACTGCTCTATAAGATTCCAAACTGACTGCGCAGGAAATACAATGTATGTGATTTCACAGACACCACAATGAAGAAGTCCCAATTTTGGGGAAATATAATATAATGTAATAACCACAACAAGTTTTTTGTATTGTCGAAGGCTTTTATGGCTGGAATCACTGGGTTGTTGTAGGTTTTTCAGGCTATATGGCCATGTTCTAGAACATGGTCATATAGCCCGAAAAACCTGCAACAACCCAACAAGTATTTTTTCTTGATTCTTAGGACAGAGTTTTGGGTAAATAAATTTTTTATATATAAATAAATGAAAGAAGTCCTATAAAATGTATTATCCCACAGCTCACACCACAGAAAGATAGCACCGGGATTGTGGTGCAGCTGGCTGAGTGTCAGCTGCATTAAGATCACTCTGATCAAAAGGTCATGAGTTCGAAGCCAGCCCGGGTTGGAGTGGGTTTCCAACCAATTATGTGTAGCCTGTTGTCAACCTTTGCAACCCGAAAGAGTTGCATCTGTCAAGTAGGATAATAAGGTACCACCTTAAAGTGTGGGGAGGCTAAATTAACTGATTTATGAGGCCATAAAGAAGACTCCAGCAAAGCATTCCAGCAGGGAATCATGTGGGGAATGCGGAAGTGCTTCATCAGCGTTGCAAATGGACGATGAAAGCGACAGCTCCCCTGGCGGCCAGAAAAAAGTTAAATAGCCTCTGTGTATGTCTATATATGTTTGTATGTCAAAATTGGCATGGAATGTTTGCCATATATGTGTACACTGTAATCCGCCCTGAGTCCCCTGCGGGGTGAGAAGGGCGGAATATAAAAGCTGTAAATAAATAAATAAATAAATAAAAATTCTGCCCTTACGCATCTGCCCCTACATTCCATCTCGTAATCTAAGATCATCTGGGGGAGGCCCTGCTCTCGCTTCCATCAATTGCGCAAATGTGTCTGTCGGGGATGAAAGACAGGGCCTTCTCGGCGGTGGCCCCTTGCCTACGGAACACGCTCCAAAATGAAGTAAGATCTGCTCCCTCCCTCCTGGCTTTTAGAAAGAAATTAAAATCATGGCTTTGGGATCAGGCCTTTGGACAGTAGATGTTTATAGAGTTTAAAGGACATGGACTAGAATGACAATACGACTGGCGAGAGTTTTTATTATTTATTGTTTTAATGATTGCTTATGTACTGTCTAATTATGATTTATGTTTAATTGTGGTTTTATTATTGTGGTTGTTATGGTTTGGCATCGTGTCAGTGTCCAATGTATGGCATTGAAGTTTTGTATGTGTAAACCGCTTTGAGTCCCCCGAGGGGGTGAGAAAAGCGGTATAGAAATACTGTAAATAAATAAATAAAATAAATAAATACCTGGTTTTCTTGAGCTTTCTGCAGTTCTTTTACTTTGTAACATTCTGTTCGTATTTCTTGGCTTCGACTTCTTACTGCTTGTTCTGTCCTGTTCTCGGGACTTCTCAGTGGTCGGAGGTCTTGTTCTTTTTCAGGTTCTTCATGGTACATTTGCATGCTGTTATCCATTTCTTTTTTAGAATCAAGATGCTGTCGTGTCTTTTCAATTACACTTAAAAGTTCTCTAGTATGGGACCTTTCTAAAGACAGCTGGGCTTGCAGTTCCCGCAATGAACCTTTATGCTTGCAAGACCCACATTCATTTATTTTCATGCTCAGTTGTTCGGTCAAAAGGCGTTCATGGTTCAAAGCGCCTAAAAGTTCTAAGTTGCGGTTCTTCTCCACCTCTATAGTCTTCTGCAGTTCTAACAGTTTATTCTGCTCTTGGGACAGTAAAGCTTCACAGCGAGAATGCTCAATTTGAAGTTCTTTGCGGAGATTACTATTTGCAGACTGTTCATGCTCTAAGGCCACAGATAACTGGTTGTTCTGAATGCACTGTAGTTCCAAGGCAGCTTGCAACTCCTGTTCAAGAGAAGGAAAATGTACAGATGAGTATATTAAGAAAACTGCTTGAGAGCACTTCCAGCAATCCCTGCATATATTACATTTAAGGAACAGATTTCCATCCTTTCGCAAATTCTAACCAGGTTAACAAAAATCAGACCCATTGTGACACATCTGTAGTATGCAATATGACTCTCTCCACCTTCTTATCACTTCAGTTTCTTACACTTGTCAGGCAGTAGGGATCACTGTAAGTTTTCTACAGCTGACTGAAAAGTTATCTCAGAAGAGCTGGGCATGTTTAGCCTGAAGAAGAGAAGGCTGAGAGGAGATATGATAGCCATGTATAAATATATGAGAGGAAGTCACAGGGAGCAAGCTTGTTTCCTGCTTCCCTGGAGACTAGGACGCGGAACAATGGCTTCAAACTACAAGAGAGGAGATTCCATCTGAACATGAGGAAGAACTTCCTGACTGTGAGAGCCGTTCAGCAGTGGAACTCTCTGCCCCGGAGTGTGGTGGAGGCTCCTTCTTTGGAAGCTTTTAAACAGAGGCTGGATGGCCATCTGTCAGGGGTGCTTTGAATGCAATATTCCTGCTTCTTGGCAGGGGATTGGACTGGATGGCCCATGAGGTCTCTTCCAACTCTACGACTCTATGATTCTATGAAGAGCCTTTCTCTAGCAAGACAGATGTCTCCAAGCCTTTTATCATATCTGCTGTATTCAACTTGCCTGGAACACTGGATGCATGAAGAGGTTCAGCAAGCCAGTAAAAAAGTAAAAAAGCAAAAAGTGAAGGAGGAAGGAAATCTAAAAACAATAAAAATTGCTGAAAGCACAAGAACATAGCAATACCCCCTTGTATAGGCAAGGCTGCTCTGTGAGGATTGTATAGTTCTCCTTCTCAAGAAGGGTTCACTCTGACTGAATCTTGTCTTCCGTCACTTGCAAGGCAGGAACAATTCAAAGTATTAGAATGTCCTCCACAAGATACAAAAAGAAAATCTCATTCTTCTTATGAAAATCTTAACCACTGTGGTTCATGGTCACTTATTCTAATCATTTACTGAGCATAACTAATTAGTTAGTTATGCTCCTTAAGAGATTAAGATTAAGATCGTCTGGGGAGGCCCTGCTCTTGGTCCCGCCTTTGTTGCAAGCACGTCTGGTGGGAACGAGAGACAGGGCCTTCTCAGTGATGGCCCCTTGGCTGTGGAACTCCCCCCCAAGCGATATTATTTATTTATTTATTTATTTATTTAGAGCAGGGGTCCTCAAACTTTTCAAACAGAGGGCCAGGTCACAGTCCTCCAAACTGTTGGGAGAACCGGATTATAATTTTTAAAAAATGAATGAATTCCTATACACTCTGCACATATCTTATTTGTAGTGCAAAAACACTTAAAAACAATACAATAATTAAAATGAAGAACAATTCTAACGAATTTAAGCTTATTAGTATTTCAATGGGAAGTGTGGGTCTGCTTTTGGCTAATGAGATAGGATTGTTGTTGTGTGCTTTCAAGACTTAGGTTGACCCCGAGCAAGGGCCGGGTAAATGACCTTGAAGGGCCGTATTCGGCCCTAGGGCCTTAGTTTGAGGACCCCTAATTTAGAGTTTTTATACCCCGGTCTTCTCACTCAGACTCAGACTCAGACTCAGGACGACTAACAACATAAAATTCAATACAATAAGAAAAACATTATAGGTCATCAATATAAAATACATTAAAATACAATTCATACAAATTACAGTAAAAATCAGTTTGTCCAAAAGAATCACAAATATTAGAGCATCTTCTTCCCTCCTGGCCTTCAGAAGGAAAGTGAAAACTTGGCTCAAATGTTTGGAGATTAATCTATAGTGCAATAATAGCCCTGGATTATGATTGAGGATGGCGTGATTTTAATAGTGAATGCAATGTTTTATATGTTTTAATGTGCATTTAATTTTAATTTTTAATTAATTTTTTTTAAAAAATTAATTTTAATTTTAAGATCTACAGAGACACTCACTGGAACACCTCAGCAAGCGAGAGTCCAAAAGTGGCAGGCTCAAACCCAGAACCTCAACCAGTGGCTGATACCAAATGAGAGACTCCCCCCTGGGCACACAGAAGACTGGGCGACTTGGAAGGCGCTGAACAGACTGTGCTCTGGCACCATGAAATGCAGAGCCAACCTCAAGAAATGGGGCTACAAAGTGGAATCCACGACATGCGAGTGTGGAGAAGAGCAAACCACTGACCGCCTGCTGTAATGCAACCTGAGCTCTGCCACATGCACAATGGAGGACCTTTTTGCAGCAACACCAGAAGCACTCCAAGTGGCCAGATACTGGTCAAAGGACATTTAATCAGCTACCAAACTCACAAATTTTGTATTTTGTCTGTTTGCTTTGTTCTGTTAGAAATGTAATATAAATGACTGGTTGCCCTCACAAGACAAATAAATAAATAATTTTAATTTTTAACTTAAGTGTATTCTAACTGTTTGTTGTCCAAAGGCATGGAATAGTTGCCATATGTAAAGTCGCCTTGAGTATCCTTCAGGGTAGAGAAAGGCGGGGTACAAATAGAGTATATAAATAAATAAAAATAGTGTTTCCTTGGAGCAGGATTGGAGGTACAGTAGGGCAGAATACATAAACTTGCATGCCTACAAATGTTCGTGGTTTTATGGAATATCTTACCTCAATTGCTTTTGACTTCTCATCTTCTCTTAACGTATTTTGCTGCTGATGATCATCCAACATATTCTGCAGTTCTTTTTCTTTAAGTTTTTCATTCTGCAAGTCTTGAAGTATAGCTGTTATGGTGTTCTCCTTACTTTCAAGATCAGAACTACAAAAACAGAAATGTTTTAAGTGTTATCTTAAAGAAATCATGTGCTGCTTCACATTATTCTGCTTTTTCTGCAGGCAGAATCCAATGAAAGCAAATGTTACTTCATTAATGCTTTTTCCATTAATTTTTGATCTAATTTAAAAGTTAAAGGATATTTATTTATTTACAGTATTTATATTTCGCCCTTCTCACCCCGCAGGGGACTCAGGGCGGATTACAGTGTACACATATATGGCAAACATTCAATGCCAATTGACATACAACATATACAGACATACACAGAGGCTATTTAACTTTTTCTGGCTGCCAGGGGAGCTGTCACTTTTATCGTCCATCTGCGACACTGATGAAGCACTTCCGCATTCCCCGCATGCTTTTTGCTGGAGTGCTTTTTGCTGGAGTCTTTTTTTATGGCCTCATAAATTAGTTAATTTAGCCTCCCCACACAACGTGGTACCTAATTTTCCTACTTGACAGATGCAACTGTCTTTCGGGTTGCAAAGGTTGACAACAGGCTACACATAATTGGTTGTAAACCCACTCCAATCCGGGCTGGCTTCGAACTCATGACCTTTTGGTCAGAGTGATATTAATGCAGCTGACACTCAACCAGTTGCGCCACAATCCCGGTGCATGTATCTGAACATCTAGTAGAACAGGTACATTTGGGCCCAAAGTATTCTCTACCTACCCTTATAAATGTTTACACTACAAAGCTGTTATGCTAACTGAGGGATTTCTTTGCCGATTTAGTAGATTGTTCAAGTGAGATAATAGTCATTTTTGCATCTTTCACTTCAATATCCTTACCTGTATTTAACCACTTCCTTTTGAAGTTCTTGCAATGATTTTTGTAGTTTCTCATTTGCTTGTTTGCTTTCGCAGAGATCTGACTTCAAGTCAAAAATTGCTGTGTGCTGTTGTTTCAGTAGTGTATGTATCTCAGAAGCCTTCTCTTGCTCACTTTTTAGAGAAGCTTGTAAGTCACTTGCAATGGATTTCTCCTGCTGGAGTTTATATTCTAGTAATTCAACTGAGAACGAGTAAATTATTATCAAAAATGCATACTAAATCTAGAAACATATTTGTTATTGTTTATTTATTGCTCTTTTAGACCTTTCAAAGACCAGAGTGTGCTAAATGGCATGATTTATATTAATATAAATGATGGCACAATAAAGAAAAGCAGCACAGAATCGAACTAGATTAAAAATGTGAAACTGCTATTGCAATTGACGTTGCAACAGCAAAATTAGTGGATTTTTTTTTTTTTGGCTATGTAGCCATGTTCTAGAGGCATTCTCTCCTGACGTTTTGCCTGCATCTATGGCAAGCATCCTCAAAGGTAGTGAGGTCTGTTGGAAGTAGGAAAAAGGGTTTGTGGAATGATCAGGGTGGGACAAAGGACTCTTGTCAGACATCAGAAGAGCTGCAAGACTGAGAACAAGCCACGAGAGTCAAGACAAAGATCCACCCAGAGGAAAAGTGTTCTTGCCATATATCAAGGGAAGCTGATGAGGAAACACAACATACAAACCACCTACAGACCCACCAAGAAAATCCAACAAATGCTACGTTCAGCAAAGGACAAGAGGGATCCTCTCACTTCTGCAGGAGTCTACTGTATACCATGCAGTTGTGGACAAATCTACATAGGGACCACCAAACGCAGCATTGCCCAAACACAAATCAAGGAACATGAAAGGCACTGCAGACAACTTCAACCAGAGAAGTCAGCCATAGCAGAGCACCTGATGAACCAACCTGGACATAGCATATTATTTGAGAACACAGAAATGCTGGACCACTCACACAACCACCATGTCAGACTACAGATTGAAATTCACAACATGTGGACAATTTCAACAGAAAAGAGGAAAGCATGAAAATGAACAAAATCAGTATTAAAAAACTCTAAAATTACAACAGCAAAACAACAGAGAGGAAACATTCAGGCACATCTAATTACCTCTCAACAAAAGATTACCCCAGGCACTGCCAGGCCATCAAAGGCTAATCAAGGTAGTCAGTTGAAACATTCACACCTAGCTCCAACAGACAAGAGCCTTTTGTCCCTCCCGGTCATTCCATAGATATATAAACCCCTTTTCCTAGTTCCAACAGACCTCACAAACTCTGCGGATGCTTGTCATAGATGCAGGCGAAACATCAGGAGATAATGCCTCTAGAACATGGCCATATAGCCTGAAAAAACCTACAACAATCCAGTGATTCCGACAATGCAGCAAATTTTGTGTATATATTTGATGCAGATTGTGTGTTTTCTTTAATGCATTATCCAACAAACTGTCTCAGGCACTAGTTTCTTTGTATCTTAGTATGACCCCTTTTTAAAATAATTATTTTATTACATATTTTCAAATATATAAGGTAAAATACCAATATATAAAACAATAAAAATCAGAGAAAAATTACAAGGAAAGAAAAATGATAGATATAAAAGAAGAAGAAAAAGAGAAAGCAAAGATCAAAGTGACTTCCAATCTTTTCTTCAGCAGTGATCAAGCTACATTAATCTATAAGAAGTTTCAATACTTTTCTCATATATTAAAGCACCAGCCTCTTTTCTATAAAGTATTTTTATTAATAAAAATCAAAATTCACACACACATATATAGACACACCATTCAAAATCTCAATGGAATATATACGTGCGTGTATAATCTTCATTAGCAAACTTTTAGCATTACTCTTTCTCTAATTTTATCTAAACAAGAACCTCTCATTTTGCCTATTAACCATTTCTACTGTTAGATTAGTCCAATTACCTCCTATAAATCCCATGAAACAATCAATCAATCAAACAAACAATCAATCAATCAATCACATAATACATTCTACAAAATATTACCTTGTCTTCGAAGCTGATGTTCTTGGTTACTCCCGTGGTTTTCTGTATTAATAAGCATTTCTTGGAGTTGCTGCAGCTTCTCCTGACTTTGAAGATGCATAAGTCGCAACTGAGCCTCAAGGTCCTGTATTTCAGTAAGCAAGCTGTTCCTGTCTGAAGACAGAAGATGCTCCAGAACTGCTTTTTGCTGCTGTTCCTAAAATGAAATCAAAATCCTTTCACATTTTACAAAAGCATACTGTACATTTTAAAATAATGTATATTTACAGTTATTACTTGCCCACAACATTTTAAAAGGGGGAGAATCTCTAGCATAGGGCGAGAATAGCATGATTCTGCCTCCCTCATTGGGGAAAATGGCTACTATAGAGCTACATGACAAAGCTTTTAGTTTAATCAGAAGCAAGACATTTGAATAAGGGATATTAAAAATTAAGAATCTGGTCTTATTACACATTTTGGATTTCAGGTACAGAACCTATGCAGCTAATCATATGTGGCCACTGAAGGTTAGGCTTGTTTGATCAAGGAAAAAATGGTTCAAAACTCGTTTCTGATGTAGGGGGGTGTTGATGAGTAGGTTCGGAATTGATTTCCGATTTTTTCCATAAAAAGTTTGAATTTTCCGAAATTTCCGGATCACTTTGTTAATGCCGAGCGTAATCACGCTCGCCATTAACAAAGTGATCCGGAAATTTCGGAAAAAGCAAAATTTTTATGGAAAAAATCGGAAAATTGCAATTGCGCAATACATGAAAAACTGCAAACGGAACAGGGCAGACTTCTGGGGATTCCCTCTCCCTCATTTTCAGACCACTGACAAAACTCGCCATTGTGGTAGAAAACATCCTCCTCTGTCAGCATACTAAATTTAAACATGTTCAGACGATCCATGGGTTTTAGACAATTTTTTAAGTAATTTCAGTAATAAGGTTGGAGAATATGGGATTTGTTGTATAACTCAGTACAAGCTCTGAGCAAAATGAGAATGAGGGGTTTAGAAAGTTGAATTCACTGCTTCTGCAAGGGAAAATACTTGGAGAATATGGGATTTGTAGTATAACTCAGTACAAACTCAGAGCAAAATGGGAATGAGGGGTCTTGAAAGTTTAATTCACTGATTCTGCAAGGGAAGTACTTGGAGAAAAGGGGATTTCTGGTATACCTAAGTACAAACTTAAAGCAAAATGGGAATGAGGCGTTTTTAAAAGTAGATTTCAGAGCTACTGAAAGGGAAATAGGCACTGGCAGGCAAGAGAACACTTGTCCCTGTGATGTTGTCTTGTGCCCTGCCCTTCTCTCTCTCTCCCCCCCCCCCCCCCCAACAGTCAGCTGCAACACACAAGCGGAAAGACTGCAAGGTTTGCAGGCAACAGGCCTGCTACCAGTTTTTCCCTTGCCTGTTGTTCCCTTCCCAAACACCCTTCCCACCCAAGCTCCCTTCACATTCACTTCCCCCAGCTCGCAATGAGCCCCTGAGGCATGCGCAGCCCTTTTTATAGTGCAATGGCTGCCGTGCCGAAACTGTGCCCCTCCCCACATGCTCTCCCCTTATTGGCTGGAGGCAAGCATCCCAGCATGTAAGCTGCTGCTTGCCTCCAAATGATGAGTCATTTCTGACTCACTTCCAAATGGCGACACTGGCTTCAGAAGGGCAAGGATACTTCCTGTTTCAGAAAAAAAATTCAAAATCACTTCAAAAAGGTATTCAATCCGAATTAATTCCGAATTCAGAGAGTTCCGACTGGGCCTAACCATGCCTACTGAAGGTCACATAATTAAGCATAAAGGTAGTGGAGCCAAAGACAAAAGGAAACTTTTCTTCTCAATTTGTTAACTTTGTTCTAAAATCTAGATCAAGCTACCTTTTTTTTAAAAAAAATCTGAAAATAAGGAGTAATTCAAAGAGCTTTTTAGACATGCTAGATATTTTGTTGTAAACATTTGAACATTTTCATACTTGTTGTTCCATTATACGTTCCAGTTTTTCCACTAATGTTCCTTCATTTCCAGAACCAGGATTGTGGAAATGTGATTGCAGATAGCTCTGAAACATGAGTCGTTCCTTTTCCAAAACACACTGGATTGCTTGAAGTAATTCTCCCCTCCAATCAAAAAAAGATGATGCATTTTCCTACAAAAACAAAACAAAACAAATCCCCAAATCTATAAAGATGTGACTGCTGCTGCTTCCTATCTAAGAAATGAGGATCTTCTACTCCATTATGCTGTGTTCCATTCATACATACTTGTGCCATCAAAGCAAGTATATTTTTACCCCTCTAACCAACATGGAAGGGAGATATACAACATACAGACAAGTTAGCATAACTCTATTTGCAATAGGATAGAGGGCAAAACTCCTAAAGGCTGTATCACTTCCCAAACAATATTAATTCTGTTTCATGATGGTTCGGATTATGGTTTCATTATGGTTCGGATTGAAAGGATCTATTCAGTTTCAATTCATATCTTCTTTCCTAATGCATTTTATTTCCTTGTTTCTCTAAAATCCACCTTGGCACTAATCTTCCTTTTCCTACACGATTGATTTTCTTGTTATTAAATTGCTGACTATATCAGTTCATCATCTCTTCTTAGTTATACTGTCTTCTGCTGTTTTTCCTTCAAATGCACCACCTATTTCTAATTGATATTCTCAGAATTCATTGCATTATATTATAATTCACTTCCCACTGAGTTATAATTCACAGAATCCAATTTCCCAATCATTAAAAAGTATTAGACATTTGTATTGTCGAAGGTTTTCATGGCTGGAATCACTGGGTTGTTGTAGGTTTTTTCGGGCTATATGGCCATGTTCTAGAGGTATTCTCTCCTGACGTTTCGCCTGCATCTATGGCAAGCATCCTCAGAGGTAGTGAGGTCTGTTGGAACTAGGCAAAAGGGTTTATGTATCTGTGGAATGACCAGGGTGGGACAAAGGACTCATGTCTGCTGGAGCTAGGTGTGAATGTTTCAACTGACCACCTTGATTAGCATACAATGGCATGACTGTGCCTGGGGCAAACTTTTGTTGAGAGGTAATTAGATGTCCCTGCCTGCTTCCTCTCTGTTGTTGTGTTGTTGCAATTTTAGAGTTTTTTTTTAATACTGGTAGCCAGATTTTGTTCATTTTCATGGTTTCCTCCTTTCTGTTGAAATTGTCCACATGCTTGTGTATTTCAATGGCTTCTCTGTGTCATCTGACATGGTGGTTGTGAGAGTGGTCCAGCATTTCTGTGTTCTCAAATAAAATGCTGTGTCCAGGTTGGTAAATAAAATTAGAGATTTTATATTATTTGATATAGCTTCCCTAATAACATTTCGTAAATCACATGGTCCATTCCTTGGTCTCCAATTTATTTTAGAAGTAACAAAATATATCTTTCATTGTGCTAATCTGTTCTTCTAATGTACTGTTCCTTGCAACCAGGCTCGATTCTGACTACCTTATAACATTTGTTTCACTTGTTGGTGCTGAGACTTCTTGAAATACTCTTTTTAAATAGTTCATAAATTCTACCATTATATGTTCTTTAGATATTATTGTACTACCCGAGTCTTTAAGACGTCTTTACAGCTTGAGGCATTCAATTTTGACCCTGGAAACACTGGGCACGTTCAGACTGCTTCAAAGCAGCCTCTCCCATCACCTTAGAATTGCATTTTTAAACATGGCACTTTGACCTGCTGCGTTTTCATTGCTCCTGCAAGATTTTTCTCTGATTTAGAGGTCTCCGTGAGGTCTAGCTTCATTTTGGTATCCCCATTTCCTCTTTTTACTGTCTTTCTGTTGTTTGTCACCTTCACTAACTGGTGGGATATTCCAAGACAACCATTTAACTCCTATCTGTCTATCTTCATTTTAATTGAACAGTTCCTTCTCCAGTGCCTGAGAGACAAACACTGAATTTATGTAAATCTATGATGAAGAAGTGTAAATAGGTTTTATATAAAGGAAAATTAAACTCTGCTTACCTTGTTTTCTTTATCTGGTACTTTGCTCAAATAATCCTTGAGTGATTCTACGGTATCAAGCAAACCTAGTCTCTCTCTTTGCCATCTTTCCACTGATGGAGCCTTTTGAATATGATCTTTGTCATAACCAGGTCTAGATTTTTCTGACAACACCAGTATTTTGTAACTTTCTTCATACACCATTTTGAGCACATTCTGAAAAAGAACAACACCATGGTAGCAAATGACAAAAGTAATCCCAGATTTCAGCAAGACATGTGCCATCTGTTCTACTGTCCTGCAGTGGCTTATATCCTTTTTATTGTTTTATAACGAAAAGCACCCTATCAGCAAATAATAATAATAATAATAATAATAATAATAATAATAATAATAATAATAATTTTATTTATACCCTCCCACTATCTCCCTAAGGGGACTCGGGGCGGCTTACATGAGGCCAAGCCCAAGAACACATCAATAAAAACAAAACAGCAAGCAAATAAAACAGTACAATTAATATAACTCACATATAAACAATAACACAGAGAATTTAAAACCTTATGGCCAGGCCAGATGTAATAAATTAAAAATTTTAAAATAAACACTGGGCGTGAACAGAGGTAGGATGTATCTATGCAGGGGGATTTTAAAAGATAATGTAGGGAGACCAACCCAGCGGGTAGTAAATGCTTCTGAGGACAATTGCAGAGAATTAATCAAAGTTCTGTTCACGTGACATTTCTGCTGTTGGAGGGAGGAGAAACCAATCCATTGCAAGTCACTGAGCTAGCCATCTGTCATGTGCCGGTGCTCTCCTGGTATCAAGGGCTATGGCTTATTCGAACAAACACAAAAGAAGCCAAAACCATTTTTACTAATAAGAAAACTAAAGCCTTGAATCTTCCGAAGTCTGGCCAAAACAACAGAATTGCTGCACACGGCCGGAGTAACGATGAATACAAGACAAAGTCAAAAGTGTACAACAGAGCCAAGGCAGGAGCAAGACAAACAGTAATCATGGATGCAGTCCAATAGGCAAATGCGGGGAGTCATGGAGTTCTTCACCAAAGAAGGATGTACTGCTGTTGTCAAAAGGTTCAGAAAGATGGATGCAATGTTTACAGACGGCAAAACCAGTGCTGAAGACATGTAGTGGAAGGTCATCAAGGACCGTTATTGTTTGAATAAACCATAGTTTTCATATTTCAAATAATGGCAATTGTTCACCAAACTGATTTAAATATAACACATTTTAATTGCAAAAGTAACAATGATATTTATTTGAAGGGGACTCATGTTGTGCTTTTTCACTTTCTCTTAAATTTGTTATTTTTGGAAAAGAAAATCCAATTGTAATGGCTTTACTTTAAAATTTCTGGAAATGCTCTTATCTTTAGCACAAATAAGTAGAATGACCTGAACTGTATCTGGAATCTTCTAGTAGAGATACACAATTTTAAAAGGTAGCAGGGTCCCTCCTATGCAGTCGAATGTAAAAAAAAATAAAATCTGTTTTTGAATCCATTAATGGATTTTTGGGCACTGCTAACTTTGTCTCTTCTATTATTAGGCATTTATGGAAGACCCTGAGAACCCTGAAGTGTCCAAGGGAAAGAAAATTGGACTCACAGGTTATGTACCCCGTCAAAGGAACAGGACACATATGTATGATGTTTAGCATTTATTCCATCGTGTCTTACCTTCAACTGTTGCGAAAAAATGTCTTTTTCTTTTATTGCTGGCTCAGTGATGTCTGGAACAATTCCAAAACATTGCAGATAAGTCATGACACTGCTGTCTTGCTGGACTCTAGTTTTGCTTTCTTCCTGATTAAGTTGAAGCACTAAATCTGAACAAGTGTCTAAAAAACAACAACAGCAAGCATGTTACACAAAAGGGAATAAAAAGAATCTCAAGCCAACACTTCCATACAAAGTGTTATTTATGTAAGTATAGATTATAACTGTTTGAAAGAACTAGGGTGAAACGTGGGCTCTCTGATTAGGGGTTCACTATACTCTATGAAGATTACTTTCCATAATCTTTCCATAGAGAGAGTTAGAGCAGGGGTCCACAAACTTTTTAAACAGAGGGCCAGGTCACAATCCCTCAAACTGTTGGAGGGCCAGATTATAATTTGAAAAAAACATGAATGAATTCCTGTGCACACTGCACATATTTTATTTATAGTGAAAAAAACACTTTAATGCAGTACAATAATTAAAATGAAATACAATTTTAACAAATATAAACTTATTAGTATTTCAGTGGAAAGTGAGGGCCTACTTTTGGCTGATGAGATAGGATTGTTGTTGTTGTTGTTGTTGTTGTTGTGTGTTTTCAAGTCATTTCAGACTTGAGTTGACCCTGAGCGAGGGCTGGGTAAATGACCTTGGAGGGCGGTATCTGGTCCCTAGGCCTTAGTTTGAGAACCCCTGAGTTAGAGACTTAGAATTTGAGATATGTTAGAAAATATGAGGGGAACTACTGGCTCATATTTCCTGAATTAGCTGTCTGTATTTATTTTATTCATTTATTATGTTATTTACACAATTTCTCTCCTACCCATCATGCCAGACTGTCAGCCTAAGGGAATGAAACAGTTTAATTAGTCTTTTACTTGCAAAGTGCCATGTATCATGACGGAGCTATATAAATAAATGATAATAACCATCTTTGGGTAGCTTACAAAATCACTAGAATAATTTGAAACACAAATGATAAAAGTCATAGTTGAAGGGCTTCTGTATTAAACAATATAAAACCATGTCTGAATAAGAACTGGATGATATCGTTATATTCCAAGAGTATTCTTTTGATCTTGGAATAAGACCAATATTGGTACTAAGTTGGTTGTCAATACTGAAACATAGTACATGATTTTTGATCTTATATGTTAATTCATTCAGCGTTTTCAGGACTCAATGGGATATCAAAAGGAATCAAGACAGTGAGAAACATTTTAAACAAATACCGGATTAGCTTAGATAGATAACAAGGAATGCTCAAACACACTTTTTTTCCCTTAGGAGAGTCAAATGTTTGTTTTAATTCATGACTGGAATAATGACGCTCCTTAGGTATTAGATTGCAACTTCCATCAGGCCTAGCCAGAATAGGCAGAGGTGAAGAATGATAGTTGAATACTGCATGATCCTTGTTTAAAATACATCTCTGCAAACAACTGCTGTTGTTGGTAGGACCCAGGCATACCTACCTCTGCCTCACTTATAGGCTGTTAGGAATTGTAGGAATTGAAGTCCAAAACACCTGGAAGGCTGAAGTTTGCCCATGCCTGAGATCAGGTAAGGTTGAAGTGGACATGTTGCAACAATTATTTGTGTGAAACACTTTTCTCATCATAGGTTTTGGGCCAACTTGTACTTTCTGATTTATTTTTTTTGTCGTGTCAGGAGAAACTTGAGAAACTGCAAGTCACTTCTGGTGTGAGAGAATTGGCCGTCTGCAAGGACGTTGCCCAGGGGATGCCCGGATGATTTGATGTTTTATCATCTTTGTGGGAGACTTCTCTCATGTCCCCGCACGAGGAGCTGGAGCTGATAGAGGGAGCTCACCCGCCTCTCCCCGGATTCGAACCTGCGACCTGTTGGTCTTCAGTCCTGCCAGCACAGGGGTTTAACCCACTGCGCCACTGGGGGCTTACTTTCTGATGAGAATGATGATATGAGAAAAAAGTGACTCTGTAGCCTCCATCCAGCAAAGGCTCTGCTAAGGCTTGGATATGCCTGTCTCCATCCTCCATTATTCCAAGCTACTTGCCTTGGGACAGGCAAACAGAAACTGACAAGATCAACATGATCACAGCCTTTTCTCACACATGCCTTATAGAAGGCTGTGAGCAGAAATGTTTTTTTTTTTTTCCAATGCTGTTTGATTATGTGGATGCCACCCAAAATATGTTCTAAAAGAATTACTGTATATTCCGGGGTACTAGACGACTTTTTAGGCATGTAAAATCTTATAAAAATTTGGGGGTCATCTAGTACGCCGTGTATAAAATTAAAACAATAATAAAATTACATACTATGGCTGCCTTGGCCTCGGGCTCCCCTCCTCCTCTGCCTTGGCTCATGGTGGCCTCCCGGGCAGGCTCCCTGTCCTTCCTCTCTTCCTGGCTGCTTTCCTTGCTCAGGCCCATGTCTCTCCTTTGTTGGTGGCCGGGCCCCTGGTCTGCTTCCCGTGCTGCTCTGGCCACTCTCCTTCCTGGCCAGGCCTCGCAAGAAGCGCCTCTTCTCCAGCAAGACAACAGCCCCAGGAGAAGAGGCGCTTTGCGCGTGACCTGGCCAGGAAGAAGGAGAGTGGCTTGATCAGAGAGAAAAAAAACAGGCGCTGCTCAGGCCGCTCTCCTTCTTCCTGGCCAATGTTGTCTCGCGGGAGAAGAGGCGCTTCTCGCGAGGCCTGGCCAGGAAGAAGGAGAGCTGCCTGATCAGAAGGGCCTCCGGTGCTGCTCAGGCTGCTCTCCTTCTTCCTGGCCAGGTCACGCGCAAAGCGCCTCTTCTCCTGGGGCTGGCAGGCAGAGATGCAATGGCAGCAGAGTGGTGGCAGGAAGAAGGAGAGCGGCTTGAGCAGCGCGGGAGGCCCTTCTGGAGGCGCCGCAGGAAGCAGCCCAGAGGCCCGAGGACAGAAACCACCTGGCTGGTTTTGGGAGTCGTCTTAAATGGCGAGTATATCCTCAACTCTCTAGTTGGGGGGTTGTCTTATAGCCCCAGTCGTCCAGTATCCTGGAATGTACGGTACTAACAAAAAGTCACATAGAGGAATGCCCACTGAAATAAGGAAAGCATAGGCCCATTAACTCACTGCTGAGATATTCAGTGCTTGCATCTTCAAGTCTGGACATGGTAATTCTTAGATCATCTTGCAAGTCAGGTGGCATCAGATTGAAACCTTCAGCATTGCTTACCTATTCAGAAATAAACACATGAAAATAGATTATCAGTTTTATTAAAAATGTTTCAAAGCAGTAAGGACCTGAGCAAACTGATGCTTTGCCTTTTTTCACAGAAATAAATGTAAGCCATTGAGACTTACAATACATGTTCATTTCTTGTATCAGTTATGAATATTGCAACGCTCAAAATTCAAATGACAATCTAGGACATCAGGCCCTAATATTAATTATTTCTAAGGAAACTTCTCTTATTTACACACACTTTCAAATACTGTACTCAAGCACACCACCAAAGGAGGTAATTCTAATAACATGATAAGGGAGCAGGAAAGCACATGCAATAATGGTGCACAAGCAAATTGGACCTCACCAGAAATCAACTCTTAGAAACCCATCAAATTATTTGATTTTATTCATGCACATGGATCCGTTTTTTCTTGTATAATGAGTGGCTTATTTTGACACAATGTGAATTAAAAGCTATACAAAAATATCAATAGAAGTATAAATATAAAAGTTATTTAAAAGACAATTGAACGGTTTATGAAATTCAAACATTAAACCCATTAAAAAACTATGAACACCATAAAACAGCACAGCACATAATGAAAAGCACATCCCACTCAGTTTATAAGAATGTTCTAACTTTCCAGAGAGAGAGAGAGAGAAAAAAAAAACAGGGACAGAGCCACCCTGGCTTCCCTGAGGTGATAGTGATAGACAGAGGTCCTCCTGGTCGATCGTAAACCAGACCAGGGCATAGGGTGGCAACCTGTGCTAGACGGGGTTGCACTCCCCCCTGAAGTCACAGGTCCGCAGTTTGGGGGTCCTCCTGGATTCTTCACTTACGTTTGAGGCTCAGGCGTCGGTGGTGGCCGGGAGGGCCTTTGCACAATTAAGACTCATGTGCCAACTGCGACCGTACCTCGGGAAGGCGGATCTGGCCAAGGTGGTCCATGCCTTAGTCATCTCTAGAATGGATTACTGCAATGCACTCTACGTGAGGCTGCCCTTGAAAACAGCCCGGAAATTTCAGATGATCCAACGGGCAGCAGCCAGGTTGTTAACTGGGGCTCCTTACAGGGAGCGGTCATCCCTCCTGTTCAAGGAGCTCCACTGGCTGCCATTCACCTACTGGACCCAATTCAAGGTGCAGGCTCTTACCTACAAAGCCCTGAACGGTTTGGGAGCCGCCTACCTGCGTGACCGCATCTCTGTATACGAACCCACACGATCCCTTCGATCATCCGGAGAGGCCCTGCTCTCGATCCCACCACCATCGCAGGCGCGATTGGTGGGGACGAGAGAGAGGGCCTTTTTGGTGGTGGCCCCTCAACTCTGGAACTCACTCCCTATAGACATCAGGCAGGCCCCAACCCTGGCAGTCTTCAGAAGGAACTTGAAGACGTGGCTGTTCCAGTGTGTCTTCCCGGAATAATGACCCCATAGCACTTTGTCCTCCAAAGCACTTTACATTTCTTTAAGTCTGCTCGTATGCCCTTCCACAAACACCAGTATCACCTTCCGTTCATGTCCCAGCATTATTTCCAATTTTAACTCTACATTTGGCCTTCCCACTGTTTTTAATTATGTGTTGTTTTATTGATAATGTTGTGTATCTTATTGTCTATGTGTTTTTAATTGCTTACATTGTTGTTATTATTGCTTGCATTGTTGTGTTTGGGCTCGGCCTCATATAAGCCACACCGAGTCCCTTGGGGAGATGGTAGCGTGATAAAAATAAAGTGTTATTATTATTATTATAGTTCCAAAGTCTGGGAGCACCCACTGAGAAGGCTCTCTCAATCATTTCCACCAAAAGAACAGAAGATGTGGTGGGACAGAGATAAACATCTAGATCTTAAAGCCAAAGTGCTTTTTTTTCCTCCCTGAGATTTATCTTTCCACAAGAGGTGACTGGATTCCATGGGATGCTTTCATAACTCATAATACTGCTACCCCATCCTCTATGGAAATGTTATTTTCCCAACAGAGTGATCCTACAATACCAGTATTAGAATACAACATTTCTCAGATTAGATCTTTCCAAGGGACATTCCATCAAATCCCATGCTTATTTTAAAGCAACCTGTTTACTTTTAAGAAATCTACTCACTTACATGTAACTGGTTGTTAAAAGAACATCACAATGCATCTTAGAATTTACCTTTACTTTACTGACTGGAGTTCATGATGAAGCAATAAGCTACTATGACACAGAAGCTATTATTCTTCACTCATTGAGTCTCCATGGAAACAATGGAGGACATGACTCAGCAATAATACAATATGAATTAGTTAAAATATCACTTACAGAAATATTTTCTTGAATATCATCATATTCGGTAATGGAGAAAGTAGATTCTGGAAACGTTATAGTCCGGAGTAAAAGATTATTTCCTATTTCTTCATTGCCATAAGAATAGGAAACAGGCCATTCCAGCCCTCCTTGGGTAATTCCCTGGATGACCGAATTCTCTGAGCAAAGGCCCTCAGAGCCTAGGGTGCTACTGTCAAGATCTGAGAAGGGACCTGGATGGAGCTCCAAGCTATTTTCCTTTCTTAAAATCTCAGGTGAGTCCCATGAAGTTTCATCCATGACCATACTTTGGAAGTTATTTGGTATCTTCTGCATGAGTTGTGTATTTTTGGAAAGATCACTAAGTTGAGACCTCTGCTGAAAAGTTGAGTGTGGATCTTGCTCCTCTTTGTCATCATTTATTATTTTGCCTTCCTCAACACAAAACACACTCTGTAGATGTTTATCTTGTTGGTTAAGATATTGATTGAATGCATTCAAATTGCTTGCAGCAATCTCTTTCTCCTGAAAAAAATAGATAAACATTTGTTTACTTGTCATGGCATTTTTTAATATTCTGGTGACACAAAATAGGGAGAGGATGCTTTGAGCCAACACCATCTCCCAGGAAAAGTCATTCTCTTCAGGTATTTGGGAGGAGGCATTCAAATGTGGGGGGAAATGAGAGAAAGCAAGCTGGCTTTTGCTATCTATTTTAAAGACTGGCTTAGTAATTTATGGAACTGTAGACCATAAAAAGTAATAAAAAGAATTTTTTCACATACTAAGCCATCAAACCTAGTGAAAGTGTGTGACTCCACTATTCAAGGAGTACACACATTGCTTTTCCCCCAATTAATCTGAAAGATGACACAAGTTAAGACTGCACTTTTATAAACACAAAATAGTTTCCTTCACCAGGATTATCATCACTTTCTCCTTGTGCTAAGGATAGGAAACTGGATATCCTCCATGCTTTACTTTTCCCAGTGACAGGAGCTTTCTGTCCTCATTCATTCAAAGGGAAGAAAACTGAGGTTCCCCGCCTTTCTTCCCAAATTAGACTGCGACACAGGGACCCCTGAGACCCTGTATGAAGCCACAGAGTTGTTTGTAGAATCATAGAATCAAAGAATTGGAAGAGACCTCATGGGCCATCCAGTCCAACCCCCTGCCAAGAAGCAGGAATATTGCATTCAAATCACCCCTGACAGATGGCCATCCAGCCTCTGTTTAAAAGCTTCCAAAGAAGGAGCCTGTAAAGCAGGTATGGAGTTGTTTCCATTTATAAAATGTAATAAATTCTATTATGATACAACAGATCATGTTTAATGTTTGCTCTAATTGTAAAGTAGGTTGTTAAAATAAGAATCATTGTGCCCTTGGTCAATCTATAGATTGTCATTATTTCTAAAAGAAAAATCATCGGAGGGAAACTGGTATCTTCCCTTACCTTGAAATGTTAAAGGGTTTGAGTGGTACCCTCAAATATGTTTCTGATAATGGATGCTAATATAAGCATCTATATAAATAAAAATGTAATGTTCGTTTGTGGGATTAACATAACTCAAAAACCACTGGACGAACTGACACCAAATTTGGACACTATACCCCTAACAGACCAACAAGTGACCATCACTCATAAAAAAACCCCAAAATAGCAGAAAGGACTTAAAACCCCCCAAAAAGCTAAATGACGAAAAGCTAAATGACAATGCAGAAAAAAGGAAAGGAAGAGGGAGGAAAAGAAGGGGAGAAAGAAAGAATGTAAGTAAGAAAGAAAGATGGAAGCAAAGAGAAAAGGAAGGAAGAAAAGATGTAGAGAAGGAAGGAGAGAGAGAGAGAAAGAAAGAAAGAGGGGAAGAGAGAAGGAAGGATGGAAGCAAAGAGCAAAGAAAGGAAGGAAAGAGGTAAGTAAGTAAGTAAGTAAGGAAGGAAGGAAGGAAGGAAGGAAGGAAGGAAGAAAGGAAGGAAGAAAGAGAGAAAGAGGGGGGAAAGAAAGAAAGATGAAAGCAAAGAGCAAAGGAAGGAAGGAAAGATGTGGAGAAGAAAGAAAGGAGAGAAAGAAAGAAAGAAAGAAAGAAAGAAAGAAGGAAGGAAGGAAAGAGAGAAGGATGGAAGCAAAGAGCAAAGGAAGGAAGGAAAGAGGTAGAGAAGGAAGAGAGAGAGAAAGAAAGAAAGAAAGAGGGAAAGAAGGAAAGAGAGAAGGAAGGATGGAAGTAAAGAGCAAAGGAAGGAAGGAAATGTGAAGATTTGAACAGAGGACATAGTTTCTTTTTAAATTGTTATTATGCACTGTTGTTTATGTTTAATTGCACTTAATGTTTTTGCTTTATCAATGAATGTATTTTGTTTTGGCATCGAATTGTGCCGACTGAGTTGCCTTCGGCCTGAAATAGGTGGGATAGAAATAATGTAAATAAATAAATAAATAAGGAAAGAGGTAAAGAAGGAAGAAAGGAGAGAAAGAAAGAAAGAAAGAAAGAAAGAAAGAAAGGAGAGAAAGAGGGACGGCAAGAAAGAAGCAAAGAGAGAAGGAAGAATGAAAGCAAAGAGCAAAGGAAGGAAGGAAGGAAGGAAGGAGAGAAAGAAGTAGGAAAAGAAAAAGCGGGGAGGAAGGAAAGAGATAGAAGAGGAAGGAAGAAGAGAAAGAAAGAAAAAAGGGAAGGAAGGAAAGAAAGAGGGAGAGAAGGAAGGAGAGAAAGGGAGGGAAGGAAGGAAGGAGAGAAGGAAAGAAAAAAGGGAAGAAGGAAAGAGGGAGCAAAGGAAAGACGGAAAGAAGGAGAGAAAGAGGGAGGGAAGGTTGGCCACAGCAACACGTGGCAGGTACAGCTAGTCAAAAATAAAAATACATTATTGGTTATAGAGTTGCAATGATTTGGCATTGTTATATTGGTTATTCTATGACAATTAATTCTGTGAATTCAGCTGATTACAGTTGTCACAATCCAAGTCTTCTAACCTTATCACTGGCTGGGCACGTTCTCTCAAACACAAAAAATTGTAGAAATTACAGATAGAGAGGGCATGGGTAGCAGCAGCAACCTGCTGGACACAATTTTTGGTTTGGCTGGAAAGTCTCATGTACTTGTGGTGAAGAATGGAAAGCCAAAACCATGCTACTTATACAGCAAATCTGCATAAGTGGCATTCCTTTCAGAAGAATTTACCTTGCATATTTGGCATTACTAAGTACTAGCTGGGTTTTTGAGAGATACTTGGGACATGGAAATTACTCTTACTCTAAGGACGGCCTATAGTATGAACTCATCAAGCATACCTTGATTTCTAAGGCCAGCTGAAAGATTGGGAGTACTATTGGGTGAAACTTGTCAATCCTGTCCACAGGGGAAAAAAAAAACCAGAATGCTGGGCAGTAGGCCTGGGTAACAACGCAAAAATTTGGTTTTGTAATCGTTTTGTAATTGGGGTGTTTTTTTGTTTCGTTATTTAAAATAATTACAAAACTTTCCCAAAAAAAGTTTTGGTATTTACAAAATTTTGTAAATATTAACGAATTTTTAGAATATTTTTTTTATTTTTTAAGAATAATATTAAAAATAATATTAAAAATAATATTAAAAAATATTTTAAAATGGAAAACGAAACCGCACAGGCCTACTATACAGACATAGCGGGTTTGAGTCAGACCCAGCTAACACCTCCCAACAAAGGATTCCCCTGAGCAGGAAGGAGCCAGACTTTGAAGCTACAAGGCCATTTAATCCCAATCAAGCTGTCCAATGGCAACATTCACACTTGCCTCCAACAGACAAGAGTTCTTTCTCCCACCCTGGACCTTCTACAGCCAGGCTTTGAAGCTGCGAGGCCATTCAATGCTAATCAAGGTGGCCAATGGCAGCATTCACAATTGCCTCCAACAGACAAGGGTTCTTTCTCCCACCCTGGACGTTATTTCACAGGGATATAAACCCTACTTGCCTAGTTTCCAACAAACCTCTGAGGATGCCTGCTATAAGATATGAGAGAAACGTCAGGAGAGAATGCTCCTGAATCCTCCTCCACATGCGGCTGCATAGTGAGTGAAGTACTGTATAATAGCGCTGCATCAGGGGCGGCTGAAGCAACTTACGTGCCAAATCCCTGGCTGTGGGCTGCTTGTCTTGCTTGCTCGCTTCGCCAAGCGGGCGAAAGGAGAGGGAGAGAGAAAAACAGTGTGCTGCTGCCTGTCTCTTTAAGGAAGGAGCACATGGAGCCCTCGGCTGCCGGTTTGGCGGAGGGAGGGAGGCAGGCGCGCAAGAGCAACCAAGCGCGCGCCTGCCTCCCTCCCTCCGCCAAACCGGCAGCTGAGGGCTCCATGTGCTCCTTCCTTAAAGAGACAGGCAGCAGCACACTGTTTTTCTCTCTCCCTCTCCTTTCGCCCGCTTGGAGAAGCGAGCAAGCAAGGCAAGCAGCCCACAGCCAGGGATTTGGCACGTAAGTTGCTTCAGCCGCCCCTGATGCAGCGCTATTATAATACAGTACTTCACTCACTATGCAGCCGCATGTGGAGGAGGAGGAGTGTTGGAAAACGGGGAGAGGGGAAAGAGGGTGGGGAGAGCAGCCCAGGCCGAGAAAGAGGGGAATGGCACCAGCACTCCAGCAGCCTCCATCCCATTAACGAAACGAGCGGAAGCTCGTTAAATTTATGGGGGCTGCCGGTTCGATATTTTTAAACCCTTCCGGGTTTGAAAATGTGTTTTGATATTGCTTCAAAAATGCAAAAATAACGAATTAATAACGAAATAACGAAATAACGAACTAAATTGCCCAGGCCTACTGGGCAGCTATAAATGGCATCAGTGTATAGCTAATAGGGAGTAGCTCTATAATCACTTCACATCCTGATAGTTTTGACCAGAATTTGAGCATTAAAAATACATACCGAATTGTCTCTACAAGAGAATTTAGGTGATGCAGACAGCTTTTCATTTGGTTCTCTGTCTTCCTCTTTTCTTACTTCTTTGTGAGAGACAAAACGGCCAAAGTCTGGAGCCAGCTCATTAAGATGAACTATAATGTTATCATTATTTTGATCCTTCTCCATACTGGTTTTCAACTGTGGGTTAAAATGATCTCTTTCAGTTCTCAGTATTTCCAGTTCTTCCCTCTTTTTGTCAATTGGAGGCTTGAGTTCTGCAAGAACAGCGTGAAGTTTTCCTACCTCTCTCTGGTAAGCATCCTCTTTGTCATGCAGGGCTTGGAGCAAGGCATGCTGCTCATTTTCAAGCTGCACAACTTTTGCTTTCATCTGCTGTGCTTCAACTGCCTGCTCTGAATTCTGTTGTAACATACTTTGAAGCTGTAGCCCTTTCTGTAACAGGTCTGTCTCTTTCGCTCTCAGCTTATCTTCAAGTTCCTGAATACAAATGGTAACCTTAGTCATTTCCACATCTTTTTGTGTTAATGACACCTGTAGGAGCTTGTGCTCTTCATCCAGTTCTTCATGTTGTAGCTGCAAAGCTGTTAGTCTGGTAAAGTGTTGTCTAGAAGACTCCAGAACTTCTTGAAGATTTTGTTTGAGGATTTCAGTTTCTGCTTTAAACTGAGATTTCTTTTCTTCAAGCAACTGCTGTAAAGCTTCTCTGTCAGCTAAAACTGCTTCTAGTTGACCTTGTAGCTGGTTTTGGTTATAACTGAATGGTATACAGTGGACATCTTCGCCCCTGTTCACTTGATGACTTAGTGAGCCTTCTTTCATTTTATTTTTAATATCGTTTTGCTCCACTACTGCAAAGTTATTAATACTGTTTTGGCTGTTATTAGCCTCTTGACACGTGGGTATAAGAACTTCTAATTCCTTTTGTAGTGTCTCAATTATTTCCCTCAGCTGCTCTGTTTCTTCTGTTTTATCCTTTAGCAATTGTTCCTTGTCATTGTGAAGACATTCTACAATTGACTTCAAATTCTGAATTTCAAGTGCTTGGCTTTCCAGGATCTAAAACATCAAAATATATAAGACTGAGTTCTGATACAGAATATATTTTCTATTTTGTGCATTAATGGTCCACGCTCTTGTTACATCCCGAATAGATTAGTGCAACGCACTCTACGTGGGGTTGCCTTTGAAGACTGTTTGGAAACTTCAATTAGTCCAGCCAGATTACTCACCGGAGCGTCATACAGGGAGCATACCACCCCTCTGTTATGTCAGCTCCACTGGCTGCCGATCTAGTTCCGAGCACAATTCAAAGTGCTGGTTTTGACCTACAAAATCCTATACGGTTCCAGCCATACCTGTCCGAATGCATCTCCTTCTACGCCCCGCCTCGGAATTTAAGATCTTGTGGGGAGGCCCTGCTCTCGGCCCCACCTCTATCACAAGTGAGATTGGTGGGGCTGAGGAGCAGGGCCTTCTCGGTGGTGGCCCCTTGCCTGTGGAATTCACTTCCCAGGGAAATTAGGTCATTGACATCCCTCCTCTCTTTTAGAAGAAAACTGAAAACATGGATATGGGACCAGGCCTTTGGGTACTCTGGCAGATAGACAAAGGACAATTGACGACTTGAACTGATAGGATTAGACAATGTGGAATGAATTTACGGACTCTGAGCTGGTAAACGTTGAACATTAGACTGGTTTTATGGATTGTGATGTATAATTGATTGTTTTAATTGTTTTATAATTGCTGTTGATATATGTTTTTATCTTATTGTTTGTGTTGGCATCGAATTCTGCCTTTTGTAAGCCGCCCTGAGTCCCCGCTTGGGGGTTGAGAAGGGCGGGGTAGAAATGCGCAAAATAATAATAATAATAATAATAATAATAACAATTGGTTCAGCCATGTAGCTTAGCTTAGAACAAAAACAAATAACTATATTCATATTTTATGATTTCCATGGATACCCATGTCCAAGTCCGCTGCGAGTTGCCCCTGGGCTGAGAACAGCGGTATATAAGCAAAATTCTCAGACAAGTCGACAGTCATTCTCTGGGGCCACTGCCACACTTTCCTCACCCAGGATTCAAAAAGGCCAGAAGTTATACTACAGTAGAGAAAGTATAGGAGGCTGGTGCTTCTCTTAGATTCTCCCAAGGTGGATTTAGGGACCTTCCAGACAAACCCTATATCCCAGAATCTGATCTCAGGTTTTGTGCATTCAGCTGGATTATATGAGTCCCCACTGCCGGATAATCTGGGGTAAACAGAAAACTTGGGATCCAGGCATGTAGCCTTGGGGGGGGGGGGGGCTTGAGGGGCTTCAGCCCCCCCCCCCAATTATCAGGATGGTCCACGAGAAGGCCTTACTTGTACATTATTTGAACTGTTATGTTTATTCATATTATGATCTGACCACCATACTCAATATATCCCATATGCATGGGGAGTACTGGGATAATGATACAAAAGGTTTGCTAGGGTAGATCCTCAGCCGCCCCCTCCCCCAAAATCAAACTCAGTACCCCCCAAATCAAAATCCTGGCTACGGGCCTGTTGGGATCAGATCCTGGGATATAGGGCCTGTCTGGAAGGGCCTTAAGTTCTCACCTTTCACCAATCTACATAGGCCCCTTCCACACTGCCAGATTAACAGAACAGATTTTGTGTGTGTGTGTGTCAGGAGCGACTTGAGAAACTGTAAGTCACTTCTGGTGTGAGAGAACTGGCTGTCTGCAAGGACGTTGTCCAGGGGACGCCCACATGTTTTGATATTTTACCATCCTTGTGGGAGGCTTCTTTCATGTCCCCACATGGGAAGCCGGAGCTTACGGAGGGAGCTCATCTGTGCTCTCCCCAGATTAGAACATGTGACCTGTTGGTCTTCAGTCCTGCTGGCACAAGGCTTTGAACTGTATTATATGAGTCTACATTGCCATATAATCCGGTTCAGAGCAGATAATCTGGATTTTATGTGGCAGTGTAGAAGGGGCCTTAGAGAAGAGAATGGTTTCTTTTTGGTAAGAGTTAAATATTCACATTGACCCATGGATCAGATGAATCAGTTTTCTGCAGTTCATATTTTATCTAAAATTTCTAGACGTATACATAAGTATACAGGATACTTGGGGAGGGGAGTGCTCTTCTGGACCAAAGGACAAATATGGCCTAGATCCAGGCTATTTGGCAAAACGTATTTCCCTGTATGACCTTGCTTGGAGAGGCACATCACCTTCACAAACACAGTTCATAGGGACATAAAAGAGGGTCTCTTGGTTGGCTGCCCCTAGGTTTTGGAACTCCCTCCTTGAGAGGACACAATGGCCCCTCTCCTTATTACCCTTCAATCAACTGATAAAACCTGTTGATTTAACAAACATGTTGTTTTAGCTTAATTGTTTTTCAGAGCTTTAAAAAAGTATTTTCAATTAATTGTCTTAATATTGTAATTAGATTCATCTATATAAATAAAAATGTAATGTTCGTTTGTGGGATTAACATAACTCAAAAACCACTGGGCAAACCAAATTTGGACACAATACACCTATCAGGCCAACGAGTGATCATTACTCATAAATACACTGAAAAACACAGAGGAAAAGACTTTGAAAGCCAAAAAATTAAAAAAAATGCATTGCAATAAATGTGCAAAACAACATATTTACACATATACACAGATATATACACACACATACATAAACATGCAAAACACATTTACACAGATTGGGCCACAGCAACACGTGGCAGGGGACGGCTAGTTCTATTTTAAAATGTACTTTTTGTATGTGTTTAATTGTCTTGTTTTTAAAATAGCGAGCAGCTTTGAGACCCAATTGTAGAAGGAATAATCATCATCACCATTATCATAACAACACCAACAATCTAGAAATGCTTACATATATATACAGCTCGTGTATTGTTTCTGAGTTCTCTGTTTTTCAGTTTGGGAAGTAAAGGTTTCCTTTCAATAACTGAACCAATTCAATTTCTCAAAATATCAAGTCTCAGGTTTTTTTTTGTTTCTTTCAAGCACATATTTCTACCTTTCACTAGGAATAAACAAGGGTCAGCAGGGCATAGTAGTTTCAGTGCGGGTTCTATACTTGAAACTCATGGGGTTACTTTGGGCCTGTCATCTTTCTCAGCTGAGAAAACTCCATGATCAGTTCATTACAGATATTTAGAAAACTACATGGCAGCTTTCAGTACCACTATTAGAAACAGTATACATTATTTTCTTTATATGCAAAGGAAGCGGGAATAAAAGAAAACAGAGTGGCTGCATAAAATGATATGGTTTGTTTAGCTTGAAAGAATCTCTTGATTATCTATTTTTAAAACGAACATTATCAAATAACAAATGCAACACCATTGTTGTTACCTCATTCTCCTTGCTCTTTTTTATTTCACACTGCAGCCTCATAATTTGTTCATTCAAATGATCAGTTTCTTGATTCTTTTCTTCAAGCAGAGACTTCAAGAACTGCAGGACAACAAATTCACTGCCAACTGGATTTTGACTTTTTAAAAGTTTTGCAATGTTTTCCTAATGGAAAAGGTTGTATTGTTAGACAGAGAGATCTATAACTGTTCTTTTTCTAAATTGGCTTAGAGTAAGAAAAACACATACTGCTAGATCACAAACATCCCAAATTTTGTGGAGCACAGTATTTTATATTCTACCAAAAATGTTTCAGTTATAAACATAGTGACATATCATGTCTAAAGTAGTATAATACCTCATACCGTATATTTGATCTGGACTAGATTAAAAAAAAAAAGGTTATTTCTGAAATATCAACACTCCTATGACTGCCCTGATATTTCACCATAGCACCCTTTTTGAACTAAATTTATTACAATGTCATTCAAGTTTAAAGAATTTGCTTACTTCCTCCTCCCCCTTCTCTGCATGCAGTGGACATTTTAGACCTGGTTTAGCTAGAACAACCCCGCACATTCAGAAATATAAACTGGAATAGCTGCATGATACTTCATTAGTAATGCCAGAAGCCATTCCCTAGATCAGGGGTCCACAAACTTTTTAAACAGAGGGCCAGGTCACAGTCCCTCAAACTGTTGGAGGGCCGGATTATAATTTGAAAAAAAAAATGAATGAATTCCTATGCACACTGCACATATCTTATTTGTAGTGCAAAAAACACTTTAAAACAATACAATTAAAATGAAGAACAATTTTAATAAATACAAGCTTATTAGTATTTCAATGGGAAGTGCAGGCCTCCTTTTGGCTGATGAGATAGGATTGTTGTTGTTGTTGTGTGCTTTCAAGTCATTTCAGACTTAGGTTGACTCTGAGCAAGGACCGCGTAAATGACCTTGGAGGACCGCATCCTGCCCCTGGGCCTTAGTTTGAGGACCCCTGCCCTAGATCACTGGAAGCAAAATCTCTCAACAAATTATTTTTTCCTTAAAATTAACTTTTAAATTTACTTTCAAGTGTGCATTTTCTTCTTTGACTTGGATTATTTGAGTGCAATTAGCATTCCTTTCCATTTCCAACTTTGAACTCAGCTGTAAGACTTCTTCATTTTTATTCAATAAATTCACTTTATATTGTTCAAGTTGTTCTAACAAACTTGTAATCTGAAACAAACAAAAAAGCAAAAGGAAATACTTTTATTGTACAATCTGATTTTTCAAAAAGTTAAATATTTCTATCAATGCAGTAAGAAAACGTCATACAAGCAAGAGTCCGCAACATGTCTTGTAGATCTCACTCAAACATGATATAAAACTCTTAATATCTTAACCTGTGAAGATTTTACAGAAAACCAATATTGTAGAAACAAGATTTTACAAAAAAAAAACCCCATCCAATTTCACAGTAGACATTTGTAAGCAATATCTTTTAAGTAGTATAGGAGTAATAATACCCTCAAACAGGAAATAGTTTCTTTCCCTCCATCAACCCCTCCATAATTTTGCTTTACACTTACTTCTCTTTTTCTTACTAAAAGTTCTTCTTGGACTTTTAATTGTTCATTTAGTATATGATCTGAGTTCCATTCTGTAAACAATTTGTGTTTTACTTCATCCAGTTTGGAATGCAGAGCAGAAATCTGAATCAAATTATTGTGATTTTGCTGCTGTAAGGCTTCTTTATCCTGCAGAACATTAATATAAAATCATATATGCACACCACATATTCAGAATATGTTTATTAATTAGAAACATCTAAACTGATTAAGGATGAAGAATGTTGAGTTCTCCTCTATCACATAAATAGCCAGTCACCACCAGCATCAGTGAGAAGGGATGATGTGTGAGGCCAGCTCACCCAAATTCCTGCCACTGAGGAACCCGCCCCACCATCCCCACAACGGGAGGGACACAGAACCAGGCAAACAGAAAGGAGGGGGCAAAATCTGGACAGCCAAGATGGCGGAACACAGACCTTGTTTTTCCGTGTCAGGAGCAACTTGAGAAACTGCAAGTCGCTTCTGGTGTGAGAGAATTGGCCGTCTGCAAGGAGGTTGCCTAGGGGACGGCCGGATGCTTTGATGTTTTACCATCCTTGTGGGAGGCTTCTCTCATGTCCCCGCATGGGGAGCTGCAGCTGACAGAGGAAGCTCATCCGTGCTCTCCCTGGATTCAAACCTGCAACCTGTCGGTCTTCAGTCCTGCCGGCACAGGGGTTTAATCCACTGCACCACCGGGACTGGGCTGCCCTTGCCTTCCTACGATTTCTGCTTACTCCAATAGACTGAAACAGCTTTTACAATTCCATGCTTCTATGAATTACATTCGGCCCAGATAGTTACAAGTGGCTCAAACAACCGTTATTGGAGTCTCTCATACACAGAGAGACACAAGACCCACGGGTTGTTTTGTTTTTGTGGGAAAAATACAACTCATTCTGATTTGGTACATAATGATATTCTTTAGAAGATTATTCCATATTTTTTTGACATCACAACTTTTAAAAAAAGGCATTCTGCAAAGTTACAAAAAATTAAACATTGTTCAATCAGGGGCTAAGATCATCAGGGGAGGCCCTGCTCTCAGCCCACCCCCTCACAAGTGCAATGGTTGGGGATGAGAGCTGGGGCCTTCTCAGTGGTGGCCCCTCATCTATGGAACTCCCTCTGGGATCAGGCTTTTGTTCAATAATGGGAACAAAGCAATAAGAGATTGTAAAATAATTTTAATGACAACTTGGACCGGCCCTGGAATATGACCTGGACTATGTGATTTTAATTTTCTTTTAATGTTACGTTGGATGGTTTTAATGATTTTGTTTATCGTTGCTGTATGCATACATGCAACATTGAAATGTTGCCTTTGTAAGGCTGCTTTGAGCCCCCTTCGGGGTTGAGAAAAGCAGGATACAAGCATGGGAAATAAATAAATAAATAACTTTTTGGAAAAGAAATGCTGTTAGAACTGAGTAAGATAATAAAAAGGATCTTGCCTATCCTTTAAGAAACAAAAATGCCTACTCATCATCACAGATAAATTGGGCAAATCCATCTAGCCCAGTAAAATTGTTTTTCAGAGTTTAAGTACACAGCAGACAAAATGGTAGGCATTTAACCTGTAAAGATGTGGGATAGTATTCTTTCCTGTGATGGAAAGTCAGTTGGGAATCATGGGGAATAATGAACTGTCTCTCTCACAAAATACAGTATTTTCAAGGCAATTTTCTCCTCAGATAGCTGTTTTCCTCCGTTTAAGGAGAAAATCTCACCAGGATTAAATTGATCAAGCAATCCAAAACACAGAAGATCAATCTCCCTCAACATTACACACTGACACCAAAAACTACTGCCTTGTATACGAAGAGGGAATAAAAGGTGCCCTCTAGTTCACAGTCCATCAAAAACATTCTTTCCAAATGTAGTAGATAAAGTGAACACCCCAGCATCCAGACTCCTGGATGGCTCCAAGAATGAACCCCAAGTAATTACAAAATCCCTTGCAGAGATTATAGAAGCTAGCAATACACGATGTTCCAATCTCAATTTCCATTAAAAATATAAAATAATTAAATCAGTTACTTGTTTCAATTCTGCTTCCATTTTTTTCATTTTTTGCAGTTCTTGTGTGAGTTGGTTGGCATGATTTGTCTCTTCCTTATTTTTGAGTTCCAGTTCCCTAATCTGTGCTTCTAGTTTTTTTATTTGATCCTTTTGAGCAACAAGATCTTTCTGGATCTGCTCTTTCTCTGAAAAGAGTCTATTGAAATCTTCTGTTTTTTCTTTTATTTCACCATAGAGAGTATCTACCTATGAAGGTGGAAAAACAGAAAGGCCCAATTAATAGGTAACATGCCACTAACATACCATATTTATCTAAATTGTCTGAAATACAATTCAAATGCAAAGATATCATAAAGAATATTTTTAAAAACATGGGATTTGGTGAAAATGTACAACCAGAAACTCTTAAGTACACTACCAAACTCAAGAAGCAGTCCAAAGCACTACTTCTCAAGAATGCTCATATATGGAAAGACGACTGACAGGGAATTTAAAGTGCCAAAAGACATTTTTTTCTAATCGGTCATATACATTCAATACAATAAGGGAAAGAAATAGTTTACGAAAGATAATAGTTGAATGATCTTGATTATCTTCTACTGATTTTATGGCAGTATAAACTAACTGTCAACTTGTTAAGTTCATAAGATTGCCCAGAGGAATATAAAGCAGAATAATAATGGAAGTAACTTTTGTTTGAGTACCCAAGTTCCAGTGGTTACCTATTGAATCATTCTGCTTACCAAATTAGACTGCCCAGAAGCCTGGAATTTTGCTGTTAGTTTTAACTCCATTTCTAGTTTCTGAATTTCTTCCTGAAATTCATCACGTTCATGTTCCCGTTCAACAGCTTGTTTCTGCCAAAAAAAAGGTATCAAATAAAATAATTTGAAAATCTGTTTTCATGTTTACAAGAAGTGTTTAAGATCCCTGAGAATTTTAATTGACAAGAACTATCAATCCCCAGCTCGACAGGCAAAATATTTTTCCTTACATCCATAAAATCACGCTGATTTTTGAGCTGTCTTTCAAGAGATTGCATTTGTTGCCTCAGATCTGTAACCTCCAGTGACATCACAGTTAAATTCTGATTTTTGCTTATTTGTTCTTCAAGTTCCATTTCCAACATTTTTATCTGAGCATTCAAAGTAGAACAGTCCTTTTCTGCTTGACACTGCATTTCTAATTTTGCTTTTGCCAGGTGTTCAATTTCCTGTATTAAATCTCAAAAAAACAAAGAAATATGAATGTTGTGCATTTAAACGGAAAATTCACATTCTAGCATATCCCAAATAAGCATATGTTGATTATCCACCCCTTCCCCCATCACTATGAACTAGAAAAATCAGGCATGAATGGTGGAAGACCCCTGGGAAGTTGCTCAGATTCCTATGACTGGTCAGGACTCAGTATCAACTTTACCCCTCTTTTTGCACTAATTGTAACTTCCCACCATATGTCAATATAGTATCACTTTGGGACACTGTGGGAAAATGAAATGACAACCCCCTCCCCCACTCCCATTATTATTATTATTATTATTATTATTATTGTTATTATTATTTATTAACTTTATTTGTACCCCGCTAACATCTCCCGAAGGACTCGGTGCGGCTTACAAAGGCCAAGGCCCTCAATAAAACAATAACATAACAAATACAACAATAAAACTCATAAAATAAACCAATAAACATTAAAGCAATAAGAGTAAAACATTAAAAACAATACATCATGACACATTTAAAAATATTGCTTCTGCTTCAGAGCCACAGATGCTGCCCCTTATCACAGACTGCTGGATGCAACAACAGAGGAGAGCGTATTTTGCTCAAGACACATGCCAATACTAGAAAAACATTTCGAAAATTTCCACTGCCATCTCTTTGCTATGCGAATCACTATGCACAGATACTATCTAGATAACTTTCAGAACAGCTCTGCTTTAATGGCTGTTCAAAAGGTTACTCCTGGGGCATGATCATACTGCAGAATTAGAGCATAATAATAATAATAATAATAATAATAATAATAATAATAATAATAATACTTTATTTATACCCCGCCACCATCTTCCCAAGGGACTCGGAGTGGCTTACATGAGGCCATGCCCAACAACACATCAAAAACAACAAGCAATAATAAAATAACAAGCAATAAACAAAAATATCCATTCTACTTTAACTGGCACGGTCACATCCTGCAGAATCCTGCAATTTGTCACCTGGTAAGTCATGGGGGGGGGGGGGGGGGGGGGGGGGCTCTTGTTGAGAAGTAATCGTGTCATGTGAAATATCAGGTTTAGATTCAAATGCTTCCAACCTGTTTCAACCAACACAAGCATATTACCTTTTCTTGTTTGAAACTAAAATATGCAGCACATTTAAAATATCTAAAACTATGTGCTATTGCTCAAACCAATTAGCATTTCATGGTTGGTGTGCATTTCATACAAATAAGTGATTTGGTGTTGGGTTCCTTACCAACTTCTCGCTCCCCTACACCATCAGTCAAAACTTTGTTTTCTCTTATTGTGAACTTCTGATCTTCTGCAGGTTTTTCAACTTTCTGTTTTAACTCTTGGATCTGCGATTTCAAACTTTCCAATTCTAGCACTAGACGGCATTCAGATTCCTCTTTCAGCTTCAGGGCTTCTTGCAAGGCATGTCTCTCTGCTAAATAACCATCCATAAGGCCTACAAACCAAAATGGTGCATGAAAGCACTATGTTGAAATATGCAAAACAGTAACAGACAAAACTTTAAAGAACATGAATATAAGATATCCCTACATCTAGTATCATACATTTAATATGTACAGACAGTCCCCAAGTTACAAACATTTAATTCACAAATGACTCATAGTGGAGATCAGGCTTGAGAAAACAGGAAGTGAGAGAAATCTACCCCTAGGAAAGGAAATTCACCCCTGAAACTTATGGAGAAAAGGGATCTCCACTGAAGCTTTATCACGAATCGTTGTTTTCACAAAATCCAATGATCACAGGGACAGAAAGTGAGGTGAAATCTTCTGAACAGGGGCACAGACAACAAAACAAACATCATAGGACATTAACCTTTCCTTATGCTATCCAAAGCTCTCTCTCTCTCTCTCTCTCTCTCTCGCTCTAAATAAATAAATAAATAAATGTAATGTAATGTAGTGTAATGTTCATTTGTGGGATTAAGAGAACTCAAAAACCACTGGACGAATTGACACCAAATTTGGACACAAGACACCTAACAACCCAATGTATGTCCTTCACTCAAAACAACGATTTTGTCATTTGGGAGTTGTAGTTGCTGGGATTTATAGTTCACCTACAATCAAAGAGCATTCTGAACCCCACCAACAATGGAATTGGACCTAACTTGGCACACTGTTTTCTCATGACCAACAGAAAATACTGGAAGGGTGTGGTGGGCAGTGTCCTTTGGTTTTGAAGTTGTAGTTTACCTACATCCAGAGATCACCGTGGACACAAACAATGATGGATCTGGACCAACCTCTACACGAATACTAAATATGCCCAAATGTGAACACTGGTGCAGTGTGGGGAAAATAGAATCTTGACATTTGGAAGATGTAGTTGTTGGGATTTATAGTTCACCTACAATCACCGAGCATTCTGAACCCCACCAACGATAGAATTGGGCCAAACCTCCCACACAGAACCCCCATGTGGGTCACAGCAACACATGGTAGGGAACAGCTAGTGTGTATGTGTGTGTGTGTGTGTATGTGTGTATATATATATATATATATGTATATATATATATATGGCTAGAGTTGCACTTAAGAAATATACCTGCTCCAACTTACAGTGATGCCTTGACTTAAGAGTTTAATTAGTTCTGTGACCGAGCACTTAACTGAGATCACTCTTATCTCAAAGCAAATTTCCCACTTAAATGTAATTCATCCGTTCTGATTCCCCGAAAACCACACCATTTTTTGGTTAAATGTTTTTAAATAAGAACATTAATTTTATACATAACAAATAAATGCATAGGAAGAAATGACACAAAGCAAAACCTGCACATTCACTTGAACACTAAAAAAAGAGAGAGAAAGATCCACTTTAAAATGGTAGAGGCATAAAGTTGTGGCAAGGAAGCACAATGCCAAAGTGAAGAAGCAGGGGCATCATTTTCTTCATACTGTACTCATTCTAGCCTCCCTCCCTCTCTTGCTCTCTCTCTCTTCATGAAGCCAAACATACCAATAATAAAAACCACACAAAATCAATTAACAATTGACAAAATCAAGTTCCTCAAAACAGCAATCTCCCAAAGCAGACAAGAGCACGAGGCATGGAGGCTGCTCTCCTGAAACCCTGTATGCCTCTGGCGCTTGTTTCTAACACAAAACACTGCTCTTATGTCAATGCAAAACCTGGGCCGAGACGGGTCTTAACTCAAAATGCTCTTAAGTTGGAACACTCGTAAGTTGAGGTTCCACTGTAGATACAAATTCACTTAAGAACATAATCACAGAACTTATCTTGTTTGTAACTTGGAGACTGCCTTTATCTTCATATTTTTACATACCATGACCTTGTATCATTATATTATTGATTCATGTAACATCATTGCTTCTAACATTATGCCCATTTAAGTTTTTTGGGGTTATTTTGGATGTGTCAGGAGCGACTTGAGAAACTGCAAGCCGCTTCTGGTGTGAGAGAATTGGCCGTCTGAAAGGACGTTGCCCAGGGGACGCCTGGATGTTTTGATGTTTTACCATCCTTGTGGGAGGCTTCTCTCATGTCCCTGCATGAGGAGCTGCAGCTGATAGAGGGAGCTCATCCGTGCTCTCCACGGATTCAAACCTGCGACCTGTCGGTCTTCAGTCCTGCCGACACAGGGGTTTAACCATTTAAGTTGAGCAGGTTTCGTAAATTAAAAAAAATTATTTTTCTCCTCTACGATGCTGTACTTGTGGGACACTATGTGTATTCACAGTTACACAAACACTTAAATGAAAACTTGCCATACACAGAATTAAAATAATTTTAATCTTTAAATGGTCTCAATATTCATAATATCACAATAGTGTTTTATAATCCGTATTTCTCATCTGCAATCTTATTATACTAATATTTCTGTTTCTTTTTGTAGTTCTCTCAGATGCCAGAAGAGAATCATATACAGGAGAAACAGCCCAACATAGCTCACAGTAGAACTCATGTAGTACACAGGTTTTTAACAGTTTGGGTTTTCTAGGAGGCTTGCTAGAGCTACATTGATTAGGATAGGATTTTCCGTAAATTAGAATGTTTAAAAGTCTGTTTTTTTTTTTTAAGATCAGTAACAGAAAGAAGCCTGGAATTTTCCCAGAGGGGTGTGTATGGCCCTCAGTACTGCTTTCAAATCCAACTGAGATAATTATCCCTCTTAGGCATGGCTGGTACGTGCCTCCTTCAGACACAAGCCACCTGGATCTTTAACACCATTTCAATTTCAATTTCCTACCTTTTGTTTTATGAAGTTCCAGCATAAGCTGATGTTTTACATTACTCTCTTCATTGAGGCAGCCCACTAGCTCCTGGTGTTCATTGGCAACCTGACAAGCTTCCAAGTTTCTGCGTATGAATTCCTCTTCCACATGAAGATGGATGTTATGCATTTCTTCCAGCTTCAAAACATTAAAGGATATAAGACTCTTAATAAAAAGCAGCATTGTATCTGCAGTGTTTTTAAACATTGTATCCTGCATCACATTTTATCACAGGCTATGCTTATCCAGTCTTCTGACTATTATACATACATACATTTTTATTATAGTCCAAAGACTCTTATTTTCTGACTATTAAGAAACTAATTATAAGAGAACATAGAATAGTGCGATGACAGTCTGGAATGGGCCACAAACTATGATATTGGATTGCGTGATTTTAAGTAAGTGGTTTTTAATGTTTGGTATGTTTTTAATTATTGTTTAAATGTATATGTTTATTTTAAAGATGTATGGTCTTAAGGCATCAAATTGCTGCCTATATTGATTGTGATATATATCTTGCTTGTTTTAATTGTTTATAATGGCTATTGATACATGTTTTTATCTTATTGTTTGTTGTTGGCATCGAATTGTGCCTTTTGTAAGCCTCCCTGAGTCCCCCATCGGGGGTTGAGAAGGGTGGGGTAGAAATGCGCGAAATAGATAAATAAATAAAAATATATATGTGAGCTGCCCTAAGTTCTCTATGGGGTTAGAAGGGCGGGGTATAAATATGGTAAATAAATAAAAAAATAAAAAAGTAAATATAGTGATGACTGAAATATTATTTCAAAGCAGAGTAGCTCAACTTATTTAAGCACATTTCTTATCCAATCCCAACAATATGCACATGTGAATTGAAACAACCAAGCCAAGAAAGCCTTGCATAAATTTGTTGTGCCTTGAACTCATTTCTGACTTGCAAAGAACTGAATGCACATGTATGAAACACAAGGCCCGCAAGACAAATCTGGCCTGTCATGTCTTTGTTCATCTGGAGAGGCCCTGCTCTCGCTCCCGCCTCCCTCGCAGGCGTGATTGGTAGGGACAAGGGAGAGGGCCTTCTCGGTGATGGCCCCCCGACTCTGGAACTCACTTCCCAGGGATATCAGGCATGCAGTCTTTAGGAGGAGCCTGAAAACTTAGCTGTTCCAGTGTGCCTTCCCGGAATAAGGAAATAATACCCAGAAAAATGTCCTCAGAATGCACTTTAATTATTTATTGGATTGCGCTCCCCTCACTTTTTAAAAAACCCTCCTACCAGATATATCCTACCTTGTTCATGCCCAGCGTTTATTTTTTAATTTTAAATTATTACATTTGGCCCGGCCATAGGTTTTTAAATCCTTGTGTGTTAATGTTTATATGTGATTTATATTAATTGTATTGTTTTTGTTTATTGCTTTCTTGTTTTATTGTTGTGTGGTTGTTGGGCTTGGCCTCATGTAAGCCACTCCAAGTCCCGTGGGGAGGTGGTGGTGGGGTACAAATAGTATTTATTTATTTATTTATTTATTTATTATGTCATTTTATGCAGCCCTCCAGATGCTAGACTACAATCCTGTATTCCTCATCACTAGATGTCATGACTAAAGCTGATGGATGTTTGATATAGGAAGGCTCAATTGGTTCTGTTTAGTCAGGCGAGTGGGCTTTTGATTTAGATCAAAGGTTTGTAGATAAGATGTCTAACTTTAAAATGTCCATTAACCTTTCCCCAACCTCAGACACAAGTGCTGTTGGTTTGCAACTCCCATCATCCTTGGTCTGTACTGTGGATGATAAAAAATGATGGGCTCTACAATTTGGGTAAAAACCAAAGAGCACTGACCACTATGTAAAAATAAATATCACTGGCTATCTGTATCCATTGCTTCTCCATCCATGGATTTAGTGGCCCTTAAAAGGCTGATGTAGCTGTCAATTAAAATGAGTTTGACACCTCTGCCTTAAAGCAAACAAGCCAATAATGTGATTTTGTTTGGAAGATTTAAGAGAGGGTTTTCCTTTGTCTTCCTCTGAAGCTGAGAGTCTGACTTGGCCTATTCTTCAGAATTGTAGTCTAAAACTCAAACCACTATGACACACTGGCTCTATCTTGCATAAGTTCCAAAACATTTTAACTCCATAGAGACCATCTGAAAGCTTCTTCCAAAATGCATTCAGGGATGCATTTTGGAAGAAGCTTTCAAATGGTCTCTATAGAGTTAAAATGTTTTGGAACTTATGCAAGATAGTATCGACAATACATTCAGTCTTTCATCAGCCTCTAATTTTATTATTCCCATTTTGGTGGTCAAGATTACAGCTCTTTGCTTTTTGACATGCTTGGGGAAATTGTTGTGGTAGGTTTATGTTCAAGTAGAATTCATAAGAGATTCTAGAGGTAGCTGTTGTTGATCCAGCCTGTTGTAGGCAGGCACACAGTAATCTAAGCTCCACCTGAATCCTAGCTCAAGATTAACTACATTATTCAATGCAAACATGTTGCTGCAACTTGATGCTGAAAGACTATGCTTTTTCAGTCTTCCTTCCTCATTTTCCCAACAGCGAAACTGCTAAAAATAATCCAAATAGAGAGATAATGGGGACCTTTACTGTCAAAGGCTAAGATATGCCTGAGATATTATTAATCTTCAACAGTGCCCAACATTATACTGTTATCCAAATACATAACATACAATTTTAAGTATGCATTATACATATATTAAAAATTACTTGTTTGGTTGACTCAGCAACAAGGTCCAGTAACTTTTCCACAGCAATGTGCAAACAATGGCATATTTGATGAACTCGCTCTTCATTTGCAAACACCAAATCTGGGTTTTTGAAAATACTTTCACATAGATGCTCACTGAGTTCAGATAATTCACCGGGCTTCAAGGAGTCATGGCTATCTTCTAGAAGAGTTAGAGCAAGACCTTCCCCTATTAAAGAAAATAATTATTTATGGGTTTTAGAACACAGCAACAAAACAATTTGTTATAGTAGTCAAACAACTGCAAGACTAGCAATATATTTATGTGCTAAAGACAGTTCTTCCTACCAAACAGTTTTCATTTTGTGCCCCTATTCCTTTTCTCTTTATTTATTTCTTTATTTATTTACGACTCAGAGTAGCTTACAAGTAAAAAGTAAATACAATATATTATATTATAATATTATTACCACAGCACAATATTAATATTATATATTACATTGTACTATAACATTATACTGTAATATTATTAGTAATATTACATTTAATATAAAATATATAATTATAATATCATATTATTATTAGTAGTATTATATTGTATTACATTACATTACATTATAATATAATATAATATATTATATTATAAGCACAGTGCAGGAGACAAGATGGAACTGCCTTCCTGGCCCCTCTCTTCACTCTGATCTCAGAGCAGCGGTTGGTGTGGAGGGGGGGGGGAGCTCCCAACTGATGACACCGGAGGCAAGATGAAATTTCCCCTTATAAAGCTTAGAGGGGAAATTGCTTGATTTCTGATGTATGCAAGTTGATCTTGAAGACTGACTTATAAACATATTTGGGGAGTCCAGATAACTTATAAACATATTTGGAGAGTAATGGAGTTATATCACTGCAGTTTGAAACTTATTCAATGTGAATCATACATGAAAATATTATAATATTTAGTTATTTCATCATTTCCATGTGAGTGCAGAGTCTTCAATTTTCTTTGAAATTGTTTTAGACTGTGACATCATCTTGTGGAAATTCTAAAAGGATAGCCTAGAACTGCTACAGTGCTGGCTTTCTTACTTTCTTCTATCCTTCTGAATTACTTTCCTAAAAGAAGATGGACATATTGCATCCAAGGATTCTGTTATATTGCTTTGGTTTTATGTAGGATGCAAGTATAGCTATCTGATTTGCTTGTAATAGCAAGAACACCTTATAAATAGCTGTAATCTAACTTTCAATATATCAAGATTGGGCTTCTCAAATGTAGCCAAAGTATATACAAAAGATCACCCCTTGCCCCCAATAAAACCTGACCAAATGCAAAGACAGAAGTGATGTCACTCACTTGCCATTTCTATTTTTTCCAAGTATTTTCAGATATGCAAGGGAACACAAAAATCATCAAAAATATTTGGGGGGGGGGACCTTTGCGGCCTGCTAGTAGGCAAAGCAATAAAAATTAGCCCTTGCTCCCTCTGCAGTTCCCCACCCTTACTATATACAAATGCCACTTTACAATCATTCTACCTACAACAATAAAATATATTAAAATTAATCAGTGATATTTTATGAATGATGAGGAAGGAATAAGAAAACAGACTACACTTTACTACTGGTTTAGGATTGACTGCGTTCTCTCATCTCTCTTTGAAAACCCTATACCAGTTATATCCCACCCTGTTCATGCCCAGGATTTATTTGTTAATTTTTAAACTATTACATTTGGCCCGGCCATAGGTTTTAAATCTTTTTGTGTTACTGTTTTTTGGTTATTGTTTACATGTGATTTATATTAATTGTATTTTATTTATTGTTTTTGTTTATTGATGTACTGTTGGGCTTGGCCTCATGTAAGCCGCTGGGAGATGGTGGCGGAGTATAAATAAAGGTATTATTATTATTATTATTACATGAACCCTGGGGTTCACTAATTGTTCAATAAGTTATAGCAAAGTGAAATATATTATGAGGGGGAATTTAAGTATGATTCATCCAGACTGAAATCCTGTATTTACATTCTGTGAATTTGCTTATAATACTGGCAAACTTGTACATTTTCCATGAACTGCAGAAAAACATTTCACATGAACAAGAATACAGTGAGTTCTATAATAAAACATAAATATTCCTTTTTTTACTTGTACACAACTACCTTGACCACCTCTAATATTATTCTTTGTACTCCATTTCTCCATAGGTTTCATCTTTTTTGTGATAATTATTTCTTCACTCATATTCTGACTCTCTTCTGAATCTCCCGATGCAAAGCTGTCGTCAAGACAAAGACCAATCTTCTTGCAGATCAGATCTTCTGCATCTTTTGTAGATTTCATCATTTTCAGAAGCAATTTCAAAGCTTGTTGATGAGATTCTTGAAGCTTTTCCCTAAAATAAACCATAACACATTGAGATACTGTCTCTCTGACTCCTCCCACATATTAATCCAGATATCACTTCCAGCACTGCACTCTTTTCAGTAGGTTTTTTTTTTTTTGCAATATGCCTTCTTACCCTATCAACCTCAGCTTGCTAACTTTATAAAATTTTCTAAAAGTGCTCCTCTTTCTTCATTCTTATCTGTTCCCCAGAGTTTGCACTTGACTCATTCAAATCATCTCCCTTTCAACTTTTAACGAACATATTTGGCCCATTTTCACAACTCTTTGCACCTATCATATTCATCTTCATCCCACTTTAAACATTTATTATTGTCCTTGTTCTCAAGCAACTAGACATTTCTGGGGAGAAAGGAAGAACTGATTTACATTCATTCTCACCTTCTTATCTGTCTCTTACTTGACCAAACGACATTACTTCATTATTTAAGAGGTCTTGGAATTTCTTTCTACACGTAATCTCCTACAAAGAGGGTTTAATAGCTAACACATTAGGATGGCAGAAATCTAGGAAGTAGCACACTGAATTTAAAGAAGCTGCTCACATTGTGTCAAATTTTGGTGAAGTCAGTTCTGTTCACCTAATTAGACAGTGGCTTCTTCTCTAACTTACGGCAGCTATTTTAATCCATGCTGGTTGAAGAAAATGAACCTTTCTTCCGCTTTCCACCTTTTACTCTTACCAACTAACCCTTGTAGAAAAAAGCCATAAGAAGATGGATTCACAATACAGGCAGTCCTGAGTTACAAACAAGATAGGTTCTATAAGTTTGTTCTTAAGGTGAATTTGTATGTAAGTTGGAGCAGGTTCATTTTTTAATGTCATTCCAGCCAAAAAACATTTTTTTTAGTTTTAGATAGCATAGGGAAGAGTTAACAGCATTGTAACATTTGTTTTGGTCTCTGTGTCCCTGCTCAGGGGATTTCACTTATCTTTTTGTCCTCGTGACAACTGAATTTTGAAAAAAATCGGTTGTTGTGGAAACAAGGATTGGTGATAAAGCTTAACCATAAACAACCCAATCCTGGAGCAGTAACCACACCACTTCCTTAATTATTACTGGGTAAACTGGATCCTACTCCTGTCACATACACAATTGGCTTATATCAGTGCCATGCATTCATCTGAAGACTTGTTATCTTTATATGGTGATGTTGCTGTGTACTAAGGCTATCGAGTGGGAAACCAAAGTGGGATCCTTGGCTTCTAGAGCAGTAGTCCATTGACTAGTTCAAAGCATTGTACCTAACTGGCTCTTATTTGCACCGGGATTATGGCGCAGCTGGCTGAATGTCAGCTGCATTAAGACCACTCTGACCAAAAGGTCATGAGTTCGAAGCCAGCCCGGGTTGGAGTGGGTTTCCAACCAATTGTGTGTAGCCTGTTGTCGACCTTTGCAACCCGAAAGACAGTTGCATCTGTCAAGTAGGAAAATTAGGTACCACCTTAAAGTGTGGGGAGGCTTGTTGTTGTTCATTCGTTAAGTCGTCTCTGACTCTTCGTGACCTCATGGACCAGCCCATGACAGAGCTCCCTGTCGGCTATCACCACCCCCAGCTCCTTCAAGGTCAGTCCAGTCACTTCAAGGATGCCATCCATCCATCTTGCCCTTGGTCGGCCCCTCTTCCTTTTGCTTTCCACTTTCCCCAGCATAATTGTCTTCTCTAGGCTTTGCTGTCTCCTCATGATGTGTCCAAAGTACTTCAACTTTGTCTCTAGTATCCTTCCCTCCAGTGAGCAGCCGGGCTTTATTTCTTGGAGGATGGACTGGTTGGATCTTCTCGCAGTCCAAGGCACTCTCAGAACTTTCCTCCAACACCACAGTTCAAAAGCATCTATCTTCCTTGCATCTATCTATCTATGGGGAGGCTAAATTAATTGATTTATGAGGCCATAAAGAAGACTCCAGCAAAGCATTCCAGTAGGAAAGCATGTGGGGAATGCAAAGTGTTTCATCAGCGTTGCAGATGGACGATGAAAGCGACAGCTCCCCTGGCGGCCAGAAAAAGTTAAATAGCCTCTGTGTATGTCTGTATATGTTTGTATGTCAAAAATTGGCATTGAATGTTTGCCATATATGTGTACACTGTAATCCGCCCTGAGTCCCCTGCGGGGTGAGAAGGGCGGAATATAAAAACTGTAAATAAATAAATAAATAAATTGTTTGTACTAACCTTTCAGTCTTGTAAAGTTCAATATCTGATTTCAACAAAGCTATCAGAGTCTCCCCTTCCTGGTTCTCTCTGTTCTGTTGCTTTCTAAGATTTTGCAATTCAGTACTAGCATCTTTGATCTCTTTGCTTAGGCACAGGTTTTTTTCTTCCAGCTGTGGAAAATTTGGTATTGGATAAAAATATAATTGTCTCTTTAAAAATATATATCCTACAACCATCTGCTACATACAACTCTCAGAGAAACTGTAATTGTAGTATGAAATCATGTCAATTTCAGGACTTAAATACTAAAACGTACAGATCAGAAATTATAAAAAATACTCAATAAATGTATCTGTATCTTTTGTTTTCTACTTTTTATTGCATTAATATCCCATCATTTATCCAAAACTGACATCCAGAAAGTCACATAACGATACTATTTTAAAAAAACAATATTATTAGAACCAAAAGCAGATTCCATTATTAAACAGAATTATTTGTAAAATCCCACAGAATGCAATCAGCAATGAGCCGCTGACTAAACCTTGCCTTGTCTTTTCCTAATCAAAGAAGAACAACAACGAAAAGGAACACTTAACCTCCCATGGTAAGGAATTCAAGAAGGAAGATATTGCTAGCATCCTTAAAAGTGGGTCATGTAAGGGACCAAGGGTGATTCCTTGCACTATGTTCTCTTTTTATTTTCTTAGGTAGGGGAACAGAGGAAGGAAAATAAGAACAAACAGGAAAGTTTGGAAAAACAATTTACAAATACAGATTTTCTGGATTAATTTCAGCCTGGTTTTAGGATAGGGCAAGGTACCAAAGTCTGCCTGACAAAACTACTTTGGTAGAAAAATGGGAAGTATTAACTTCTTGATTTCCCTGGATCTGAAATTTAGTTCTGGTGACTGATGATAAAGTTTGAATGATTTTCTGGTTAGGGGATACTATTTTTTATTTATTTATTTTTTACAAAAGCTACTGTGTATCTTATTTTGTCCTAGTGATTGAGACAACACACAATACATAGCCCTAAATGGTTTGGGACCTGCCTATCTCCGCGATCGCATCTCCTTCTATGAACCGGTACAAGCTCTAAGATCTTCAGGGGAGGTCCTCCTCTCGGTCCCACTACCGTCTCAAGCGCGGTTGGTGGGGACGAGAGAGAGGGCCTTCTCAGTGGTGGCCCCCAGTCTCTGGAACGCCCTTCCAAAGGAAATAAATACAGGCCCCATCCCTCCCCTCCTTTTGTAAGAACTTGAAGACCTGGTGGTTTCAACAAGCCTTTGAAAATGACCAGTTCTAACTCAGCCCCACACATTGTCTAATACGGCCTTATTCTTCCTACCAGTTACCCAGATTCTTTCCTCTAATTGGCCTCGGAATGAACAGCCACAGACCCGTACCTAATATTATTGTTGCCTGCCATAGCATTGCACTTAATTCCCGGGCTCCCTAGAATTTTTGGGCTTGCAGAAATCTTGGCCCGGCCTTTTAAATTTTTAATTGCGTTGAACAGGTAGGATTACTTTTAGTATATGTGTGTTATGGTGACAATTTTATGCGTATATTTTGTTTGTTAATCTTATGGTTATGTTGTTTTTACTCTGATGTTTTGTGATGTTACTTGGGAACCGCTCTGAGTCCCCTCAGGGAGATGGAGTGGTATATAAAGTTTTTTTTTTTTAAATATTATTATTATTATTATTATTATTATTATTATTATTATTATTATTATTATTGCATTAAACATGTGAACTGTCTGTGGCTTCAATGACTTCCCTTCTGGGGAGGAATGAGAGTTATCCTCCACCTCCCATAAGCAGAGGTTGATCCTGATCATCACCACCCCATCTACCATGCAACTTCAAAAACAAAGCAGATAGATCATATGCATTAATACTTTTAATATTATAAAAATGTGGCCTTAAGTAAATGTTATAGTAAGCAAATAGACCAGAAGCATACAAAGGTGACCTCCTATCTCAAATTAATGTTTTCAAATGTGGGTAAAATGCTGAATCAAATGCAATGGTAAAAAAAGAAATAGAAACCACAGCAATTATCACCTGTTGTCTGATTGAGTTTAATTCTTCCATATCTTTCTGGAGCTGCTGCCATTTTTCTTTCTCTTTCTTAACTTCCAGTTTATGGAGACTGTCAAGTTCCTCTATTGTATTTCTATGCTGTTCCTTGATATGGAGGACTTCTTTTTGCAGTATGTCCATAGATTTATGGTAGTCATCTTCCAACAATCTTCTCTGGTTTTCCAGTGCTATTGTCAAATCTTCCTACAGATTCAAAAAATTTAGGCAGTTAATCTTTCCAAGTCAAAGCACGGGAAGACATTTCTTATCAAGTAGAATTAAATTAATATAGATCATTTTTGTTGCTTTGCTTATAGATTTCACACCTTTGAGCAAGCCTACTACTCCTTTCTATAGTCAAGACATCCTCCAGCAGGCTACACATTTCCTAAGAAGCAAAGCCAAAGGATATAGTATTTGGATCATCCACACTAAAAGATTACATTTGTCTTGTTTTATAGAAACATGGCAAAATTGTCTGAATGACACGGAACATTACTTTATGTGATAAACACTATGAAAGCTCAAAACAAACAAGATATGGTATTAGAAATGATCAAGTATTCCCCAGAAACCTAAAACATATTTTAAAAGCCCAATTTTTGATTGAAGATGAATATAAACAAAGAAACAGAGGTTGACTGGAGATAAATCCATGAGTTGGTACATTCTATGACACCTGGTGCCAGATAGTGGGTGGTTTTTAATGGCACAGTGATCACTAGATAATGACCTCTAATGCATTGAATAGAAAAATAAGATTTGGGGCTTTTGAATGCACTAAGTGGGGGTGAATCCAGCGAAGACGGTGATCCTTTGATTGGGTCGCCTGGACGGAGGAGTGATCCAGTTGCCTACCCTGGATGGTGTGTCATTATGCCCATCATCTTTGGTAAAGAGTCTGGGAGTCCTTTTAGACCCTCTGCTGATGATGGAGGCCCAGGCCTCCGCTGAGAGCAGAGTCGCATTTTTCCATCTGCGTCAGGCTAGGCGTCTGGCTCCCTATCTGTCCAGGGACGACCTGGCCACGGTGATCCAGGCTACGGTCATCTCAAGGTTGGACTACTGTAATGCCCTCTACATAGGCCTGCCTTTATCGGTGATCCAGAAACTTAAACTAGTGCAAAATGCTGCCGCCTGGCTTCTCGCAGGGGTCCCAGCGAGAAGCCAGTGTCATATCCGTAAGGGGAATGTGTCTACAGACACACACACACACACAAATCCTTACAATAATAGCCTCTCCTTTCCAAGTGAATGGAAATGTGTAGGAATCCCTAAACTGAAAAATGTTGAACTGGAGTGGTGCTGTTAATCTGGCCTGTCTGATGTAACCACTATCATGATTTGGAAATTCTGATGACTGGAAGGAAACTGATAAAGAGACCTCAGAAATAACTCAGAATTAGCTGACAAATAGCAAAGACACTCAAGTCTATGACTGAACAATTTCTGTTTCAGCTGATTAAACTATGATTACTCCTGACCATAATTTGATTCCATACTAAAATAGGAATCTCACTTCAACCTAGTTTTTTGTTCTATTAACCTAGAGAACCTGGGAATAATAGTCATAATTTGCTAATTGTGATTTACAAAATAGAAGAGGAACTTTCTATGCACAAGTGAAAAAGAAATAGAATCTATATTTCTTTTCAAACCAGACCAATATTCAACTGTATGAACTGCACTAATGTAAGAACCCAGAATCAATTACTTTCATTAGCTCTCTCCACTTACTTTATGAGCTTCTTCCAGTTCTTCAGCCATTGTTTTCAGTTTTTCTATGTGAATAGTAGCTAACTCTATTTTCAGATTGTCTTGGCACACCTTCAGGTCTCTAGCATATTTCTGTTTCATCCCATCTAATTCTTGATCCAGAAGCATTTGATTTCCCTTATCCTTCAGAATCAACTGTTTTTGTAAATCCATCCGTAAATTTTCAAGGGCCTGCTTCTGCTCATCTTGAAGAAGCTGAATTTCAGACAGATATGTTGATTCAAGGGTATTCAACTCTGATAAATGCTTAGCATCCAGCTCTGCAATCTGCGCTTCATGATCATTCTGTAAACTAGCTACATACGTTTCTACCCAAGTCTGTCGCTTTGCTTCTAATGCAGATTTAAGATCTTCAATTTCAGCTTGATGCTTTGTCTGCATCTTCAAGGTGAGGGACAACATTTCTTCCTTATGCTTATGGTGCAGTTCTTTACTCTGGAGTTCAAGTTCTTCAACATGTTTGACTCTCAGCTCCTGAAGAAGGACTTCATGCTCTGATTTGATTTTTTCAGTCATAGCTTTACTCTCTTCTATAGATCTAGAAAGTGAAAAAAGATAATGTTGGGGAAATTTCCCAAAAGGAAAACGATTTCAAAAATAAAGCCTGCAAGGTTACTCATACAGCAGGAGGCAGGAATAGAAGAGTAAAATGAACTTAGGCAATCAGAGGAGAAGTCAAGTCTCAAAGATGCAAAAAAAGTTTACTGAAAAGAAGTACATTTCTAGACATGAAAGTTAGGCTTAATTGACCTATCTCTAGTTTTCTCTATCTCTAGCATGGCAGGGGGTTAGAATAGATGGCCCATGTGTTATCGTCCAACTCTTATTATTCTATATGGAGAATCGTCGTGATATCTCCATCTTCCATCTGGAAGAAACAAATGGGAAGACTCAAACTACTACATACTGACCATGAGGTAGGAAAATTGTTAAAACAAGTATGTGAAACCTGAGAGTATCAATCTACATCATAATGAGATAGGAGACAATCGTGAGAATGGCGGCAGGCAAACAAAGATGGCAATGGAGGAAGGGCTTCCCTACAACTAACGTCAATCCTGTCAATCTATTTTCTTGATGAGGACTGTAAACCTGTGCAGGATAGGGTTGATTTCCAATAGCAAACATTATCAAAACATCAGAACTCAAACGTTAGGTGCCACTGATCAATGTCATGTTTCATAAGAGTGGTACCATCCATTTCTAAAACATTTTCAACACGATGCTGAAAATATTAGTTACATGTTATGTGCTTATTATGGGAATGTCAAGCCTGAAAAGTTTGTGGTTGCCTTGGCTGTAGAAGCCCTGCTTGATCGTGCCTTTCAGAGAGATTCCAGATGGTGGTTCTTGGGGATAGCTGCTCCTCCAAAAAGGAGCTGTTATGTGGTGTCCCACAAGGTGCCATTCATTCTATTCCCAATGCTCTTTAATATTTACATGAAACCACTGGGAGAGATCATCCATAGGCATGGGGCAGGGTGTTATCAGTATGCTGATGACATCCAAGTATATTTCTCCATGCCTTCAAAAACAGCTTCAACTAAGAATAGTGTGTCTCCGCTGAATGAATGCCTAGAGGAGGTAATGGGCTGGATAAGGAAAAACAAACTGACACTGAATCAAAACAAAACAGAGGTGCTTGCCATCAAGGGTCCTAATCTGGGGATGAAGATGTGTCAACCAATTCTGGATGGGGTTACACTCCCCCGAAAGATTGTGTTTGCAGCTTGGGAGTGTGCCTCGATCTGTCTCTTCAAAGTATTGTCAAAGGCTTTCATGGCCGGAATCACTGGGTTGTTGTAGGTTTTTTCGGGCTATATGGCCATGGTCTAGAGGCATTCTCTCCTGACGTTTCGCCTGCATCTATGGCAAGCAACCTCACTACCTCTGAGGATGCTTGCCATAGATGCAGGCGAAACATCAGGAGAGAATGCCTCTAGACCATGGCTATTTAGCCCGAAAAAACCTACAACAACCCAGTGATTCTGGCCCGAAAAAACCTACAACAACCCACTGTCTCTCCAAATGTCAGCCCAGGAAGATGCAACATTCGGCTGATATGCCAGCTGTGCCCCTTCCTAGATTTGGAGGACCAGAAGATGGTAGTGCATGCACTGGTAACCTCAAGGTGGACTTCTGCAATACATTTTACATTGGGCTACCCTTGTATCAAGTTTGGAAACTCCAGCTGGTTCAAGATACAGCAGCCAGATTGGTTACGGGAACATCTAGTGAGCATATCACCCCTATCCTAAAGTCAACCCACTGGCTGCCAATTAGTTCCCAGGCAAAGTACAAGGTGTTGGTTTTGACCTTTAAAGCCCTACGTGGCTTATGTCCAGGTTACCTAAAGGATCACCTTATCCCATACAATCCATCCCACACAGAACCTGACTGGCAACTACCACCTTTTTATTGGATGCCCCACGAATGTGAATCAACATGCTGGAAGAACTCTTAACAGCTAAATGAACTTCTGGAATTTAAAAACTGTGCAAAGACCTATTTCTTCTGGCAGGCCTACTCAGACAGTCTTTAAACATGAATTTTAAGTGTCCTTTGATCTTTGTTTTGTGTGTTTTAGTATGTATTTTATTGAGATACGTTTTGGTGTGTAATTTTTATGCAGGTACGTTTTAGTGTGTGTATTTGTAGTGTTTTTGCTGTGCTTATGTATTTTAATTGTTTTGTAACTCGCTTGGAGTCATGAGAAGAGGTGGGTAAGAAATAATAGTAATAATAATAATCATCATCATCATCATCATTATCATAATCTCTGAAATAGCAAAATGGCCAGGGTGCTGACACAATAGTTCTTAAGTGCCTCCTCCCATGGAGAGCAGCAAAGATAGCAGCCAGTTAGGAGGTAGCTGGTAGCAATTAAACAACATGACAAACTAATGCTGGAAAACCTGGAGCAAGTCTGATTGAACAAGACCCTGAGCCCATTGGAAAGCTTTTGCCATGGTAGTGATACAATAAAGGAAACACATTTTTCTTCCACCTACTGTCAGTAACCTTTCAACAGATTGTTAAATTCCTCCTGTTATAATGGAATAACTTTACTTCATTAAATATAATTCCAAAATTTCACAGGGTTCTGAAAACACTATGATCAGTATGAAGAAAAGTCTACTTTCCCACCGACTGAGCTCTGCAAATTGAGAGCTCAGTCAACAGGAGTATTTTTAAATGGTCCCGGCAGCTTTTATATATGAAATTGCAGGCAAAAGATAAAAACAGTACATTACAAATAGTACAATAAATTCCAAACCTGTTCTCTGCATTTTTAAGTTTAAGATTGTATTCTTCTTGTAAAACTTGTTTGGCTTTTTCTAACTCTTCAGTCATGACGGCCTTTGAAGATGCTAATTCACTGTCATATTGAGACAAAGTCTTCTGTGCATTTGCCAAACTATCTGCTAGTTGCTGAACATTGTTCTGCTGCTCTTTTAGAGACTTTTCCAATTCTACAATTCTAGCAGCCTGCTTATCTTGAAGCGAAGTCATTTCAGCTTTCTCAAGTTCAAACTGCCTTTGCAAAGCTTGCTTTTCACATTGTGTCTTGTTTTCAAGATCTTTATGTAACAATGATAACATCTCCTCATTTTTTATATTCAAATCCTCCCGTTCCTGTTTCCATTCTTCAGCTTTTGCTTTATGCAAGAGCTCCAATTCCTGGATCTTTTCTTTATTTCTTCTTAGCTCAGCTGTATGATCTCCATTGAGTTTAATTTTGATCTATGAGTATGAACAAAATACATCAATTAAAACTTCAGTTAGCCTTAACTCTGTTTCAATTAAGAGTATGAAAAGCTGCTTAATTCCACACTGATAATTTTTAATATTAGATAAAAGATGTTAACATGCACAATCCTGTAAATATTTACTCAGAAGGAAATACCAAAAGGTTTGCTGTGTGTTACGCAGGACTGCTATGTTACCTGGTTGGCCAGGTTATTTTATTCATACCACCTGGTTCTTATTTGGAAGACTGATAAGCCTGGATTCCACATTTTCATTTCTAAAGCTTTTTTACATAAATACCATTCAAAGTTTGAATGTTTTAAACTCAAAGTTTTGTTGCTATATTAATCTATTGCTCAAAAAACAAGTGCCTAGTGACACCTTAAAGACTACTGAATTTCATTTACAATAAATTTTTGTACATCACTACCTACAATAGAATATGCATTGTGTGCTGATTTGGAAGTTTTTGACACACATGGGTCAAGTTTTTGACTCACATGGGTGAGTACACAATTAGTGGAAGTGTGGAAGTGTTATAATGTGCAAACATTTATCATCACCTTAGCTTGCCATTAACCAGCAATGAATGGCAGCACGGATATCCCAATGTAAATGGGGTGATTAGCACACGTGATGAAAAAATCAAAAAGAAAAAAGTGAACTAGACTATTCTCTAGTTACCATAGCACATCTCATTTCTATTGAAGGGGAATCAAACCTCCAGTTTTCTTCCTGCAATTACCATTGTTTATTACTTTCCTTTGCATTTTTTCCTGGGGTGGCAGCCACGTTTGGGTGTTTCCTCTGGAATTTTAAGCAATCTATAATTTTTTTGTCATCATTAAAGAACCGATGGGACAAAACTACTGTTATTGATAATAACGGCCCCTGCCCAAATTACCTGTCCGAACGCATCTCCCCCTATGAACCATCACGGTGATTAAGATCCTCCGGGGAGGCCCTGCTTTCCATCCCGCCATTGTCACAGGCACAATTGGTGGGGACGAGAGGCAGGGCCTCCTCGGTAATTGCTCCCTGGCTATGGAACTCCCTTCCTGCAGATGGCTAGGACGGTTTTAAATGGTATATTTTAATGTTTTGATAAATGTTTTTTAATGTTTATGTATTGTATGTGAATCTGTGTCTCGGCATTGAATGTTTGCCGTGTATATGCTGTGCTCCACCCTGAGTCCCCTTCGAGGTGAGAAGGGCGGAATATAAATGCTTTAAATAAATAAATAAATAAATAAATAATAACGTGATTGGAAATCTCAGCAATTGACAAATAATAACAAAACCAACCATTATTGTTGTTCAGTACTGGGAATGAAGTAGGAAAAAGGAACACCATATTACAAGATCTGAACAGGATCAGCATTTTTTCCAGCATCCTAACCAGCTCTATTGGTGGCACCCCCTTTATCACACATTAGTTTGGCAACTTTGGTGCATACAGAAGGAAATGTTCCAATTCCTATTGCTGTAGGCTCAGAGCCTCTGTAGGCTGTACTGAAGCCTTGGGAGGACCGCATCCCACCCTGGGGACGCATATTGTGCAGTCTTGTTTTATACTAGTCCTCTTATATGACAGGAGCTGAAAAAGGCAACAATCGATATATTGAATTTGTCACAATTACAAATCAAATTAGAATATGCCACTAGGATCATTATATGCAAATTAGGCCTTCTGATTTGAAGAACTGAGACAAGGCAACTCCTGTCATCATGTTATAGCCATAGGAGAAGAGCTAGAAACAAGCCAAAATCACAGGAAGTCAAGTCACAAGGCCATTTTTATTATACATGTAAAAATGCAAATTAATATAATTTGGCTTACTATTTATCTTTACTTCATAACTCAGGGCTGTAAATATTATTTCTGCTGAAAATATAATTCTAATATTAAATAGGTATTTTAGAAATATGAAAACTACCTGTTCAAACTCTTCCTTCAAATGCATTTCTTGCAATACATTCCTTTCCTTTAATTCAATGTTTTCTTTCCTCAGCTTCTCTATTTCCTCTTGCTGAATAGAAACAGACCGCATCTGGGTTTGAAGATCGCTAAGTTTAGCTTTATATTCATTTTCCAACTGGAAGAGACGTTCAGCTACTTCTGCTTCAACTTGCCGTGCAGCGTCCTGAGCACACTGCAGACGAAGTTTAGCAATTTCTGAAAACAATGAAACAGTTTGCCACACTTAACTTTCAAACTCCTCAAGAATAAAAAAATTAAACTTAGGTGAAAAAGGACATGACAATGCTAAGTAGTGTGGAAGTTCATCCTTGGATGGTAGGTGGAGCAATCCGTTCATTCATGAGCTATTTCCTGAATGTCAGCCAGCAATTAAGAACTTGAAAATCCAGAGGTTTTTTTTATGTACGCATTAACTACACTCCCTTCACTGACAGTTTTGTTGTAATGCCTTTCTAATTGTACAACCTTCTCTTTCATTCCTAAGCTTGCTTTTTTTTTTCTAATTCTGCTTTGCAGCCACATATGAAAAGGGGTGGATTGTTCCTCTTGTCATCAAAGAATCAACCATCACACTAAATAACAGCCTCTAATTTTCTGGATAGCACAGAGGAGCAATCAATTCAACTTTTAGAATGGGTAAGGCTCCCACAAATCTACCTTATTGACTCTTCCATAACCTTGCCAAAGGAAGGAAAATGTTTTAGGTAATACAGAGTTTATTTAGTTTGATAACTTTTAATTATTATAACTGGAACCCAGAAGTGAAAAAATAATGGTTAATAAAACCCATACAGGAACTTTATATCACAATGCATAATGTTTACATGCATAAACAAAAAATGATGTTTGTTCTACCAATTTTTAGAATGGGTAAGGTGCCCACAAATCTACTTTATTGACTATGTACCATAATCTCGCCAAAGGCTGACTGTGCAGACTTGTACTTATCAATTTTTTTCTTGTCTCACAAATGTTGACAATCCCTTCCACCCTGCTGCAATGCACATATTTAAATGTGCTCTTGTGATCATTTTTAACAGACAAGCATCCCGAGCTCTGAGGATTACCTGGGAAGGAATCCCACTGGAGCATTGCAGCACACCCAAATACCTGGGAGTCACTCTGGACTGTGCTCTGACCTACAAGAGGCACTGCCTGAACATCAAGCAAAAAGTGGGTGCTAGAAACAATATCATATGAAAGCTGACTGGCACAACCTGGGGATCACAACCAGACACAGTGAAGACATCTGCCCTTGCGCTATGCTACTCTGCTGCTGAGTATGCATGCCCAGTGTGGAACACATCTCACCACACTAAAACAGTGATTGTGGCTCTTAATGAGACATGCCGCATTATCACGGGGTGTCTGCGCCCTACACCACTGGAGAAATTACACTGCTTAGCAGGTATTGCACCACCTGACATCTGCTGGGAAGTAGCAGCCAACAGTGAAAGGACCAAGGCAGAGACATCCCCAGCTCATCCCCTGTTTCGGTATCAGCCAGCATGTCAACGACTTAAATCAAGAAATAGTTTTCTTACGTCTACAGAGACACTCGCTGGAACACCTCAGCAAGTGAGAGTCCAAAAGTGGCAGGCTCAAACCCAGCACCTCGATCTGTGGGTGATACCAGATGAGAGACTCCCCCCTGGGCACACAGAAGACTGGGCGACTTGGAAGGTGCTGAACAGGCTGTACTCTGGCACCACGAGATGCAGAGCCAATCTTAAGAAATGGGGCTACAAAGTTGAATCCACGACATGTGAGTGTGGAGAAGAGCAAACCACAGACCACCTGCTGCAATGCAACCTGAGCCCTGCTGCATGCACAATGGAGGACCTTCTTGCGGCAACACCAGAGGCACTCCAAGTGGCCAGATACTGGTCAAAGGACATTTAATCAACTACCAAGTTGGCAAAATTTGTGGCTTTTTTATCTGTTTGTTTGTTTTGTTCTGTTAGAAATGTAATACAATGGTATGGTTGCTGATGACACGATAAATAAATAACACTAAATGTAGGTGTCATGGAAACGTATGCAATCAGCAGTGCTAATAACTTAGTGTCTCTTTTTAAAAAATCTCTTAATATGTGAATAGCTTGACAACATTTCCCTTCTGAGTTTGTTTTTGAACCTAAGCTGCCACTTGTCTCTTTAATGTGTTTGGCCGGAAACCTTTCACAATTCCACTTTGAAGAAAACCGTTCTAGAAAACAATGTCCATAAAATGGTAAATCAGGCTCATACACCCTCTTGGGGTGCAACATGCCACTGAAATATAATATTGCTCTTTGGTGTCCAAATGTGAAATCCTACTTGATTCAATTGCTCTGCACTCAATTTCAAAGGGAAGGAAAAATAAAAAATGTATGTGATTTCTGAAGAGTAACCACTCAACCGCCATTTTACACTGATTGACAAGCTTTTTCCATGCAGATGTAATTTTGGCAGTTCATAGGTCATAACACCTTACCTCGGAGGTGTTCTTCTGAAATTTTGGCACGGAGCTGTTCAAGACCTAAACAGTGTTTTCTTTTCAACTGCTCGATTTCAGAAATGTATCTATCCGACAGATCCATCTTCACTTTCATCAAGTTCTCTTGATGCTCAAGTGAGAGAGAAGACCTTAACAATTCAAGCTCCTTTCTGTGTTTTTTATCCAAATGAAGCTGTAAACTATGGAGTTCTTCCTAAAGTGAAGATAAAAATAGATATAATCAGTAGACTTCATTAAATTTGAGTATTCTCATGTGTAATACTAAAATGTTTATATAGTTGTGCGTAGCTCTCACCTGGCAATCAGCAATGCAAAACTAATGGACATACCTCTTTATGGCTCCTTGGTGAGGCATGTAAAAGTGCTCCTACATGCTTAGAAACACATATGTTCTTAAACAGATTTGAAACTGGGGGAGAGGATGTTGGGATTCCCACACATATTTGTGCTTTTCCTGCATGACAGGGAGTGGGATTTTTTTATAATGCGATGTCCATGACATCCCATTATAAAAAAATAGAAAATACAGAGTTTAAGAAAGGCATAACTCAGTGTTTCTCAACCCTGCTAATGCCGCGACTCCTTAATACAGTTCCTGATGTTGTGGTGACCCCCAACCATAAAATTATTTTTATTGCTACTTCATAACTATAATTTTGCTACTGTTACGAATCGTAATGTAAATATCTGATATGCAGGATGTATTTTCCCCTGACCAACAGAAAATACTGGAAGAGTTTGGTGGGCATTGACCTTGAGTTTGGGAGTTGTAGTTCACCTACATCCAGACAGCACTGTGGGCTCAAACAATGATGGATCTGGACCAAACTTGGCATGAATTCTCAATCCGCCCAAATGTGAACACTGGTAGAGTTTGGGGAAAATAGACCTTGACATTTGGGAGTTCTAGTTGCTGGGATTTATAGTTCACCCACAATCAAAGAATAGTCTGTGTCCCACCAACGATAGAATTGGGCCAAACTTCACACACATGATCCCCAATAACAACAGACAATACGGTGTTTTCTGATGGTCTTTGGCGACCCCTCTGACACCCCCTCATGACCCCCCTCCCGGGGTCCCAACCCCCAGGTTGAGAAATGCTGGCATAAATGAATAAAAGGAAAATATTTTTAAAAAGGAACATAGAGATGAAAACAAAATGAAAGGGTACGAAAGAGAATAAATGAAGAAGCAAAGAAACAGACTTCTGATAATGGCTTGTTCTGGGTAAAGAGAAGACCAAATACCTGCATGGAGGTGCTAGGGTTTGATGAAAAAGATTGAATGTAGGTATCAAGATCCCTTGCCTAGGCAGCAGAAGAGGCTACCTAATTCCTGGATGGCTCCTTCTCCAATGAGAAAGAAATATTTTTATACCTAAATCACCAATAATAACCTATAGGCAACTATTGGTCATGTCACCAAGATCAGAAGTTTTTGGGTTTTTTTACACAATTTCTACCCTTTAAAGAAGCCGTTCTCAAACAGTGCTCCGCAAAGCCCTAGGGCTCTGCAAAGCAGTCAGGGCCTCAGCCCCCCCCCCCCCCCCCAAGCCTGCAGCGGTGGGAAAGGAAGCACCATTTGGCTGGTTGATCCCCCACCGCCGAACTGCCAAGAGAAGGTTTGACTGGATGGTCTCAGGGGTCTTCCACTGAAATACTATTAAGTTGATATTGGTTAAAATTGTTCTTCATTTTTAATATTGAATGGTTCATTCTTTCTTTCTTTTTTGCATTACAAACAAGATATGTGTAGTGTGTATAGGAATTTGTTGATTTTTTTCAGTTAGTTCACACATTCTCCATCCATCTGCCACTGGCCTAGTCTGTTTGTCAAACTTTAAAATGCAATGTGGCCCTTGTATCAAAAATTTACCCATGCCTGAAATACACATACACACACACATATTATATAATATATATAAAACATATAATATAAACATTTCTTGGGGCTCCACAAGAAACTTTTCCTTTAAAAGGGGCTGAAAAATCTTGAGAACCCCTGATCTAAAGATATTATTTTAGCCCACACAGACTTTTTTGCAAAATTAGAAAGTGACTATAACAGGAAGTACAATTACTTCCCAACTTGAAAAAAGAGACCCACCAGCTTAAAAAGTTGAGACAACCCAAAATGTCTAAAAATGACCAGTGTGTGGCACGGCTGAATATTTAGAAGCAACAAGAAAAAAAAATAATTTACTTCCAAGATGGTGGGGGTGACAATGGGGGTTGAAGCCTCCAAGAATCCCATTAGGAGTGGGGTGGGGTGGGAGATGCCCTCAGGTCCTCAGCAGTTGTTGACAACTACTCTAAAATACTGCTATCGTTTTGGCTTCATAATCAAATAGGCCAAGGCCATTCTAACTTTGCCATAAGTTGGCACTGTAGTTTAATAGGGAAAGAAAACCATATTACTAGCTCAAAGAACATTTGTGCATGTGTGTCAGTTATCATTTTGGCTCCTTCATTCTCCCATACACCAATGTGCTCTTAGATTTTAGCACTCTGATCTTCCTGCTGGTTTGATTATGTACTGACAATTCATTGTTATTCAATTGCCATTGTATATTTTTAATTTTCTGCATGACAGCCACAGAACTCTGGTAATGGAGAAGTCTAAAGTTCAATACCTTGTGGTGTTCCAGTTGCTGTGTTAGCTGATCAAATATATCCCGCCTCTCTTTTTCAGTCATTTCTTCTAAAAGTGTGGTGGATGGGCTGTATGGGAAGATGGAAGTTTCAAAATACAATTTTAAAGACAAAAAATGCAAAGGAAAAAACACGACTGACAGTGTTATGAACATTAAACATGGGGATAAATCTAAAGCCAAAACTCCCAACTCCAATGGCTTCAAACTACAAGAAAGGAGATTCCATCTGAACATGAGGAAAAACTTCCTGACTGTGAGCGCCGTTCAGCAGTGGAACTCTCTGCCCTGGAGTGTGGTGGAGGCTCCTTCTTTGCAAGCTTTTAAACAGAGGCTGGATGGCCATCTGTCAGGGGTGCTTTGAATGCAATATTCCTGCTTCTTGGCAGGGGGTTGGACTGGATGGCCCATGAGGTCTCTTCCAACTCTATGATTCTATGAACTCAACAAAGCTAAGAGCCAGACCATATGTGAGATGTGATAATATCTACATACAGAAAAGGGAAATCGATCTCTGAGAAAACCAGTATTTTTGGCTTGCCTCTAATCTGGAAAAATAAAATGACTACAACTCCCAAACTCAAGGTCCAAGCCCACCAAACCCTCCAGTATTTTTTGGTCATGGGAGAACTGTGTGCCAAGATTGGTTCAATTCTATCGGTGGAGTTCAGAACGCTCTTTGATTGTAGGTGAACTATAAATCCCAGCAACTACAACTCCCAAATGACAAAATCAATTTTTTTGAAGGACATACATTGGATTGTTAGGTGTCTTTTGTCCAAATTTGGTGTCGATTCGTCCAGTGGTTTTTGAGTTCTGTTAATCCCACAAACTAACATTACATTTTTATTTATAAAGATTTAGCTTGGTTCTCCAAAATAGTATCATGACTTTACAAACTGACTCCAAACTAACCAAATATTAGTTATCATGGTCAATACAAAGCCAGTTCACCTCACTGACATAGGTATTGTTACAAACAAGGCAAAGCCTTGAATAGTTGCAAGAGTCAAGATCACAAGGGAAGAACTAGAAGTGAGTACTCCATTCACAACTACCTTTCCTGATCACTAGGCCTAATGAATATTATAAATGTAGAAATATTTAACTGGCTATTTAACATGGGGATCAACAATGAAAATGCAATGGTATAGATTAATATTAAGTGAAAGCGTCACCCATACTCCACATGTGGTTCTTGGCTGTTTTCTATCTCCAACAGGGAGTAATCCTTCGCTTCCTCCATCCTCTGATGCAGCATTGTTAATTCTTCTCTGTAATTTTCTTCCACAGACTTTAATTTCTGTTCAAAATAAACTCTTAATTGTTCCAGTTCGATTTCATGTTCACTTCTTTTTTTATCCCACTTAAGCTGAAAATCCTTTTTCAGGCACTCTATTTCTTCCATTTGTGATGTACGAGCAAGCAGTTGCTCTTTCAATTCTGGCAGGAGAGAGGGTGAATATAAATCTTAAATTTACATATGTTACTGCAGTTTAAATAAGATTATTTGGACATATAGCTTTTTCTGGATTGAATCAAGGAAGCCAACAACCTGAGACTAGAATTTGCAGAAGTATCTGATGGCTAAACTTACCACTTAATTCTTGTCGACTCGCCCGTGCACTATCCAGTTGGGACCAAAGCTGTTTAATTTCTTGCTCTGATTCTGCCTGTAGTTTCTGTACCTATGGAAGACAAGGTAAATTACAGTGAGCTCTCCACAATAAAAGGGGTTAGTGGAAAAACTGAGGTAAGAACTGCTATATTTTTAGTCTCAGAGAACATCTCTTCAGAAATCTCTAAATCCTCAAAAATGATATTGGCGGGTTTAGAAACTCCTAGAAAAGTGTTCTCTCGAGAATCTCTGGCAGAAGTTGGCCATGGATAATCAAGGACAATCATCTGTGTCTGAGTATAACTGTCTTCCATAATTGTCTTGGTGGGGGATTCATAAGTGACTGGAAAAACCTATTCTGGATCCACATGGTCTTTCGGAATGAGGACATACATTTCTAGACGGAAGGTGATCCTGACAAGGGTTTGCTTGATGTGCCTTCCTCTTGGCATGTTTCTCCCTCTCTTTGTACCTCTCCAAAATCCATAGCATTGTTGGTAACAGCTGACCACCAGTTACAATACCGAGTGGCAGAGCTTCCCAGTTCCATAAAAATGGAAACATTACAAGAATCTAAGAATTTATTTATTTATTTAACGGCATTTGTAGCCCGCCTTTCTCAGCCTTCTGGCGACTCAAGGCGGCTCAGAAATAGCAATCTTAGTGCCATACATTCATAAAAATAGTTAAAAACATTCAACTCAACATTTAAAAAGCATATATAAACCATTTGAAAACATATAATTAACAGTGTTGTCCAGTTGAAATCATTATCCAGCAGCATCGTTCAGTCATTCCATGTTCATTCTTCCTATTTCATAATTATCTATTCCGCTAAACTTCCAAACACTTGTTCAAAAAGCCAAGTTTTTACTCTTTTTTGGAAGGTCAGAAGGGAGAGGGGCAATCTAATATCCCCAGGGAGGGAGTTTCACAGCCGAGGAGCCACCACTGAGAAGGCCCTGTCTCTCGTCCCCGCCAGGTGCGCTTGTGAGGAAGGCGGGATTGAGAGCAGGGCCTCCACAGGCAATCTTAAATTCCTAGGTGGTTCATAAGGAGAGATAACGTTTGGACAGGTAAGCTGGGCCGAAATCATTTAGGGCTTTATAGGCTAAAGTGAGCACTTTGAATTGTGCCTGGTAGCAAACTGGCAGCCAATTTCTAAGTCCTTTAGGGCTACTCTATGGTCAATTTCTCCAGGAAGTTGACTACAGAGTTGCATTAGAGGGCCTAGACCTTTCCTACAGAGACCATAGTAATCCAACCTGCAAATAACTAACCTGCTAAAGCTAAACCTGCAAATGTGGAGGGCCAACTATAATTGAGTTTGCAAATTATAAGTTATCTCTTGTTATAATTACTGTTACATATGTATTGTTCCTTTCTCAATTAAAATCTCATTTAAAAGGTCATAAAATATTTTCTGGCCATTTTATTTTATTATTATTATTAATAATAAACCTTTTCTTTTCAACCCTCTCTTTGTCTCTTTTCTACATCATTACTTCTTATATACTGCCGTATATGTTTTCAGCCAAAACCTTGCAGTAGGTTTTAACCAAACGTGAAAAATCACACCTTTAGCAAACTACTTTCAGTCTAAAAAAGTCAATTACTCAGTATCTGTCAACATGAACAAATTCATATTTACCTCCAGTTGCAATTCTCTTTCTTGCTTCTTATTCTGCTCTGCCATCTCTTTCACCTCTTGCTCATGTTCAATCTGCAGTTTTTTCATGGCCAGGTGGTACTGGTTTTCCAACTTTTTATGCTCCACTAAAAATAAGGAGATTGTTATGAAGAATATTTTCTTACAAACCATCAAAATACACACAAACATACAGTCCCTCCTGCGAGAAAACCATTTCCAATTCAGAATTATGTCTGAAGTGATACATAAGAAAAGTAACACATTTCAAATTTTTGAAAAGTGTTGCTGTCAGATGTGAATTGGAAAGTACTACATGTGATGATGATGATGGTGGTGGTGATGTTGGAATTGAGCAGAATAAAGTTAGATTGTCTTGTACAAATCAGTTTTGAGCACCTACAATTTCTGTAGACCTAAAACTGTGTTTAATTCACGAAAAAAACTGGATGTTTTGGATACCATCATATCTCTTTAGAAAGAAACTATCTGCTTCCCATTATAATATAGAAAATGGTTAGCATACTATCATATGTAGGCATAAGACTACCTGGCATGTATTGATTTCCCACCCACTTTTGCTGGAGATGGTAGTCTCTTCTACCTGCAGTGATGATCAAAACTTTCCCCTCCTGTCCCAATTTTTAGCTGTGTAATGTGGCATTGTAATGCCATGGATTGTAAGCCACCCTGAGTCCCCCACTGGGGTGAGAAGGGTGGGGTATAAGTGTAGTTTAATAATAATAATAATAATAATAATAATAATAATGAAACCCAATTGTAGTGAATGGCTCCACCTGCCATCCCAAAAGAAAACTTCAAGATAAGTCCAATTAATAAATAATAAACGTAACATATGAATTTAAACAATTAACATATCAATTTAAACATACAATAATAAACATGAGATAATAATTCGAACATGAATACAATAACAAGCTTAGAAGTAATTCAAATAGAAATACAATAAAAAAGCTTAAAAGTAAACAGAGTAAAATAATGCAATAATAATAATAATAATAAATATATTAAAATAACGCACGTGATAAAAAGATACTAAGAACAAAGTAAGGTAATAAATAACCTTGACTCGAGTATAAGCCGAGGGGAACCTTTTCAGCCTAAAAAAGGGGTTGAAAAACTAGGCTTATACTCGAGTATATACAGTACCTACTTTCACCCTGTTCTTTTTGAAGAGAAAGTGTCTCCAAGTCTCCTCTTAGTTTTTCCATTTCCATTTCCAGTGTTCTTTTCATCTCACTTAATTCCATCTCATGTTTGGCCAATAACGCTTCAGACATGTCTTTTAAAGCGATGTCTGCCTTCAATGCACATTCTTTTTTAAGATTCTAAAAAGAAATCAAGATAGTGTGATGCAACTTTAATTTAATTCGTGTCTATTCATTATCTTTGAAGACAGTGGTTTCTTCCAATCAGATTGTTTTTCACAAAATCTTGCTTTTCAAGAAACGAACACCTGTACACTTATCCATTTATCTATTAGGCAACTGCAGAATCTTTCCAAATGGTGGGAAACAGGGGTAGCAGTAGAATAAATACACACACAGTTAGACCAACCTTTCAAAAATCATATGACTGAATAAAACAAAAAAATTAAGCTTGGTGCTAACATCCTGCATGGTTGGATATGACCCAGAGATCTCCCAGAATCACCCAGAGCTGGGGTGATTCAGGGAGTAAGTGAAGTGGGAGCTGACACTTTATTTTCTTCCTCACTTTTACAGCACTTTGAATAATACTAGATGCTGGCAGATTAATTATTCCCCTGCTTCTGATCTGGCAATTCTGCTAGGGACATGCAATAAAGTAGCTGTGGGTGAGAGAGAGACAGATGTAGTACTTTTGGAACCAGCAAGGAAAAACAGCTTTCCTCACTTGCCATTAGCTTTTGGCATTGGAATGAGCAAAGGGAAGCACCTTGCTGTTCACCTCATTCCTTTTAAAAACAGGGAAGGTAAGAAGGGAAGAAAGAGGCAGGGAAAGTGAGCATGGCCCTAGGGCACCAAGGTAGAGGCAGCAGCCAGCAAAACAGGGAATGCAGATTTCAGAACATCTTCCTTGTTAGGTTCTAACATGTCTGATACTTGCTTTGGCAGGTGAAAATCTTGTTGATCACTGTTAAGAGACAACAGAGAGATGCAAAAAATAGGAGAAAGCTGAGCAGGGAACTCAAGGTTTACTCAAATGCTTTTATTGCTTTGGTAAAGGGAAAGCAAAGAAGCCAACAAAGGGTTGATAAAGATTCAGTCTGCAGAGCCTGGATGGCCATCTGTTGGGGGTGCTTTGAACACGATTGTCCTGCTTCTTGGCAGGGTGGCCCATGAGATCTCTTGCAACTCTATGATTCTATGAGAGAGGGGCTATTGATCAGTAAAATAACAAATAATTAAGAGATATGAGATATCACAAGAATGAGAAATGCAGGAGCCAAGGACTACAGTTCCAAGGCAAAAATATTGTTATTTTTAAATTGTTTTTAAATTGTGCTAGATTTTAGCCTGTACTTGTAAGCCGCTCCGAGCCCCAGGGGAGTGGCGGCATATAAGTTTGAATTATAAATAAATAAATAAATAAAAACAAATGCAAACATTACAACAATACCCACAGTTTTATCTATTCACATACTAGGATCTGACAAAATATGTCATCTCCATGGATTTTTCTAGGTCTTCTAAGAGATTCTATGTTATGCTTTCACCAGAAGTTACAACAGAGTTGTACTGGAGGACCTAGCATATTCATAGAATCATAGAGTTGGAAGAGACCTCATGGGCCATCCAGTCCAACCCCCTGCCAAGAAGCAGGAAAATCTCATTCAAAGCACCCCAGACAGATGGTCATCCAGCCTCTGTTTAAAAGCCTCCAAAGAAGGAGCCTCCACCACACTCTGGGGCAGAGAGTTCCACTGCTGAACAGCTCTCCCAGTTAGGAAGTTCTCCCTAATGGTCAGGTAGAAATTCCTTTCTTGTAGTTTGAAGCCATTGTTCTGCACCCTAGTCTCCATGGCAGCAGCAAATAAGCCTGCTCCCTCCTCCCTGTGACTTCTCCACATGAATTTATACATGGCCCTCATCATGTCTTCTCTCAGTCTTCTCTTCTTCAGGCTAAACATGCCCAGCTCTTTAAGCCACTCCTGATAAGGCTTGTTCTTCAGACCCTTGATCATTTTAGTCACACATCCCAGCTTGTCAAAGTCTCCCTAAAATTATAGTGCCCAGGATTGGACACAGTATGATTCCAGGTGGTCTGACCAAAGCGCAATAGAGGGGTAACATGACTTCCCTGGATCTAGACACAATCCTCCTATATATGCAGGCGAAAATCTCATAGAATCATAGAGTTGGAAGAGACCTCATGGGCCATCCAGTCCAACCCCCTGCCAAGAAGCAGGAATATTGAATTCAAAGCACTCCTGACATATGGCCATCCAGTCTCTGTTTAAAGCTTCCAAAGAAGGCGTCTCCACCACACTCTGGGGCAGAGAGTTCCACTGCTGAACGGCTCTCACAGTCAGGAAGTTCTTCCTCATGTTCAGATGGAATCTCCTCTCTTGTAGTTTGAAGCCATTGTTCCACGTTCTAGTCTCCAGGGAAGCAGAAAACAAGCTTGCTCCCTCCTCCCTGTGACTTCCTCTCACATATTTATACATGGCTATTGTATCTCCTCTCAGCCTTCTCTTCTTAAGGCTAAACATGCCCAGCTCATTGGCTTTTTTTTTTTTTGCCGCCACATCACATTGTTGGCTCATGTTTAACTTATTGTCCACAAGGAATCCAAGATCTTTTTCACACGTACTGCTCTCAAGCCAGGCGTCCCCCATTCTGTATCTTTGCATTTTATTTTTTCCGCCTAAGTGGAGAATCTTGCATTTGTCAAATTGCAGTCCTTTGGACATGGGAGAAATCTAGAGCTAGTCCTGGGTAAGCAAATACAGAAGGATTTGGCAATGCATTTGTATTAATACCTTTGGACTTGGAGTATTCAAACAAGCATATAAAGCAGTGAGTTTATATAAAACATGGCTTCATAGTTCTGTCACAGCCCACCATCATGGGTCTAAACAAGTAAATTATGGAGTGATCCCAAGAAATCTCCCAATACAACTGACTGACTAAACGAAGTTATCTGATTTGCTCTCTTCTTCTAAATCATGCAGTGAGTAGCCTTTAAAACAGAGCACATACTGCCTTATTTGACATCTCAGAATGTTTACATATACCATGTTTTTACTGACATATTCTTACCCTACAGTGAGAAAGGCTAGACAAAGTAAATGTCATGACAATCTAACAATCAAGTATATATTTTTGATTAGTTTTCTTTATGATCTACCAATTTAAAAAGGTTAAACATAATACCTCCAACATCTGGACATATTTTTCCTCCATTTTCAAAGTTATTTCCTTCCTCTCATTATCTGGAAAGTTAAACAGATTACATAAGACTACAAGTAGAAAATCAGTTTCACATACATGAAAGCAAACTTTCTACTTTCAAATACCACATAATTTTCATAAATATTCTGATTTCTCCAAAGATCTGTATGTTTATTATTTCTTGTTTGTAAAGCTATTTTAATAAGAACTTCTACTAGACTAAGATATATCCACATTTCTTACCGAAAGTATTACAAACAAATATTGTTTTGTTAATATAAAATCATATTACACATTTCTAAAATATGGTTTTATATTAACAAAACAAAATATTTGACTGTCATGGCAACATCTTATTCAGATGCTCTGAAAAAAATAAGTCATATCATAAAATAATGTAAATTATTGTTGTTGTTTAATTAATAATAAAATATTACGTAATCTGAATATATTGTATAATGCATCACTATACAATAATTTTCAATATGTGGTCGGCTAGGACTGAATTGGCATCCATTTTGTCTCAAGCTAGTAATCTATATAAATAAAAATGTAATGTTCGTTTGTGGGATTAACATAACTCAAAAACCACTGGGCGAATTGACGCCAAATTTGGACACAAGACACCTATCAGGCCAACGAGTGACCGTCACTCACAAAAAATCATGGAAAAACACAGCAGAAGGCACTTAAAAAGCCAATAAATAAATAAATAAATAAATAATACATTACAACGCAAAACTACATATATACACACATACACAAATATATACACACACATATATACACACACAAAACACATATACACAGACTGGGCCACAGCAACGCATGGCAGGGGGCGGCTAGTGTAAAATATCTATCAAGTATTGTTGAAGACTTTCATGGCCGGAATCACTGGGTTGTTGTAGGTTTTTTCGGGCTGTATGGCCATGGTCTAGAGGCATTCTCTCATGTATGACCATGGCCATACAGCCTGAAAAAACCTACAACAACCCATCTATAAAGTAGTTAACCTGTTATAACATGTTATACCAATTTTAATATTTAGCAGAGATTAATGAATTGTTACCCAAGTCGTGCTGATGCTTTAAAGCCATCTCTTCTTTCTCCTTGCAATTCTGTTCCTTTATACGCTCCACTTCAAAATGGTATTGACCTTGCAGAACCGCTAGCTCTTGAGCATGCCTATCTTTGAGCATCTCACGCAGTTCCATTAGGGCAGTTTCCTTCTCTTTTCTCAGATTACTCTGCATCAGCTCCAGCTGTGATGTGTGTATATTATTTGCACTTAGTCTTAAAGATTCCAGTTTAAGATTATGTAGGATCTACAGCGAAGAAAAACAGCACCATAATGAGAACCCCTGTCATTTTGTGTAACTATTAACAATTTCTTAATGTGCAATCATGTGGTCCAATTATGCCATCTGGGACGGCTTAGAATATTATCAGCTTAGTCCCTTGATACTGGACCTAAACCATTGCAGGCAGAAAATATTGTAAGACCATCAGAAGAAATGAGGCTCTGATGGCAAGACTTGACCCACATTCTTATGTTGTGCCTGCCCCTGAGTATTGCCATCCAGCTTTGCTGGCTGCTCAGCCCTGGGCTTACCCACAAGGAGACCTGCAGCCACACCCTCATTCCAGCCAACTGACCCAGCAGGGAGAGAACATGGCCCCCACAACCTCGCCGTGCTGCTACTTTAATAGCCACATCATTGCCTGGCTGCGCGGTGTGCCTCCATAGCCACGCTGCCCATCATTTGGACATTGGAAAACCTGTGCGGGCGCTCGTTTTCAGGGTTCCCCTGCCTCTCCTGATGCTTTTGACCACTTTTTCCACCAGCCCACTTTGGTTGGGATTCAATGCTTACTTTTACGCTTTTTTGTATTTATATTTGAATTATTGTATGTTTACTTTTAAGCTTTTTTTATTGTATTTCTATTTGAATTACTTCTAAGCTTGTTATTGTATTTATATTTGAATTATTATCTCATGTTTATTATTGTATGTTTAAATTGATATGTTAATTGTTTAAATTCATATGTTATGTTTATTACTATATGTGTAATGTGGCATTGTATGCCATGGATTGTAAGCCACCCTGAGTCCCCCACTGGGGTGAGAAGGGTGGGGTATAAATGTAGTATAATAATAATAATAATAATAATAATAATAATAATAATAAGGCTGTAATATCAAATGGCAAAATATGTTCTATAGCTTACAGTTCTTTCAACTGGAATTACCGAAATGTTAAAAACTCTATCCTCTATTCTTGATGTGCACTTCTTTGTTAACTTGTGTCCTAGGCTGTTTGAACATCTATTGTTTGTACCATTTTACTTGTGAAATTAAATTTTAAAAAACTCAGCGAAAAACAGTATTCTGTCCCATGTACCTCACAATCCAAATGAACCATATGGTTCCAATGAATTCTGCAGCTCATTATAAAATTGCACAACACTGTATCAACTGCTGTCTGGGTATACGCGTTTCAGATGGTGAGAGTGCACAGCAAGATAAGGGGGCTACACAAATCATGTGGGAACTAGATAACTATTATGATATGGTTTATATAAACTACTTAACACATGCCCTGTAGTGTCTTCTAGATTATTTTTGATGGGAAATGCTGTTTTTGTACAGTATGCCTCCCTGCCCCCACAACCACAGGGATACTTTCTTAAATTTACTGCGGAAGCAAGCAACTGGATTATTAACCTTATTGAAATAAGCAAGTTCCAATGGAAGCAAACATTAGACTGTGGGTTTCAACTCATTTACACCTAGACGACCAAGAAAATTTCTAGGGAAGACATATTTTGTTGGATGTGGGTAGGTAAAACCTGGGAATACCAGCCCCATGGGTACAAAGTTCTTGCAGCAACCAAGGTATCACTGCAGTTAATACTTTGCCTCTGTTTGTTGCATTTCTTCTTGATGTGTAGTTTCCATGTGTTGCTGCAACTCGTCTAACTTTTGCTGTTGCTCCTTCATTAATTCAGTCTGCATCTCTTTCATTTCATCCTCATGCTGAACTATTAGTTCACCTATTTCACGATCATGTTCTCGTTCATGAACCTATGAAGAAAGCATTAAAACTCTTTACTCGTGCATGCAAGCACCCACTTGTCCAATAGAACCTACTATAAAGAACAAAAAAAAAAAGACTCCCAAGGGAAAAACATATTTTATGTTTCTATAAGAAAATCCTATTCATTGAGACAGGAAAAGAAACAGAGGAGCTGTAACAGAATTTTTGTGGCCTGGTGAGTATGTATAAGTCTATTACCACAGTTTTGTCTCTTGTCAGATACAGGTCCTCTCCAATTCAGGATATGAGTTCACTTAGAGACAGTAATAAAGGTTTAATAAAACAGAAACAAGTTACTATATCCCATTCATTATCAGGACTGCTAAGCATCGTAAGCACCATATATTTACAGGTAGCACAATTCAAATATTAAACATGCTAATCCCCATTAGTCAAAATGCACTATACATACTTTTCAGTCTTTTTCTTTCATTACCCAGGTAATCAATAAAACTTCCTGTTCCCACTCTCTCTGGCATTCACATGAGAAGAACCTTGAATTACACTGCTCTCATAATAAGGCCTATAACTCTGCCTAAACAAGATAGGCTCATATTTCTAACCAATGAAGTTTTGGGCATACCAGCAATAATTTTCTTCAAACATTACCATAATATTGATTACGCATATGAGCATTACAGTATTTAACATCTATATATGGTCATCATACAGTATAATATAAAAATATAACTGAATAACTAATACATACTATAGTACAATATAATACAGACGGCATGGTGGACATGCACAGTAACCATATGGTCATACATAACATGGCAGGACAAAGAGAACATGGCAAAATATCATCCCGACTCTTGCTGACCTCCATAGATTCTGCTGTGGACTCAAAGCACCCTGAAAATGTAGCAGTCTACACTTTACACTTACAGATCATGGGGCATAACACAGATTAGCATTCATAGGCATTTACTATTAAGAGTTCTGGTTATCTTTTTTCTTCTAAACAATAGCAAGGAGGGAGAGTTTTACCATTTACAGGGAGAGTTTTACCATTTCTTCTTCTCCATGCAGGGATAGGAAAACATATCAATAAACATTGCTTTTCCATAATGGATCTAGCTGCCATTAACAAAATCGGTGTAAAATAATACAACACCTTTTTTATTATTCCAATCTGTTCTTTTCTAACTGCTTCTAGTTGTTGCTGTTGTTCTGTTCTCTCCTTGATTTGACTGTTTAATTCTTCAATCTAAAAAGAGATGCAATGTTTTAGGAGAAAATTGTACTTTTAAGAATATAGATATATTCATCACATGTTTTACATGTCTTAGCAAACAATAAAGCCCCTGCACAAAAATGTTTAGAATGGATTAGATCAGGGGTCCTCAAACTAAGACCCGAGGGCCAGATACGGCCCTCCAAGGTCATTTACCCGGCCCTCAGGGTCAACCTAAGTCTAAAATGACTTGAAAGCACACAACAACAATCCTATCTCATCAGCTAAAAGCAAGCCCACACGTCCCATTGAAATACTAATAATTTTATATTTGTTAACATTGTTCTTCGTTTTAATTATTGTGTTGTTTTTAAGTGTTTTTTGCACAACAAATAAGGTATGTGCAGTGTGCATAGGAATCCAATCATATTTTTTTTCAAATTATAATCTGACCCTCCAACAATTTGAGGGACTGTGAGCTGGCCCTCTGTTTAAAAAGTTTGAGGACCCCTGGATTAGATTATAGATCAATTTTGTTCCAGCATCCTGTTTTTAACATATGGTAGTCAAATGTTTCAAAGCAGGACTTCAGGAAATGAGAATTAAGACTTCATATGCTACCTCACCTATTATACTGGGGAAGCCTCCCTGGCTTTGTTTGTATTCCCATAATCAAGTAAGGTTATTATGGTAGAAGTATTGTTTAGAGTTTGTATAATATTTGAAGGGCAAAGAGAATATTTTGCAGAAAAATCGGGGTAGGGGGAGGGATTGTCTAGGAGGTGCCTCAAAAATATTCATAAAATCAAGAATTCTGAAGGTGGGAACCTCAAACCTGCCAGCAGGCGAAAGTACTTCTCCCATTACAAATGATGGTATGTTAGAGCGACTTTCAAAAACCCAGTCCAGAACGACTTAGAGCCCACCAAAAAAATTTAACACTAAATGATGATTTCTTAAGACATTTTCTTGGAAATTCATAACTTCAAAGCTCAACTCTGAAAATGCTACAGGCTTATTAGAAAACAAGAAGTATCTAGCTCAGTTATGTAATACACGTACAAAATATGCATTATGATATATCAAATACACCAATGAGAAAGTTCAGTTTTCACGTTCAGTCTGCTATCATAATCAGAATTGGCTCTTTTGCCAGAAGAAATACCTACTGTCTTCTGGTGCTGCAATTTCAGATTTGTAAGCTCAGACTGATACTGTGAATGGATGTTATTAATTTCTTCCTTGTGAAGTCTTCCCATCTCTGACTCTATTTCTTCTATTTTCTGTACTGATTTCTGCTGGGTCTCCTCTAGGCAGGTTTCAACTTTTGACTGCATATTTTTTAAATGAGCCATTTCTTCCCTCAGCTCATTTTCCTTTACAATATATTCCTTTTCTTTTAGGATTATTTCAGTGGAAAGCTTCTCTATTTCTGAATTATTATCTTGCAGTTTCACTTCAAACTCCAATCTTTCCAACTCGTGTGATTCTTGAATGATTTCAATTTTTACACTCAGTTCATCAACTGTTTGTTCAAGAATCATTATTTTACTAAGATTTTCTTCCAAAGCTTTTTCTGACGACATTAAACTCTGATCAAGTGTTCTCACTTTTTCTTCTAATGCTGATTTTTCCTTACGCAAATATGATAAGCATTGTTCTTTGTTATTTATTTCTATTATGAAGTCTTCCTGTTCTTTTAGTAATAATTCTTCCAACACGGCTTTTTTACCAAGTAGTTCAGAAAGCATCTTGTTCCTGGCCTCCTGGCTATTAATGTGAGCTTCCATTTGATCCCTTTGATTCTGCAAAATAGCCAGCTGTTGTCCAAACAGAGACTGAACTTCACTGGTGACAGAGTCAGATGCCATTTTTTGCTCCTGAACATCTTTTACCAATTGCTCTTGCATTTTCAACTGTATCATTAAAGTTTCCTTTTCTTGCTGGAGGTCCTGGACCATTGCTTCCCAGATAAGAGATATTGAATCCTTCATTGTGTTCTTGTATTCTTCAACATAAGGTTCCGGATCACTTTTCTTTCCATGCTTACTTTTAGGTTCCAACTCTTCCATTCTTTGGCTGACACACTCTTCATAAACAACAGAAGATTCTTGGTCATTTACATAAACAATTTCAGCTGTCATGTTCTCTTGGATTCCTTGATATTCTTCATCAAGTACATTTATTTGATTCATTAAATCAGTATCTCTCTTCAAGATGTCAACCTCACCAGCACCGGCATCTTTATATTCTTCTCTTTCATTCTGTGATAAACAACAGTATGCCAAAAATGTGCTGGATTTTGAATTGAGGTCTGTTTCACCGGAAGTCTCTGGTAACACATCGAAAGATATTTGCTCACCAAAGCACATTATTTTGTCACTGTCAGTACCTAAAATGTCCTTAAAGTGAGAGACATTCAATGAAGCATTTCTATGGTCCAAATGTACAGAATTGTTAAATATCGCTGTTCGTGCTATCCTCGCAAAATTGCTGTCTAACTTTTTTGTATCTTCAACAGCTCTTAATTCCGATTGTGACACATTATCTTTCAAATAATTATCAGATTTCAAGTTTATAGAATCATTTTGCAGAATGAGTTCCTTTAAATTTTTCTGGACATCATCTGACATATTTACCAATGTGCTCACTCTGAAAGTATGTGAAAACTCTACATTTGGATCAACTAATTCATCTTTACGCTGGCACAGCCCATTCAGCATCTTTTCAAGTTTTATCTTCTGTCTCTCTGACTCCTGCTGTAACAATGTCTCTTCTTCTTCTAAATCCTTCAGTTTCGTGTTATAGGCAGATATTGCTTTATCATATTTACAACTTGAAACTTTGTTTTTTTCTGCCTCAAGCAGCAATTTCTCACTTAATTCCTGAACAAAAGAGTTAAGTTTTTCAATTTCATGTAAGCATTCTTTTTCATTTTTAGATTCTTTTGCCTTTCCATCAAATTCTTCTGCATTCGTAAGTTGCAGAACAATTTCTTCTAGCAGAGGTCTATACTTTAATTCAATTTTGTAGGATTCCCTCAAGAAGTCCTCTGAACAGTTTTCAAGCTCCTTGCACCAGGGTACCTGCAGTTTATCTCTTAAATTAATAATTACAGAACGTACTTTCTCAACATCTACCTCAGGATCAGCAGTAGTTAGATCTTTTTCAAGATCAGTTTTATATTTTGTATTCACTTCTTTTAAATAAGTCTCCTCCAGTTTGGAAATCTCTTGTCTTCGACACCCTTCCAGTTCATCTTTCAAATGCTGTAGCCTATGAATATTATTTCTGTCAACCTTTTTCAATTCTTCTTGATATTCCGGCTTTTCACTTTGCATAAGATTTATTTTTGTAAATTCAATCATCTCTTCTTCCTGAAATGAAATTATTTGCAAAGAAGCAATTAGGTCCAGCACTGCAGAACATATATTTCACCTATATACGTTGAAGATGTTCATATAGCTAAGCATTCACAAAACCCTCAGTTATATGGACGAAAAGGTAGCAGAAATTCATAAGACTGCCTACCATCTGAATGCCATAGACTGCAATTCTGGCCTTGCCATTCTTTCCTTTATTAATGGAATAATGCTAATTTTGGTCTCGTTCTTTATTATTCATATTTTAAAATATAGTTTCTGAAAATGTTAAGGCTATAAGACAGAGAAAAACCAGGACTTTTTTTAAATGTTGGGGTATTGTTAAATTAGAGGAATTTTTTTTAAAATTCAGTACTATTATAATATTACTTTATAGATCTAAAGTTATGTTACTACTTTTAAAAAAATGCCAGGAGAAAATGCTTCCACCTTAGAAACCTTCAAGAAGGATCTCAAAACCTGGCTTTTCCGTTGCGCTTTGGAGAGTAACCATACAATCTTATATTGCTGCTCCTCCTCAATGTTAATTCCTATAGTACACTCCCCCCTCCGGTATGAAGGTCCTTTCTCGGCACCATCTTGCTGAACTTCTCCCGCACAAACGATCTGCTCCATTTCTATCTCACCCCAAGTTTTGAGCCTTTAGTTTTAGCTTTTAGTATTTTATCCAAGCGGTGTGCTCACTTTCACTGTAATTTGAAAGATTTTATTGTAATTTGTATTGCTTACTGTATTTTTATGTATTTTATTTGCTGTTGTTTTGTGTTTTGATTTTATTTTATTGTATTGTGTGGTTAGACTTGGTCTCATGTAAGCCGCCCCAAGTTATCATCAGGGAGATGGTGGCGGGGTATAAATAAAATTGATGATGATGATGATGATTATTATTATATTCTGGAACATGGCCATACAGCCCGAAAAACTTACAACAACCCATAAAATATACTATGTGTAAAACTTTGTCTGTTCTTCAACTTAGCATGGCCATATAAATTAAGCTGAAAATTGTTTACATAATAAATTTATAGTATTGTTCCATTATCCAGGCGAAGGCCAATAGAGAGTGACAGATAGAGAATATTCCGGGGGGGGGGGGGGGGGGGGGGGGGGGGGGGGGTTGAAGGAGGAAAGCCATTTTCCCCATTTTCGCTGGTTTTTCCACCCTTCCCATTCCCATATCATAAATAATTCTTGTTTCGACCCCAGCTACATGGTTGGGAGGAATAACCGGAAAACAGGGGGAAATGTTCCATCTTGTCTCCGACATATGTCATCAGTTAGGGGCACTTACCCAAAGTAGCAACTGATGCTCTGAGCCAGAATATCAGTTCCACTGTGTCTCCTGTGCTATACTAATAATATAAAATAATGTAATGTAAAATAATTTATTGTATATACATATATTATAATGTAATACAATAATAATACAAATATGATATTATAATTATATATTTTATATTACATGCAATATTACTAATAATATTACAATATAATACTATAGTACAATATGGTAATATATAATACTGATATTGTACTATGCTAATAATATAATATATTGTATGTATATATATCTTGTAAGCTGCTCTGAGTCCCCTTTGCTGAGAAGGGAGGCATATAAATGTCATAAATAAATAAATAAATAAATAAATGTATTGTCGAAGGCTTTCATGGCTGGAATCACTGGGTTGTTGTAGGTTTTTTCGGGCTATATGGCCATGGTCTAGAGGCATTCTCTCCTGAAGTTTCGCCTGTGTCTATGGCAAACATCCTTAATAAATAAATGGTTTAACTCTACCCATGTAAAATGGACTATACTTCTCTGTCTAGTGCCCTCTTATGGCCTTAGTCCAGATAATGGAACTGTACCAGATTTACTGATTTTTTAAAAAAATTTCTACACATTGCTGAACTGTGAAACATGGCATCTCTTAGATTGCATCAGTTTGAGAATCTGAAAACAACAGATTCCTGATTCATTAAATTATGAGTATTGTTTTCTTCATAATGTCAAGAAAGATACAGAAAGAACTCGTATTCAATTAAAAGATGATGAAACAGGGTGGGAAAAATTAACTAAGCACTAATTTAGCTACAAAAAAATTGTCTAAGCAATCCCTTTTCTTGAGCTATTGCTATCAGCATTTCCTTATTCTTCAGATTCATAGTACCACATTTTTCAATTGTAAGATGCCACTGATTGTAAGATTCACCCTAATTTCAGAACTACCACAACCAATAAAAATACATAAGATATACCTGCAATGCTAAGATGCACCCCATTTTTATGTAGGGAAAAGTGTGTCTTAGAATTGAAGAAATACAGTAGTTAGATAAAGTAAATGCTACACCACTGGAGACTGTAGCATAATAATGTTGTAATAATCAATGGTAATGATCCTAACAGACTTAGAATTAGGCCTCACTATTAATAGACAGACTTTTTTTCTGGCAAAAGTTAATGTCTATGAACCGGGCAGAGCGTTAAAGTCTGCCCGGGAGGCCCTGCTCTCGATTCCACCACCCTTGGAGGCACGATTGGTGGGGACGAGAGACAGGAGTCTTCTCAGTGATGGCCCCTTGTTTATGGAATTCCCTTCTCAATGACATTAGACCCTCCTCATATTCAGGAAAAAGCTTTAAAAATGCTATGCCACCAGGGGTTTGAGGAATAGTGATATATGGAATGTAACACTAATGACAACTATAGGTCGAGGCACTATGTTTATACCCCTCTATTCTGCCTTGGTTAGACCACACCTGGAATATTGTGTCCAATTCTGGGCACCACAATTGAAGAGAGATATTGACAAGCTGGAAAGTGTCCAGAGGAGGGCGACTAAAATGATTAAGGGTCTGGAGAACAAGTTCTATGAGGAGGCTTAAAGAGCTGGGCATGTTTAGCCTGAAGAAGAGAAGGCTAAGAGGAGACATGATGAGGGTCATGTATAAATATGTGAGGGGAAGTCATAGGAAGTAGGGAGCAGGCTTGGTTTCAGCTGCCCTGGAGACTAGGACGAGGAACAATGGCTTCAAACTGCCAATCTTTTTGTCAGCAAGTTCAGCAGCAGCAGCTCAGTTTAACCCACTGCACCACCAGAGAGCCCTTATACTCTACTTATAAATCCTAATAATAATAATCTATATAAATAAAAATGCAATGTTCGTTTGTGGGATTAACATAACTCAAAAACCACTGGATGAATTGACACCAAATTTGGACACAAGACACCTACTAACCCAAGGAGTGACCACCACTAAAAAAAAATTGATTTTGTCATTTGGGAGTTGTAGTTGCTGGAATTTATAGTTCACCTACAATCAAAGAGCATTCTGAACTCCACCAACAATGGGACTGAACCAAACTTGGCACACAGGACTCCCATGGCCAACAGAAAACACTAGACGGGTTTGGTGGGCAGTGTCCTTTGGTTTTGGAGTTGTAGTTCACCTACATCCAGAGATCACTGTGGACTCAAACAATGATGGATCTGGACCAAACTCTACAAGAATACTCAATGTGCCCAAATGTGAACACTGGTGGAGTTTGGGGAAAATAGAATCTTGACATTTGGGAGTTGTAGTTGCTGGGAGTTGTAGTTCACCTACATCCAGAGAGCACTGTGGACTCAAACAAGGATGGATCTGGACCAAACTTGGCACGAATATTCCATATGTCCAAATACGAATACAGATGGAGTTTGGGGAAAATAAACCTTGACATTTGGGAGTTGTAGTTACTGGGATTTATAGTTCACCTACAATCAAAGAGCATTCTGAACCACACCGAGAGAATTGGGCTGAACTTCCCACAGAGAACTCCCATGACCAACAGAAATGCTGCCTTAAGGCTACCCAGTCCAACTCCCTTCACCAGGGCAAGAAAACGTAATCAAAGCCCTCCTGACAAAGAGCCATCCAGCCATAGATATAGATGGATATATATGATTCACACAGACAGATATAGTATCATAGATTTGAAAGGGAACCCTAAAGAAGGACAATGATATGTTGCATGTTCCAGAGTAGGCAAACCAGACAATCTCCATATCAACGGCAACAAAGGAACAGCAAGAAATACTGTTTATCCACAAGCATAAATAAATTACATATAGCTGCACCGGGATTGTGGCGCAGCTGGCTGAGTGTCAGCTGCATTAAGATCACTCTGACCAAAAGGTCATGAGTTCGAAGCCAGCCTGGGTTGGAGTGGGTTTCCAACCAATTGTGTGTAGCCTGTTGTCGATCTTTGCAATCCGAAAGACAGTTGCATCTGTCAAGTAGGAAAATTAGGTACCACCTTAAAGTGTGGGGAGGCTAAATTAACTGATTTATGAGGCCATAAAGAAGACTCCAGCAAAGCATTCCAGCGGGGAAGCATGCGGGAATGCGGAAGTGCTTCATCAGCATCGCAGATGGACGATGAAAGCGACAGCTTCCCTGGCGGCCAGAAAAAGTTAAATAGCCTCTGTGTATGTCTGTATATGTTTGCATGTCAAAATTGGCATTGAATGTTTGCCATATATGTGTACACTGTAATCCACCCTGAGTCCCCTGCAGGGTGAGAAGGGCAGAATATAAAAGCTGTAAATAATAATAATAATAATAATAATAATAATAATAATATAATAAAAACCAACACTTTCTCATTACTTTATTTTCCAGATCACCAGACGGGGCCACAGCAACGCATGACAGGGGAGGGCTAGTAATAATAATAATAACAATAATAATCCACTGCAATATGCTACCTCAAAGTGTGGAAAAGTCTCCTTCTCTGGAGGTTTTGAAGCAGAGGCTGAGTCAATCTGAGGATGCTTGCCATAGATGCAGGTGAAACTTCCGAAGAGAATGCCTCTAGACCAGGAGTCTGCAAACTACGGCCCGCGGGCCAGATCCGCCTCCCCGAAGGCATTTATCCGGCCCGCGGGGTGTGGAGAAGCGGCAGGCGACGCGGCCCCAAAGCCGCGTCACCCGCCACCTCCCCCGCCTTCTCCCGGCTTCAGGAGGAGGGGAGACCCCATCCCAAAGCCGGGAGAAGGCAGGCCCAGCCTGGGGAGAGGGCAGGCGGCGCGTGGCCAAAGCTGCACCGCCTGCCGCCTCCACTGCCTTCAGGACGAGGTGAGACCCCGTCCCGAAGCCGGGAGAAGGCAGGCCCGGCCTGGGGAGAGGGCCTGCCTTCTCCATATCAACGGCAACAAAGGAACAGCAAGAAATACTGTTTATGGGTGTTCTGTGTGGGTCATGGGTGTTTTGTGTGGGAAGTTTGGCCCAGTTCTATCATTCAGAATGCTCTTTAATTGTTGGTGAACTATAAATCCCAGTAACTACAACTCCCATATATAAATGTCTATTTTCCCCAAACTCTACCTGTGCTCACAATTGAACATATTGAGTATTTGTGCCAAGTTTGGTCCAGATCCATCATCGTTTGAGTCCACAGTGCTCTCTGGATGTAGGTGAACTACAACTCCAAAACTCAAGGTCAATATCCGACAAACCCTTCCAGTATTTTCTGTTGGACGTGGGAGTTCTGTGTGCCAAGTTTAGTTCAATTCCATCATTAGTAGAGCTCAGAATACTCTTTGATTGTTGGTGAACTATAAATCCCATCTCCTAAATGATAAAATCAACCCTCCCCCAACCCCACCATCATTCAGATGTCGGCATATCAGATATTTGTGCCAAATTGGTCCAGTAAATGAAATGCATTCTGTATTTAATATATTTACATTACAATTCATAACAGGAGCAGAATTACAGTTCTGAAGTAGCAACAAAAATAATTTTATGGTTGGGGGTCATCACAACATGAGTAACTGTATTAAGGGGTTAAGGAAGGTTGAGAACCACTGATCTATGGCAAGCATCCTCAAGAGGTTGTTAGGTGACAACAATCCTATCTCTTCAGCCAAAAGTAGGCCCACACTTCCCATTGAAATACTTGCACTACAAATAAGATATGTGCAGCGTGCATAGGTATTCATTCATGTTTTTTTTCACATTATAATCCGGCCCTCCAACAGTTTGAGGGACTGTGACCTGGTCCTCTGTTTAAAAAGTTTGAGGACCCCTGCTCTAGAACATGGCCATTGTTGTTGTTCATTCGTTCAGTCGTCTCCGACTCTTCGTGACCTCATGGACCAGCCCACGCCAGAGCTCCCTGTCGGCCGTCACCACCCCAGCTCCTTCAAGGTCAGTCCAATCACTTCAAGGATGCCATCCATCCATCTTGCCCTTGGTCGGCCCCTTTTCCTTTTGCCTTCCACTTTCCCCAGCATCATTGTCTTCTCTAGGCTTTGCTGTCTCCTCATGATGTGGCCAAAGTACTTTAACTTTGTCTCTAGTATCCTTCCCTCCAGTGAGCAGTCGGGCTTTATTTCCTGGAGGATGGACTGGTTGATTCTTCTCGCAGTCCAAGGCACTCTCAGAACTTTCCTCCAACACCACAGTTCAAAAGTATCGATCTTCCTTCGCTCAGCCTTCCCTAAGGTCCAGCTCTCACATCCGTATGTTACTACAGGGAATACCATGGCTTTGACTAGGCGGATCTTTGTTGCCAGTCTGATGTCTCTACTCTTTACTATTTTATCGAGACTGGACATTGCTCTCCTCCCAAGAAGTAAGTGTCTTCTGATTTCCTAGCTACAGTCTGCATCTGAAGTAAGCTTTGCGCCTAGAAATACAAAGTCTGTCACGGCCTCCACATTTTCTCCCTCTATTTCCCAGTTGTCAATCATTCTTGTTGCCATAACCTTGGTTTTTTTGACGTTTAGCTGCAACCCGGCTTTTGCGCTCTCTTCTTTCACCTTGATTAGAAGGCTCCTAAGCTCCTCCTCGCTTTCGGCCATCAGAGTGGTGTCATCTGCATATCTGAGGTTGTTAATGTTTCTTCCAGCAATTTTCACCCCAGCTTTGCATTCATCAAGGAATGATGTGTTCTGCATACATGTTAAAAAGGTTGGGTGAGAGTATGCAACCTTGCCGTACGCCTTTCCCAATCTTGAACCAGTCTGTTGTTCCGTGGTCAGTTCTTACTGTTGCGACTTGGTCCTTGTACAGATTCCTCAGGAGAGAGACAAGGTGGAACATGGCCATATAGCTAGAAAAAACCTACAACAACCCAGAGGCTGGGTCCTTTGATTGTGTGTTTATGCCTGGCAGAAGAGGGCTGGACTAGATGGGCCTTGGGGGTCTCTTCAACTTGAACTCCAAGATCTGGATCGCAGGTGCCCTGAGCTCATTGGAGGAAGGGACAGTGTGCTTTCACACTGCGCCATTATACTGCTGTGGTTCCGCTGTAACTACCACGGCAACGGCCAATGGAATCCTGGGGTTTGCAGTGCCAGGCCCTCCTCTGGTGCTTCTGGCCACCTTTACCGGCTCAGGACTCCACAGAATGCCAACCAATGGGAGCGAAGCGCTGTGTGTGCGCGTGAGGGGCCCGGCTCCCTTCCCCGCAGCCCTCCCTCCCTGTCACAGACACCCCCAGACCCAGGAGGAAAGGGGCGCACCTCCGGAGGGCGGCTGCCTTCGCCCTCCTTCTCTTCTTCCTCGCTCGGCCTCCCTCCTCGCTCCATGCCGGGAGACGGAAGCAGCTTCGGGCTCTCAGGTCCCAACCGTTGCACGGCCACCTGAGGCCAAAACTTCCAGCCAATGGCGTTCCTCGAGTCCCCGCCTCAACTTCCCGCCCAATCAGAAAACGAGCCCAAACCTACGCTTCCCTCATGCCTTTTGCTCCCCCCTTTGGCGCCAGCTGTTACCGGATTGGCGTCTCGAGGGACCAATAGGATCAGGCCCTGGGCTCCAGAGCCCACCCCTCACCCGCGGGATGTCCACGCACCGCCCCTCTCCCTCGCAATCTGGCAGAAGGGAACAAAGGGAGCAGCCACTACTGTACAATTCATAGAATCAGAGTTGGAAGAGACCTCATGGGCCATCCAGTCCAACCCCCTGCCAAGAAGCAGGAATATTGCCTTCAAATCACCCCTGACAGATGGCCATCCAGCCTCTGTTTAAGAGCTTTCAAAGGAGCCTCCACCACACTCCGGGGCAGAGAGTTCCACTGCTGAACAGCTCTCACAGTCATAGAATCATAGAATCAAAGAGTTGGAAGAGACCTCATGGGCCATCTAGTCCAACCCCCTGCCAAGAAGCAGGAATATTGCATTCAAAGCACCCCTGACAGATGGCCGTCCAGCCTCTGTTTAAAAGCTTCCAAAGAAGGAGCCAGTCAGGAAGTTCTTCCTCATGTTCAGATGGAATCTCCTCTCTTGTAGTTTGAAGCCATTCTTCCGTGTCCTAGTCTCCATGGAAGCAGAAAACAAGCTTGCTCCCTCCTCCCTGTGGCTTCCTCTCACATATTTATACATGGCTATCATATCCCCTCTCAGCCTTCTCTTCTTCAGGCTAAACATGCCCAGCTCCTTAAGCCGCTCCTCATAGGGCTTGTTCTCCAGACCATGTCTTTTGACACTACTTCCTTCTGGAGGCACCTCTCACTGGCAAAAATAGCAATAAAAACATGTCGCTGAATGGCTGGGGCCGGATTCTAGCTATCTCTGATTTCTATGGAGAGAAAAAGGCGCTTCTGTTACCTCAGTCACACTAGAAGTGTGGCGAACGAGAGTGGAAGATAAACAAGTAAAAAGGAAACTGTCGGTTTGCGCATGCGCAATTCTTTCTTTCCCGCCGTACATGACACTACCATTGGATTCCTCAGCTGCTGCGGAAAGCTGAATTTCAAACGTCTCTCCCCCGCCCCCTTTGGGAGGGCTTAGCCAATCAGCGCAGGCAGGGGCGGGTTCTGATGGCTCCATGGTAACGATTGGCGGTCGCGCCCTTCTGCCCGCCAAGTGAAGAATGGCTGAGCCGGGAAGGGAAGCGGTCTTTTCAGAGTAGAAGTGGAGCTCCCAGTGGCGCAGTGGGTTAAACCCCTGTGCCGGTAGGATTGAAGACCGATAGGTCGCAGGTTCGAATCCGGCGAGAGGCGGATGAGCTCCAGCTCCTCATGCGGAGACAGGAGAGAAGCCTCCCAACAAGGATGATAAAAGCATCAAAAATCATCCAGGCGTCCCCTGGCTAACGTCCTTTGCAGACGGCCAATTCTCTCACAACAGAAGTGACTTGAGCTCCTGACACGACCAAAAAAAAAGACATGCAGACTGCTCATCTCAGTACAATAATTGAAGGTGTTCAATCTATTGTCGAAGGCTTTCATGGTTTTTTCGGGCTGTATGGCCATGGTCTAGAGGCATTCTCTCCTGACGTTTCGCCTGCATCTATGGCAAGCATCCTCAGAGGTTGTGAGGTCTGTTGGAACTAGGACAATGGGTTTATATATCTATGGAATGACCAGGCTGGGACAAAGGACAAAAGACTCTTGTCTGTTGGAGCTAGGTGTGAATGTTTCAACTGACCACCTTGATTAGCATTTGATGGCTTGGCAGTGCCTGGGGCAATCTTTTGTTGAGAGGTGATTAGATGTGCCTGATAGTCTACTGCAGGGGTCCTCAAACTTTTTAAACCGGGGGCCAGTTTACTGTCCCTCAGACCGATGGAGGGCCGGACTATAGGTTTCTTTTTTTTAAAAAATCAATAAAAAAATTCCTCTGCACATTGCACATATCTTATTTTACTGTGTGGAAGGGCCCTTAGAGGGGGTTCTTTCTAGCCCTCTTTAGGCAGTAATTCCAGGAGCAGAGAATGGGAAATCTTCCTATTTCTAGTCTGAACAAAAATCTGGCTACCAGTATTTAAAAAACTCTAAAATTATAATTGTAAATAAAGAACAACACTCAAACACAGGGGAACTCCAGACAAGAAACAATCAGGGCCAGCTAATCACCTCTCAACAAAGGATTCTCCCTAAAAACTGTCAGGCTATGAAATGGCAATCAAGGTGGCCAATTGAAACATTCATACCTACCTCCAACAGATAAGAGTTCTTTCTCCCACCCTGGATCTTCCACAATTTTCCTGGTTAAAGGTTTTCCTCTGACATGAAGTCCAGTCGTGTCTGACTCTGTGGTGCTCATCTACATTTCTAAGTCGAAGAGCTGGCATTGTCCATAGACACCTCCAAGGTCATGTGGCCAGCATGACTGCATGTAGCGCCGGGGCAGCCTCCCTTGGCTGGCTCACGCTGTCCATCAGGCCTGACGGATAGCGTGAGCCTGCCAAGGGAGGAGCAGGCCCGCGTGGCCTACTTGTGAGTAGACCATGCGGAGCAGCCTCCCTTGGCTGGCTCACGCTGTCCATGGGGCCCCATGGACAGCGTGAGCCAGCCAAGGGAGGGGCACTGTGTGGGGGGGCGCTCCTCCTCCACGGGCCGGATCGGGGCCCTTGGTGGGCCGGAAGTGGCCTGCGGGCCGGTTTAAGGAGCTCCACTGGCTGCCTTTCATTTTCCGGTCCCAATTCAAGGTGCAGGTGCTTACCTACAAAGCCCTAAACAGTTTGACACCTGCCTACCTGCGTGACTGCATCTCCGCATACGAACCCACATGATCCCTTCGTTCATCTGGAGAGTCCCTACTTATGATCCCACCTGCATCACAAAATTGATGCGGATGAGGGATAGGGCTTTCTCGGTGGTGGCCCCTCGACTCTGGAACTCCGTAAGGATATCAGGCAAGCCCCATCGCTGGCAATTTTTAGGAGGAGCTTGAAAACGTGGCTGTTCCAGTGTGCCTTCCCAGAATAAGGAAACTCCAAGCATTTTGTCCCCAACACACATTATCAGAGATTCAGGATATCTGCAAACCCTTCCCTCTCCAAACACCTACCCTTTTCTCCTGGTCATGCCCAGCACTTTTTAATTTTAATTATTACATTTGGCCCTGCCATAGTTTTTAATTGCGTCATTGTGTGTTGTTAATGTTCTTGCTTTGTTTTGATTTATTTTGCTATATTGTTGTTGTTGTTTTATTGTTGTATTTGGGCTCAGCCTCTTGTAAGCCGCACCGAGTCCTTCGGGAGATTTGCCCAAACACAAATAAAGGAACATGAAAGGCACTGCAGACTACTTCAACCAGAGAAGTCAGCCATAGCAGAGCACCTGATGAACCAACCTGGACACAGCATATTATTTGAGAACACAGAAATGCTGGACCACTCCAACAACCATCATGTCAGACTACACAGAGAAGCCATTGAAATCCACAAGCATGTGGACAATTTCAACAGAAAGGAGGAAACCATGAAAATGAACAAAATCTGGCTACCAGTATTAAAAAACTCAAAAATTACAACAGCAAAACAGAGTAAATCAGGCACATCAAATCACTCTCAACAAAAGATTCCCCCCAGGCACTTCCAAGCCATTAAATGCTAATCAAGGTGGTCAGTTGAAACATTCACACCTAACTCCAACAGACAAGAGTCCTTTGTCCCACCCTGCTCATTCCTCAGATGTATAAACCCACTGTCCTAGTTCCAACAGATCTCACTACCTCTGAGGATGCTTGCCATAGAGGCAGGCGAAACGTCAGGAGAACATGGCCATATATCCCAAAAAAACCTACAACAACCCATTGAAGGTGTTGTTGGGGGACACCTCCTGAGTCCTACAGTTATTGTCCTATTGCAGGGGTCCTCAAACTAAGGCCCGGGGGCCGGATACGGCCCTCCAAGGGCATTTACCCGGCTCTCGCTCAGGTAACCTATGTCTGAAATGACTCGAAAGTTCACAACAACAACAACAATCCTATCTCATCAGCCAAAAGCAAGCCCACACTTGTCATTGAAATACTAGTAAGTTTACATTTGTTAAAATTGTTCTTCATTTTAATTATTGTATTCTTTTAAAGTGTTTTTGCAACACAAATAAGATATGTGCACTGTGCATAGGGATTCATTCATGTTTGTTGAAATTATAATCCGGCCCTCCAACAGTTTGAGGAACTGTGACCTGGCCCTCTGTTTACAAAGTTTGAGGACCCCTGTCCTATTGGGTCAAGGTTCAGTACTGTCTCCCATGTTGTTTAACATCTACATTAAACCACTGGGGGAGATTACATTTCTGTTTGACAAAAAGAGAGTGAGACTGAATTACCTATGGGATTCCCATTTTAAATTGAAAGCACAGAGATTAGAAAGCTGTTTTTTCAAGGCAATTAGGAAAAGGACACATTTATGAGCAAAGGAGCTTGAAAGTATTTCTGATAAGACCTTCTTTTGCTCTCTGCCTGGTACAAAGCTACTTAGGAAAGAGCAGATATATAAGTAAAAGGTTTTCATTAGAAATGTTCATGCCAACATTCTTAATGATTTTACGTATAAACTGTGTTAAGACATCAACAATTGCTCTTTTCTTTTTTAAAAAAATATATAATGTATTTTCCTGACCTAGATACTGTTCTCAAAATGATTAATTGTATATGCTGTTAGGAAAAAATAAAAAATATTCATGCCTTATTTTATGTTAATTTTTGTTATTTGGAAATCATTCTTGATTAATATTCATAATAAGGTTGTCAGGGCCGTAGCCAGAAAAAAATTTCGGGAGGGGTTGAAATTTTTTGGGGGGGGGTTGAAATTTTCGCAGGGGGGGTTTGAAACCTGCCTCCTAGCTCACGCTGAAGCAAAGAGCACAGCAGAGGGCAGAGTAGCCTTCAATAGCCTGCAGCTCCGCCCTTGTCAACCACCTCCACCAAGTCTGGCCTCCTTAATGACAGCATTCAACGTC